CTCACTGATATGCTTCTTGCGTGTCTAAGTGCCATAATATATGTAGAAGGGTGACGTTTTGGTGGACTTCGACGTTTTGAGAATTGATTACTTTAGCCTTGAAGCTCCCCTGCTAGTTTATATTCCAGGAATCAGATTTGTTTGAAGAGTGACTCGAGAAAAAATTGCAAGCCTACTATGAGGACTGCAACCCCGGCGGAAGAAGAGGTCCTTTTTTTTTTTTTTTTCAAGGGTGCATATAGGTGTCACTGTGGATGAGACATTACATTGGTTATCTAGTTCTATCATGCCTTCGTGGCTCTAAATCTATCATTTCATCGTACAGTGACAACTGGCAATATTTACTCGATGTCCTCAGGGGTGACGACAACCCAGTTCTTGTCTGCAGTGACGGGAAGACCCTCCCTCTTCTGGGCGGCAGTATTATTCTTGATCATCTCGTTCATCTGCTCCATGTAACTGTCCTTCCGGTTGACCCAGAGGTGAATACCACCTTTGGCAACGTCAACGCCGTGGAAGATCATGGGACCGTCGCTGATAGGAGTATCGCCACCGGCCAAGACAGGCTTCTTCCACTCGTCAATGTATGTGAGAATGGCCGCCCATTTGCCCTGCATCCATACAGCGGGAGTCCACAGGTAAGGTGTCATGACAAGCCCGAGATTGGCCTCTTGGTCGTACGTGCCGTCCTGGATCTGTTGACGTGAGGTGGTAAGCTCGCCTGAGGTCAGGTTCTTCATGACAAGCGTGACACCAATGACGTTTTCGGGCTTGACGTTGTAGCCGTACTTGGGATCGGAGGCAACCATGCGGACCAGCTCCTCAGAGGAGGCACTGATGATATACACATCGATGCCGTTCGCCATCAATTTGTTGTAGAGCTCCAGTTGACCGGGAAACGGTCTGGGAGGGTTAACCTCTTCGCGGGCCACGACATCACCCTCATAGTAGGTGGTGCTGATGGTGTGGTTAAGCGCCATAAGCTCGTCCACGTAGCCCTTAAGCTCGATCAGAGGGATGCCACTGAAGATCTGAGCTGCCCACGGGTAGCAAAGTACGATGTCGATGTCGCACAGACGGTTGTAGTAGCTGTACAGCGACTCGGTGTGGTTTGCGGTGTCCTTGAAGGGAATGAGCTTCAAGGACGGGTCCATGGTATCACGAGAGATGACCTTCTTGTTCTCGAGAAACGGCAGCATCGACTCCTCGATGTCGAAGTGCCAGCTGGTGTTGTCCATGTCGAAGACGGCGTAGTTGCTCTGGTTGGCGTTGGCCGCGATCATGGTGTTAAGCGCCTTCGCCGCCTCTGCCGGCCAGTGCTTCAGCTCAGGACCGGCGGTGTGGTTGGAGGCGTACACGGACGGAGCAGCATGCGCGACGCCGCGGGCGATGGCCAGCCCGAGCGAAGCGACGAGGGGGTTCACTGAGGTCTTCATGTTGAAAATGCTGGTGGTTTGAGCTAGTACTTGACGGGAGCTTCGCCTAGCCAGAAAGACCAAGAAGTGAAGTGTGCTTGACCGGCGGTAACTGAGAACGGACAAGACCTCAAAGTTTTCCCATGGCCACGGCCTGGCCGTTGCCTTGTTATAAACAAGTTGGCCAGGTTTTATTTTTCGCTTTTACCTTATCTAGGCTTATCCTCTCTTGGCTTGGGCGGTCCTCGCTTCCGATTTTACTGTAGCCGATGCTCTCCGGGCGAGGTTGCGCGACGTCGTGCAAGATCCACTTTGCGGGGACTCTAATTTCTTTTACCTTGTTTACTCGGCATGGGCGGCGATCAGCGGCATTAATACAGTATTGAAGGAACTGCTAATGTCTGGGGAAGCCAGTGGGCCCTGAACAACAATCCTGATAATCGCGCTAAGGCATCGCGGTATTGAGTTATCTGCAGCATATTATCGGATGAACGGCTGCTCAACCATACGATACGGAGGGCAAGACGAGAACGTTACGTCATGGCCATCGATAGTTCATTATTAGTCGACTGAATAAAACGTCGAAATAGGCTCAGTGGCTATTCAAAAGTCAATGCTAGTGACAGCTCAATCTGCTATTCAAGTATTCTCTCGACTTAACATCGAACTGTACTAACCAATGGAACCCGAACTGGCAACTCGGATTCCTGTTAGTAAGTGCGGGCCTCAGACACATATCTTAAGGTAGTGTCAATGCGCGGGTTTAATAGGGGTACATTGCACAGGGTGGGTACAACACAGGGTATGTCTATAGATTTTGTGTCCAAGAGAGATGGTAGCGTCTGTAATACATAAAGTGATAAACTGCAGCGTCTGCTGAAAAGAGTGTGAAGTAGTAGCTCACATATGTAGCGGCTACAACTGGTATTGGCCACACGGTTGAAGCTACCCCCAACATTCAGCCACTACGAAAGTTAGGTAAGTAGTTGAGTTTATAGAAACAGTATAACTAGGTGGACATATCATAAAGATTCAGACCCCTGCTATAATTACAATTACATTCCTTGATATATACTAAAGGTTATCTGGTCCTATCTTCACGATAAATGGCATCTGTCTGTCAGCCATTGCCACACCCGTGAAAGCGGTTTAGAACTCTGGCCACCAAAACAGTGAAACATGACGGCTTGTGCCAACGTCAATCCGTACAGCCCAGGTTGACTCTGATTTTTCGAGTAATATTCAGAATTATCAAGATAGGAATCATGCCTCTCAAGGTCTTTGGAAATCCACATCCCGCTCCAGGAAACACTCAATATTCAGCGCCGGCTTTTCTCTTCTACTCCATCAACACCATTGATGCCTTGAGTAAAAGAACATGGTATAATAGAGATTCGGTATGCGAGGCCGAACGAAGTCTGAGGGCACTGTCAAATCGAGCCTAGAGAGATAATATGGAGACAGCACGTCCTCTACCAGTCAAAACTTTCACGCCGGGCATCGGGTGATTGTCCGGTCGAGACACCTCCCACCGAGCCGCCACATCACAGCCAACCTCACGCTGCATCCACGTGTTTTAACCCCGACGCTTCAACCCGTGTACCAACTTTGAGCTGAATTCGCTATTTTCCCACTGCGGAGGTATCGGTATCTCGTTCCGACCAACAGGCCGACTAATACGCGCCTTAACCACTCTTCGTCACAACACTGCGCCTGAGCTTAGTCCAGTGCAGCGCAGAACACGACTTAAAACGCCTAGCCCCAGGTTCCTGACTGTTTTGACACTGTAACTATAATCGTAAGTGACTATAATCGAAAAGTCACGTCTCAGTCTTGTTACACTGTATACGCCAACCGACATGGCGCAGTATAGCAACCCCGATACAGTCCTTGAGGGCGGACTATCAACCGTCAAGAACATTGCTTGCGCAATATCAGACAGCACAACAGAGTCTAATGTTGATAGAGACACTAGCGCCTCAGAACCCAGTGGCCGGCCCCAGGCTGACCATAAGGAAAAGATGGGGCAATTGAAGCCCCTCAGGGCGCCACTGGGAGGACTGTACGAAGAAAATATCACAGCCAAGATCCTCAGAACAGCCGAAGACGGTCTGGTTGGCAACGTGGGTCAAAATATGAATCTTTGAAATAATCTGACCCTAACGGCACATAGAACCCCCCAACGGCTTACCCAGAGTATGTGCTGCAGAGAGGCCCAGATGCTGGCAAGTACATCCTGCGAGAGGCATCCTTCTGGACGTGCGGGTTCTTCCCGGGAAACATTTACTCTCTCATTGAGAGGCTTGTCAAGTTCCCTCATAAGATGCCCGGAGGACAAGAGAAGACAGCTTTGCTGTCAAAACTCTGGTCACTCGGCGCTGCGTGGTCAGAACCACTCCACACAACGGCCAAACGCACGGATACCCATGACATGTCGTTCATGATCCAGCCTTCGATGAGGGTCCGGTGGGAAGTTGCTCAGGACAGACAGGCTTTGGATTCCATCATTACGGCGGCTAAAGCTCTGCACACGCGCTACAGCCCTACCTTTGGCGCAATCCGATCATGGGATTCATTGACTCAACACGGAGTCACCATCACCAGCCTCACGGATGACTTTCTCGTCATCATTGATTCTATGTGCAACCTTGACTTGCTCTACTATGCGTCTTCGTACACGGGAGAGTCTTATCTCTGGGACACGGCTACGAAACACGCAAAGACACTGGTTAAGTCGAATCTGCGGTCAGAGAAGGACCCTAGGGGTTTAGTGCAGGGAGAGCTATACAGTACCATACACGTCATCAACTTTGACCCCAAGAACGGTGAGATCAAGGAGAGGCGCACAGCTCAAGGATATGCCGCCGAATCAACGTGGGCACGAGGGCAGGCGTGGGCCATCTTGGGCTACGCACAAACTTTTATGTGGACTGGCGACAATGAGTTCTTGGATGTAGCTTGTGGACTATCGGAGTACTTCGTTCTGAGACTGGAGACGTCTCCCAACTCCGTCGAGCTCCCAGTGGAGGGCGAGGATAGGACGAAGGGCCGATACGTGCCGCTCTGGGACTTTGACGCGCCAATCGACAACGAAAACCCCCCTCTCCGAGATTCTTCTTCGGGTGTTATTGCCGCCAACGGTATGCTAGTCCTCTCCCAAGCCTTAGCCGGACAAGGTCGGACAGAAGAGAGTGCAAGATTCCGGGACATGGCCATCACGATCGTCAATGACACACTGGAATTCTCGTTGGCAACAGAGAAGGCAACTCTCGTTTTCGATAACGGCAAGATCTCGGCTAAAGACGTTGAGAAGGGCGATACATTTGATGCTCTCTTGAAGAACGCAACAGCGAACCGCAACAGACGAGATCGCAAGCAATACTGGGACCATGGGTTGGTCTACGCAGACTACTACTTGATAGAGTTCGGTAATAGGATGCTAAAGATGGGACTGGTGTGACTACAATGGACAAGACGAACGGGACTATTGTGTCCATCAGTCGTAAAGCTGGGGATAGCTTCATGTGGCTAATACCAGCTGGGGCCACCACAGATGTGTCTTTCCACATGCACAGATCACTTCGTGAAGGTATTTCTACTCAGTATTACTTTAATACGCAGTATCTAGATAGAACAACTGTCTTACGCTCTTCTTTGACAGATGCTGCGGTTCATTACAATATCGTAAATAGATTCCAAACCGACTTACCTGCTCTTCTTGCTGGATTTCTGCCTCGTTACTCTATTCGCGTATCATCAACTTGACCCCATTCATTTACTGGCATACCTGAGTTGCCATTATTCGCGGTCTGCGCTGTAAACATCATGTCATCAAAACTGATGATTCGGTCCATTTCCATGAATCGTTGATCCATGAGCATGTGAGAGATGGCAGAGAGCTCATCGGGTGCGTCAGAGTCCCGAGGCGTGAAACTGGCCATCGGCAAAGAAGAGCCCATGGGCCCAATCATTGATCCATGGCGCAGCTGGCTTGGCGATTGCTGGTTTGCGTATATGGGCGGAGGCCGAGATTGCGATGCGGCAGTCGCCTGGTTGGGCGCCATCGAACTTAAAGACGCACGAGGCGCCATCCTGTTAGAGTGTTGGGCGAACGGGGTGTTGTTGCCCTGCTGGTGAGTGAAAGTTGGCGTTTGAGCAGCCGGACTACATGCTCGGCTGCTGGTGCAGCTGGAGTATCCCAACACGTCGATGTTGAAATGAGGATCTGCCTCGCAATTACGGTGCAGCTCACGAAGCCGCGCGGCGTATTTCCCAGCGAGACATTGGTCGAGCTTCTCTCGGAGAATTGGGCCGACCCATCGCCTAGCCATTTCCTCCATGCTCTCAACAAGGACCCAGAACTCAGGGGCGAGCTCGGCGTCATAGTATCGCCAATGAACTGAGAATGGTCAGCATGAGTCTCAACTTTAGGCCTTGGTTTGTTTTACCCAATAGCACTCTCGCACTAATAAAGACACAGAATGCGAATTGGCTGGTGGCAGGACTGTTATCGGGAGTATACTTCAGGTACTTTTGCGTGATTGTCGTTGTCTCAATGGCAGCTTCCTGGCAGGTCTCTGCACTACAAAAGCTCGGCAGCTTGAATATATTCGACCAATGAGCCTCTGGATAAGCTATGCGTTGGTGGAGGAGGATCATGGATGTGTTATGGGTCACATGCGCGAGCGTCAGATTGGGGTCCATGTTGATGAGAGCCGGCTGCCGGGATATGTTGGAGTCTTTCCACTTCTGAGGCAAAAACATTTTCCAGCTATTTCAATGGGTCAGCATTGTTCTTTTGAGCTTGCGTTTCGGCAAACATACTGTACTAGGCGCAAATCCAGCTCTTTGAACCTAGTGAGCCAACATGAGACTTCTCCTCTGTCCTCGAAGTCGATCTTTTGTTGAAGAAAGTAAGTAGTGACCCTGCTGAGACTTTCTGTGGCCTCTATACAGTATGAAAATGCGCCGACGGTTGTCATGTCGACCGTGTTCTGCCCCTTTTGAGAATTGGAGGTCACTGGTGTCTGCGACGGTACATCTGCTGTTTTCTCTGGGCTCGGATAGTGTTCGGGCAGAAAGACGATGGAGTTGCCCATCTTGGCTGCAGAGCGATCCCAAATTCCGAAGAAGGGGGTGATTACAGCCTCTTCTTTATGCCACAGACCACCATCAGCTGGGAGTCTGCGATGAACATCGTCAGACGTCAGACTAGTGTTCCACCTGTGAGGATCAGCTACGATGCTTTGGTCCGATGAATCGTGCTCGTTGTCTCACCCGGTGGTTACTGAACAGAACCTTGGATAGAAGTAATCAGCTTCGGGTTCAGGTAAGAGGATATGATCGTAAAGCTCACCTATCCAGATTGAAAATGTTCCAAAAGACACGTCGACGCTCCTCTTCCTCCGTCCAGTTCTGGGGCGGAGAAATCGATGGCAAAGGCTTCAGTAGAGGCTCTTTCTCTTTATTATCAGACTCTACACTCAATTGAAGATATTCAACTGTTCTTGTTAGGGATCCGACAATCGACCAAGCTTTCGACACATCACCATTTCCAATCTTCAACATGTTAGCGACACTTGAGAGTCATAGGGCATGAACTCACATCATTGAATGCCAATATGATTAGAGCTTGTAAGTTCTCGACGGAAAGCTGGTTCATTGCATTTAGAATGACAATGTTCCTTGAACGCATGGCTGTACGCTCTATCTCCTGGGCTGAAGGACGAGTCTCGGTATTATTATCAACATAGCGAAGGGCTGTAACTACCATGGCATGCAGCACCACTACGAGTACCGGAAGTTGTTCTGGATCATGCACTCTTCTCCGAAACACTGTCTCGTGAAGTATGGGTATCCAGGGATGAATGATGTTGAAATAGATATTGATAATGTCCTCGAGGAGGTCAGGTGGTGGCAAGCTTGTCGTGATGTTTTCCAAATCCTCCAAAGGGAACGCGAGCTCAATATTGGGATTCCCACAGCTGTCCACCCTTCGACGTTTCCTTGGCTGATTGTGAGGATGTGACACAACCTCAATGCCATCAACAGTGCGTCGCCTGGACGAACTTGACGTTGATGGAGAGAGTATGGCGTGGTCAGCTGCTACTTCGGGTGTATCGGATTGCGAGCCCCCCCTGTGCCTAGAAGTGAGTTTGTGCAGCTCTCGGGCTAGCAGCGAGAGGATCCCGACGACGTTCTGAGACTCTTCTAGTGCGTGGCCGGACTCTGTGCCGCCCGTGTGGCTAGGAAGGCCGCTTCCTCCATGAGATTTCTGCAGCAATGCATTTTCGAGAACCTCTGCACCGTTGTTAATGCTTGGGTAACACTAATACCATCCAGCTTCCTAACGCAACGTACCCACTCTGCGATTGAGACTCTCAACCGCGCCGGGTTTGATGCCCGGCTTATTCTTCTTTAAGTCATAGACGCATGGCGAGTCTGCATGCAGCCTATCAGCATCGTTGCGGCCACAGTCAGGAAGTTAAGTCATTCCCCACTGACTAACGTACCCAACCGCTTGCAATGGGAGCATATTGGTTGGTCGCGCGAGCACCGTAGCTTGCGACGACGACAACCTTGGCACGAAGGAATGTCGTTCTCCGACGTCTCATCGTGGGACTTTGGACCTGAGCCCGGGGCCGACGTGGTCTGGTCCATGTGGCCTCCTTGAAGGATCGGCGCGCAGCGGGTTCGCCGCGGCGGCGGCGGTGGCGGCTGAAGGAAACCCGATGCGGTGGTACCGTGAAACGGGCGAACGAACCAGGCACGCGGCGGCGGCGGCGGCGGCGGTTGTGGATGCGTCGTGCGCTGTCCTCCCCTCGGTTACGTGAGAATTGTCGGCCCCCGAATCGTGCGGCACGACGATGCAGGAGGGAGGGACCAAAACAGAGTCTTCTTTGCTTATGAGACGAGAGGTCGGGGGATGCTTGTGGAGAGGAGTGTATGTGGCAGTTCAGGGTTCTCCTCCTCTTGGTTGAAATCGGCCGATGCAAGTCGATGAACACCTCACCTTCTTTCCCTTCCCCAAAAGAGAGAAAAGAGGGGCAGACAGGAGCTTCCCCGCACTCTGGGATATAAGAACCCGGGAGTGATGGGTAAGTAACAAGCAGTCAGCAGTCTGTCAATTCAGTGGAACGGAATTGGTGCGGAGTAAGAGTGGGATGAACAGGGATGTCGAGAACAAACAGGAGCTCCCGGTCCCCTTTTGGCCGATGCCCGCCGTTGTACAAAAGATGGGCTACTACCGCTCGACTAGGAGTTCGGATGGAGACAAATCTTATTAGTGTTGCCCAGGGTAGATGCTTGATGGATGGATGTAACATCAGATATAAACAGATCACAAGAGTCGCGAGAGTTGCATTGAGTGAGTCCGGTTGCAAGCCCAGCTCCAGAACCACTCCATTCCGGTCGGCACTGGTACGTCAGCGTGCTCGCCTACGTCTTCTTCTCTCTGGAGCGTGGCCTCACGACCAGACGAGTCTCTCTGGCTCGAATTGCAGGCCGGCAAATAGGGCACCTGCACTGTGCCGCAGATCAACACCATCCCTGGTGTTCCGGTCATTGCGCCCGTTTGGAGACGTCATTTTGCATGTGTTATCCTGCATAGGTCATATGCCAGGTGCTTCTGCCTATCTTCGTGTTCGCAAATGTCTGGCAGACGATTAGGTTCATCCCTCACGGCCTGCACTTCACCGTATATTATCTCTTGGAGACATTGCTGCGGTGACTCCGATTTGGGTCCCAACCAGCCAATTCGTCGTGGACAGATAAACTAAACGTTGATATGGACTACATGTATAATGTTCGTCATTTGAGCCCAGCAATGAATGTTACCTAGACTGTGTGACTTCGGCACTTTTCCCGACATCCGATGTGCAAACGTTGCCAAGGTGAATCTTGCGGCCTTCATCAAGATAAAATAAGACCTGGATTATCGCATCCCGGCTTCAAGCTTTCCCTTCGACTCCAAGGCATCTCACAAGTTGACATCTGGTGCACTCATCATGCCATACCTGCCCGGATTCTCCGATAACCCGCTTCGGACCCGGTCCGACCTCATACGAGCCTCTCTCGCACTCCTACGGCCGCTTTTACCCCACTTCTCACCGGCCAAGGGCAGGATCCGGGTTCCCGTGTCTTCAGCTGCACACTTTGACGAAACCGCGGCTCAGCTCGAAGGCTTTGCACGGCCTCTATGGGCCGTCGGTGCGTTGCTTCTTGGGTACAACTCGACAACTGACCCAGAACTGCTCAAGTCTATCAACGAGGTAGTTCAGCCATGGATAGACGGCTTCGTTTCCGGAACCGATCCAGAGCATCCGGACTACTGGGGAGAGATCAACGACAGAGACCAACGCATGGTAGAAGCCGAGATCATAGCATTCGCGATGCTTGCCGCTCCCGACCGGATCTACAAGCCATTGAACGAAAGGTCTAAACAGAATGTCACCAACTGGCTCCGCATGCTGAAAGGGATGGAGATGCCAGAGAATAACTGGCGTTGGTTCAGGGTCTTCGGGAACCTGGCCCTCTCGAAGGTCTGCGGCATTCCCTTTGACAGTGTCCGCGACGAAATCAACGCCGACCTGGAGCTCTTAGACACCTTCTACCGCTTCGATGGCTGGTCGGCGGACGGGCTCTGGCAGACCCCCGAACAGGCACAAGTCGAAATCGAGCAGTACAAAAAGACTGGGAGACGCGATGCTGTTGGTATGAGTCGCAAAGCAGATTACTATTCCGGGAGCTTTGCAATCCAATTCAGCCAGCTGCTCTACTCTCGATTCGCTGCCGATATCGATCCTGAAAGAGCTGAGACCTACCGTCAACGAGCGAGAGAGTTTGGGGCCAGCTTCTGGAGATATTTTGACGCGGAAGGTTCGCTTTTGGCCCCCTTCAGGTTACTCTTGTTCCATGTCACTTATTCTGCACACAGGAGCGGCCATCCCGTTCGGCAGGTCTTTGACCTATCGCTTTGCTTGTGGGGGCTACTTTTCTGCTTTAGCCCTGGCCCAGGTTCCCGATATGCCGGGACCTCTTGGCTCCCCTGGAGCAGTGAAAGGCTTCTTGATGAGGCATCTCAGATGGTGGGCCAAGAACTCTGAAGATATTTTCTATCCTGACGGGACTCTGAACATCGGGTGGCTTTACCCGCAAGTAGCCCCCAACCCATGCCGAAGTCTCGAGTGTCTTTCTGTACAGTAAAGTGCTGACTTCTGCGTTAGAAATATGTATCTGAGCGAAGATTACAACTCGCCGCAATCCCCATATTGGTGTCTCAAAACTCTCATCGCGGTCGGTCTCTCGGATGACGACGCCTTCTGGACAACAGAGGAGGAACCCTATCCTCAGCTTCCGGTGGCTGGTACAGTCACCCTTGTATCGGCGCCGCAGCAGATTGTATGCAACCATTCGGCGGGCAACCACCACTTCCTTCTATCCCCCGGGCAATTCGTCGCGTGGCCGATGAAAGGAAACCAGGCCAAGTACAGCAAGTTTGCCTATTCTTCCGCTTTCGCGTTCTCCGTCCCTACAGGCCCGCTGATTCAGCAGATGGCCCCCGACAATACGCTTGCCTTCAGTCGCGACGGAGGGGAGACTTGGGCTGTGAAATGGAAGTCGGAACAGGTGCGTTTCGTGACTGCTTATGTCCAGGGACCATCGGGAACAGAGGGGGTGCAGGCTACGAGCGCCAAATGGTATCCTTGGGGCGATCGAGCCGTGAGCGTCGACACTACTTTGATCCCACCTACGAACAGATGGCCTGACTGGCACGTCCGAGTTCATCGCCTCAAGGTATATGAGAAGGTCAAAACGTTGCACACCATTGAGGGCGGGTTTGCTATCTTCGGACGCAGGAAGTGTGACGGCATGCCTCTACCTGTCCTAGAAACAATTCCACCACACTCGGTCCTGGGCTCGGCGGAAGGCGTTATCCAAGAAAAGCACTCCACCTTGATCCTGTCCTCTGCGGGTGCGAGTGGCGTCGTCACGAATTTGCTGGACCACCAGACGACGTCGGAATGTTTCCCGCTGAAACCAGATTCCAACACGAACCTGGCGTGTTCGAGGACGTTGATCCCCGTTGCTTCTCACGCCGTTCTAGGCGGGTTGGACCCAGGTGTGGAACTCACTTTCGTAGAATCCATCTTTGCTCTATCTGCAACGGCGAACGGTGGCTGGTCGGAGACGGGAAAGAGTCTGGCAGAGCGTTGGTTGGACAGTCCATTAGTCCACTTTGATGTGAACAAAGAGCACGCTAAAGCCACTGATTCGTTACTCGTTGGTGTTATCGGCCAATAGAGCCGACTCGGTGAGCAATGCCAGAGAAGCCTCCCACCAAATAGCTTATGTGTAGCAGAACACGGCCAAGGTAGAGCTTAATTGGCGATGAAAAGCCAAAACTCAAATGGGCCGAATACAATTTGATACCTAGAATATGAATCTACACAGATAAGCCAGTATGAAAGAGATCGCCAATGAGGCGGGGTCTGGTTGGTAACAAACGCTGAACACCGAAGATGCCATGCTAACCGGACTTATTTTTGTGGCAGACTGGCCATGGGTCAAATCAGATGGTTGTTCCAGCTACCACATAATGCCTCATGATCCACTCTTACCATGGTTCATACCGTGTAAGTCGCTTGTTCACATAAACTTTACGCCCAACGACTCCATACCATCTTCTGGAGACAGACAGCCTTCAGAACTGGGAACCTCCCCATATCGGAGTTACCTTAATGAAAATGCTATAACATTGATAAGAACCATTGCCATCTGCATAGAAGCCTTATTTCCAAATCATCAGCATATCGCTTCCATCTCAATAACTCGTTGTAAACATTGGCTATCCAACACAACCAAAGATGACAATGTCTCCTGTAAAGACAGCAGCCGAAAGCAACCAAATGCCTATCGGAGGTATGTCTAGCGAGTCCAGTCGCTCATCTGACTCGATGCCCGAGGTTTGTGCAGAGAACGACTGGGACAATTCCCCTGCAGGGCTCGCCAGAAAACAGTGCCGCGGTCTATATGAGCTGTGGGACAAGAGGGACAGCAAGTACGAAGACATACGGCTCCAATTCGCCCACAACAGATACCGGACCCGGCAATACTACGAGGGACAAATACTACTAGCACAAAGAAAGTATGAACAGGGCGTGGGCTGCTGCACGCTCAGGCTGTTCTTTAGTCGGTTTTTGCGGCGGGAGCTCAAAAACATAGGCGAAAAAGAGCAGAATGCGATGAACGTCCTCCTCAAGGGTGAAACAATCGAACGCGTGGCAGTTACGAGCAAGTTCTCGGACCGGGAGGAGAACTACATCATACAATGCAGAACGCGATGGGCGAAAAAGTATCCCGCAACTCCTTTTTGGTACGATGAACAGGAGGAGTTGTCGACTTCGGGCGACTATGACGGATCCAGCGTCTCTGCGCAGTCGTTCGCTTAACGGCGTCCGAGCTTCAACGACTGTTATCACGAAGCATGGGGGAGTATAGACTTGTTGTTCTTGTAGCAACGAGTTCGGCCTCTGGTATTTCAGACTTGTCCAAGACGACGACAGCAAAGGGCCACTTCTCAACTTCAAATGTCATTTGAAGACACGCTGTTTGGGTAATTCTTACTTGGGCTAAGAAAACGACATTGGAATTTGTCAGAGAAGCTAGGTGGTTCTGGAGGAGAAGTTAACCCATTCACCTTACATATGAGCTACCCACATCACCACCACCATCGTCACTACCATTGCTACCACCATCACCCCTTATTGTTTCGTCAGCTCACCACCCATCCAGTTGTAATTTCCTACTTCATTGGATAGTTCGGATAGGGACTCATCCATGCTATAGTGACCGGAAATGGTCACTAAAAAGTGGCCAGAGGAATGCGACAGAACGTTCACTGGGGCGTGACAAGGGTGAGAGACAATAGCTGTTTACCAATTAGAATAATACACGTAATCATTGTATTCTGGTCTAGATTTGAAATTTTGCCTTGGGGATATTTCCCGTACCCTTAACACTACGTCAGCTTGTGACCAGAGTTAGAAAACGAAGTACCATACCTCAGAACCATTGGGTCTGAATTTGGCTCCGGCAACCTTTGGCGCATGTTTCTTCAACACTATCGAGACCTTTCCGCCGTCGCATTAGCCCCCTGGGATTCAATAGCTTGCCAAATGGTTTCAGGTCGAACTTATCCGCCATTCAGTAAGCTAGCAATTAAAGCGTTGTTAAGAGCAACGACATACGCCTCCCTCTGACGCTCAAGCTTGAACCACGACAACGCCACGCCGACCGGGCTTCACGTCAGATGCTTGGCGTTGCCGAGCCAGCAGCAGTGCTGTTATAGTTTGCCGGGCCTGCTGTGACATTGGTGATGCCCTAGGACAGACGTAGAAGTGTCCGCATAGAAGTCACATGTGCGATTTCACATAACTTGAAATGGCCGTCATATGCAAGTACATTTGTTTTACCGCAGGGCTGCCGAAGGCGGTTGACATGCTTGGACAAATATTTAATAGGCACGCACACACATAGCACGTCCGAAACAGGCAGCTACACTGTCGGCCGCGAATAGCGTGGTGATCAGCTTGATTGCGTATATTGCTCGCCTCAGATCATTTAACGTCGTGGCACATCATGTTTCTCGTGACACACCCATTGTTCTCCAGGGAATGCTTTTGTGTAGCTCAGATTCGCGTGCTGGCACCGAGCTAGACGTCGATTGCCTTTCATCTATGGCATGCAGATCCCGTCCCTCACCAATGTACAGGAGTCGCCCATCACAGCTCATTGTGCTCCTGGGCGTCGGAGTCGGAGTCAGCAATAATGGTCTTGACGACTTCGGCAGCCTCGGCGACCTTGCCAGCGACCTTCTCGGCGACGCCCTCGGCAGCCTTGGAGGCCTTCTCCTTGATGACGATCTTCTCGGGCTTGGGGACGCCTTCAATACCAACGAGCTCGGTCTCAAAGACTGTTGCGAAAGAATGTCAGTAATGTTGCAGGCCACTCAAGAGAAGTGGAGGCTATACCAAGCGTCGAGCTAGCGGGGATAGGCCCCATGCCGCGGGACCCATATCCAAGCTCGGGGGGGATGGTCAAGGTTCTGCGAGGCGTCAGCAACGATTGGTCTCGGATGGTTCGATTGTCTCCTGGGTTACCTCTTCTCGCCAATGCACATATCCAACAGACCCTGCTCCCATCTAAAGCATTGTTAGCCACCGTGGCGCGTCCTTGTTTGTTTGTCGAGTGGATCGTGGACCAACTGACCCCTTGATGACCTGGCCGCTGCCAATCTTGAAGCTGAAGGGGGTTCCCCGGTCGTAGCCTAGGAAAAGAAAGTATCAGTAACCTCGCAGTTGATACGTGGGCGCAGTATCGTATCTTACTGGCGTCGAATTGCGATCCGTCGGCCTGCAGGGTGCCGCGGTAGTGCATGGTGAGCTTGTCGCCATTCATGGTCTTGCGGTCGCACTCGACCTCCTGGGTGACGTCGATCTTGAGGCCGGCAGCAGCAACAAAGCTGACAGTGCTGGAGGCCAGAAGGCCAAGGGAGAGAAGGAGGCCCTGCATTGTGTGTATTTTCGTGGCGTATGGCGAGGCGGGATGGTGGTGGTTGAAGGTGTGGACGATGGATTGAGGAAAGGGCAGATGGGCGGTCAATTGGTCGAATTGGAGACGAACAGCTGGCGGGCCGCCTCAATGGCACGGTTCTCCGATTGGTCAATGGGCTCCGACAGTGAGGTGGATACCCTTATCAGATATTCCGCGGGGACCAAGCTTGACTTATCGATAAGAGCACCCACACTATCGCCAATTACCCTCTACCTTGCTGCCTATTGGCATTTGGTGTGTTTCCTACTTGGTGACGTCAAACCAAGAAACATCCTGGTCCAGTCAGTCGTAACTTCCTTTTTCCTCACAATTCGGGTGGTGATAGTGGGGAACATCGCAGCAGCACGTGAGACAGCGTCGACAGCCTTGGATTTCTCCGTTTCGCTTCGTTATTTAGGCAGGATCTACAAGGACATCACAAGTGCATGGCAAGATTCCGAGTCGCTTGTCCGCCTCGTCTATCTTGGGCCAGTTTCTCAACGTACCATGTAGGCAGGGGGGATACTGCTGCTTCCGCCACGATTGTTTTCCATTCCAGAAGCCTCGCGACACTACCTATGACTAGCACAGGGCGGCGGTGCAAACCAGCAAGCAAATAGTCATTGCCGCTTAGGCAGAAAACACACTACCACGGCTACCCTCACCAAATACGAGCTGATGACGGACCGGCAGCCGCGAGTGAATACATTGTCGCCATTCGACAAGCTTGTGGTTTACAACCATCACTGGCGTTTGGTCAAGCTGCCGCCCACTGTTGCGTGCACCTGTCAGACTCGTCTGCCTGTCATCCAGCTTATCCACTACCGTACTGCAAAGTGAAGACAGAATGGGCACACCCACAAATGGAGCGGCAGAATGTTTACGCAAGGGTACCTTGCCTATCCGCCCACTGCATCAATATGACAGACGACGGATGATGCCATACCAGCTGCGCGAGGCCCGAACAATGCAAGCCAAACTCCTAGGTACACTAAGAAAGGCAGGCGACGCTGGCTGTCAGCTGCGGCTCGGTCATCCTTACAGCGGGTTTGTACTGCATTACGGATATACGTGTCGCATACCCTTCATCGTCCGGCCTCCAGTAGCCGATCAAGTCCGACAGCTCGCCCTGTTGGCTGCACGCAAGAGGCATGAACCCACCGTGCGGCGCTGTTGGCTGCAGAAATCCACCATCTCCTCTCGGATTTTCACTGCAGGCAATTTGGCCATCGTAGCCAGATCGCTGCAGCATGCATACCGGCCTATTTTGGAGTTCCGATCGAATGGACGGTGCATTGGACAGTTGGGCCCCCAGGGTAGGGTATCCCCAGCAAATTTCTCAAACATCAGGCTGGATCCGAACTCTCTGGCCTGTTGGGGGCCCGACTAGCTTCCAGAAACCACACAGACGACGGTTTTTCACTCCCGCGGCCGCTCCCGTGGTGGGAACACGGAGATGAGCAAGATGAGCGCAAAAAGAAAGAAACACAACCATGCCGACCCAAGCATCATCGGGCCATCAGTTGGGCAGCGATGATCTCGCTGAGCCAGGGGCTGTGTTGGGTTCTGTTTGGACGAACCGTAAAGGGAAAGGGAAGAGGAAAACTTTTTCGTTACCTACTGTCGTGCTCTCTGCCATTCCAGATTCGGCCGATGAATTAGAGTAGGACTAGGTCTGGGACGCACCATCACTCGTCGCCGGAGCCTTCCAAGATGCTGCTGCGCGGCGCTTACGGAGGCCAACCATGGGATGGGCACGTAATGCAGCCTTTCTGAGGCCCGCGACCACCGGCCAAGTGTGCGTTTTTCCACTTACACAGCAAATACATGACATCTCTCGCCCTCAAAGCTGAGCATGCTCCAAGACCAAAGACATGGCTGGACGCGTAACTGCTTCGTAATTGACAACAGGCTGGCGGGCACGCAAGTGCAGTGACAGTCGACGGCACGATGACAAACTGGAGGATAGCACTCGAGGCAAGTGCAAAAGAAAAGGGGGGCTCGGAAGTGTGCGCGCGAATGGGGCGAGACAAAGCGGCAGTCCAGCAATCATCGCCCTGTGGAATCCGCCCTACCTGGTGTCGTCCGGCCCAAGCCTGTCTCACCCAATCGACGAGAGAGTGTCGCCACCGCGGTATCAATTACCAAGGGATGACCTACACCAAAGGACTTTTAGCAGGACTTTTAGACGCAGGCGCGCAAGTCTCCGGAAGACCCGCCAGCCCACAACACCCCATAACCCCATTCGAGTTCCCACGAGCATGTGCAACATCACAACAACCGTCTTCCCTGCTTCCTTGGTAATGCCAGGACTTTATCAACCCAAACTAACCAGCCTGGTGCTACCCGTGCCCGACGGTCCCTGCATTCTGAAAAACCGAGAAACCCTGAAAGGACAAAGCTGCCCAATGGTCAGTCACACCGTCGTCGCCCTGCGACACACGCACACGCCCATACCATAACCCCCTCCACGGTGTACTCGACTCTCCCACTGTCAGCCCCAACGATCCAGGGCTGCCCCCCCCATCACACTGCCTCCTTACACCTCGCTCAAGTCCGCTTCCCGGAACCAAGTTCCAAGCTTGATTCTGGTTGAGTCACTCTCTCGCTGCCTCGCCGACACAGCCGGCGAGACTTTCCGCAAGGCCTTTTTCTATTTACTCCCAGTCCGGGTCCGGGACCAGGACCAGGTACCTTGCCTACCTAGGCAATCAACCCAATACGGGTCCTCTCCTCTCCCCTCCTCCGTACCTTGGGACCAGCATGCCCTGCCCATGGAAAGTATCAATAGCGCACGCGTTCAAGTACAAGTGTACATGATGGAGGCATCCCGTATCAAATGTGTGTTTGCGAACCACTTCTCGACTATATATGCAGTCCATGCCCTTTGCCTTTTCCCTTCTCCCGGAGTCTCTCTTCTCTAGCCATCGCCTTAACATACTATCAACCCAAAGCACGCCTTTCACCAGTCTACGCTACCCTACCCACATCACAAATCTATTGCCATCCGTTCAACGTTTGCTTGCCTTGAACCGAACCTTGACCAACACCAACTACCAAACACCAACCCACACATCAAGCAAAATGTCGTCCAGATACAGCAACGCCAAGCCGGTCGTCCACCAGGCCCCGGCGTCCATCAACAGCGGCTACTCAGCATCGTCTGGTTCGTACGGCTCTTCCAGAAGCTCATCCACTGTTCGCTCCGTGTCACCAAGCGATGAGGCCTACCTCCGTGTGTACGGCGCCGCCGACCATCAGTCAACGATGAGGCACACCAGCTCGGGCGTCACTGTCATCAACCGCCGTCAAACCGGCTACGAGGCCCACGCGCCGTCGCCAACGTACACGGGCAGCTACGCAAGGGCATGAAGCATCGATACTTCTCGTCACGACAACCCACCACCTTCCCTCTACAACGTAAATGCATCACTCGGCGTTTTTGTTTTTGTATTTTATTTTTACTGGGTTCGATATAGCGGATGGGACAAGCGGAACACCTGTACATCATACTGTATCATCATGATTGGATATCTACGGGGATGGGATACGGAAATATAACGGGGCCAAGGGACTATATGACGGGGATACTCGGCCACTCCTTCGGGACGAGTTCGTATGGGCTAGACAGCTACGGACTGTACCTAACGTGAAGGGCCCATGTGTCTTGGATAGATTGCCACGGATTTGGCGGTTTGGTTATGGGGGGACACTATAGATCTGGCGTACGAGCAGCCGCAGTGGGTTGGGTAGCATCCAGCAACAATTCCTGGAGATCCGACACTTTGTGTTATTAATGGAGTCGCTTTCTTTTGCTTATCCAGACCCATCTCAACTCATCTTTCGTTGCACCTAGCATTGACTTTTTGGTACCTGAAACGGGGCGGTGGTTTATGTGTGTGTGTGTGCCATTATGTCCCTTTGGGAGGGAACATGGAGTCGGGAAAATTAGAGGGCCAACCGGCCGCCGGGGCGTTTGGGGAGAAACCTCCTGCGCCGGACCCCTTTTTTCCCCCTTGAAGAGTCTCAATGCAGGCGAGAGAGATGGGAAGACATGAGAAACCTTGCTTTTCTGCTATGGTGTGTGCTACCACCACCACCACCTCGCACCCATCTGGAATGTCCACGGTGATTCGCCGCAACGCAATCGCCATGAGCGTGAGCTACCTAGGCACTTTAGCGTATTCCCCTGTATCTGCATTGATTTTTTTCCCTCGACATGTCGTCAGGTCGGGAGGGGGGGGGGGGGGGGGGGGGGGGGGGGGCTACAGTTGGGGCCTGCTCTGCCGTATGCATGCATGCAAGGGACGGGAGCGAATACTTGCAGGACAGAAGAGGAGACGGCGGCAGGCTGTGCACGCCCGTCCGCCGAACAGGGGACAAGAAGCACGACATAACACAATACATGGGGTGAGGTGAGGGGGGAGAAACAGGAATCTCAATCGTTCCATCCACCCGTCCTACGAACCGGTCGTCTTCTTCTCTGTCCTGGAGACCTACGATGGCCACAATGCTAGTGAAAGGGAGGGGGGAGGACGGGGGGGGCAGGAGCGATGTGGGAAACTTCAACGAGGGAACGCACCGAGAGAACTCAATAATGAAGCGGACCGTCTTTGCCTGGGTCCGGGAGAGCAGCCAGGCGGCCAGGCGGCCAAGGCAGCCGGAGGGCCGGGGGGTTCCCCGAGAGTTTTCAGATCCACACGGGTACATGGTATTGGTGGCCAAGGGACTTGAGGACGTTGCGGGAGGTAGTTACTAATGACGGAGGAAAGAGTTCACATGTCTGTCACCATAGTCTGCGAGGAAGGTGGCCCAGTTTTCCAAGAATAGAAAAATGCGACGCTTTCACAGAAACCAGTATTAAGTGCATAGCATATAGGGGGGGAGGGGGGGGTCGGACCCCTTCCAAGATGCCATCTCGTGTTGATGAATGTTTCATCGCGATAAGGCTGAATAGAAACAAGGTCATGGCATGTCTTCTTTTTTTTTTCTTTTTTTTTTTCTTGCTATTCTCGGAAGCAGGCCGGTGGTGCTATAGTAGCCAAGTAGTAGGAAAATAAGGAAACAGCTTTGCGTGGCCCAACCCTCGACTATCAGCTTATCTTTTTCCCCCTCGTTTCTTTTCCTGTTTTCTGTCATCGTGGGTGCCGTGGGAAATACCCCGCCACCGATACATCAGCATCAGAGCATCGAACCACTATACTGAAAACAGCAATTCAATATAAGCGCACAATGGTTTCCACTTTCGGTCATTGACACTATCACTTTGACAAGACACCGCACACGAACCCACATGCCCGTTACCCATACCCGTTACCCGTGGGCCATCTAAGCACCACCCTCGCGCTTGGCGTACTCGTCCTCGATGGCCTCAGCGTACATGTCCTCGGGGCTGCGCGGATCCTCCTTGAGCACGCCCTCCTTGATGAGTTCCTCGGGCGCGGGTCGGTGGGAGATCTTGTCGTTGAGCGAGTCGGCGCGCATGTGCTTCTCGAGCTCCTTCTGGTGGGCGATCAAGCTGGGCGCTGCGTTAGACGCGGGCAGGATGTTCTCTGCAAGGCGAGACGAGTTAGCTTTCATGGTCCCGTCCGCATCCACTCGAGTTCAAGGCGGAGGGGAAAGGAAAACAGGGATGCGGGAGATGCAAATGCGATGCGGTGCGGCGATACAAGCGGGTCCAGAGGTGGAGCTGCCTATCCCGTGCCCCGTTGCTCCGGGTGTTAATCAGCGGGTGAGGCGAACGGGGTGTGGGGGGCACGCGGAGACCGGAGCGAGGTGCGCGGTTGGAGAAGAAGTGGAGCGAATGCTACTCGTTGTCGTATTGGAGAGAGACGGGGCAGTATGAAACAAGGAAGCGGGAGGGGGAATGTGGAATACATCGTAGGAGGTGGCGATGATGTGAATGGTGATAGATACAGATTCGCGGCGTAATGGTAGGCAGAATGGGGGGTGAAGGGTTTAGTTACATACTCTCGACCAGCTCGGCGCGGTTGGGACGGTGTTGGAGGTGGTTCTCGAGCGAGTTCTTGCGCTCGCCGGGCGGGTGGGAAATGGGCGTCTCGTCGATCGAAGGCTGCGAAGTGTTGTTGTCGGCCATGGTTAGGGGATGGAGAGCGATTGAAGTGGGAGTGGATGTCGTCGCTGTTGGAGTGGAATCGGCTCGTATCTGCGATTGATTGGGGCCGGTTCACTGCGTCGGGAGATTGGTCTCGCCTTGTTTTTCTTGGTAGTATGAATCAAACGAGATTTGAACAAGTGTCGCCTTGGAATCTGGGTATCAGCAGTGTGTATGTAGGTAAGATGCACGATGGGGAGATGTGACGGATGAGTGGACGGAAGGAAGGGCGGTGGGTGGTGAACGGGCGGCGACGGGTGGTGTTATGTACTCTTTCTCTCTCTCTCTCTCTGTTTTTCTCTTCACGTCCAGAGCAGGGCAGTCAAGATGTAGGTAGGTGCACTACGGTATCAACTGCATGAGGGTTGGTATGGCAATGGAACAAGAGCAAGGTCGAGCAGCAAGTGGCCCGGTGAGGTGAGGTGAGGTGATTTGACTGAGAGCTTGCTTGGTTGCTTGGTTGCTTGGGGAGGCTGCAGGGTCGAAGCTGTTTGGCAGGGCACAGGCAGGTTTTACCCCGCAACTGGCCCGTGACCCCTCTAGGCACGTACCGCACCTGCTGCACTTTCCCTCTGACGGCGCCACATTGCATCACCAACGCCTTACATAAGACAGATACGTGCTCGGTACTCCACGAAAACGCCCACTTGTGCCTGAGGATCAAATCCCGAGCACCATGCAGATAGAGAGATGACTTGGATCTTTCCCATTTGCTGCCATTCGTGCCATTCTCCGCTTCTGTTGTTGTCGCTCCGAAGCTTTTCACACACTCTCCATCCTCCATCGCTCTGGTGACGGTGCTACAGTTCTTTCGCTGGTCGGTTTCCGTCGCTCACATGCAACATAAACAATGCCATTCATTCATCGCCCACTGGACCGGCGTCACATTGCTCGAAAACGGATGACAATAAGACAGCCGCCACAACTCTGGGCCCCCCCATACCCCTGCTGGCGTCAATGACGGATGACGTCTAGCGCACGGGGCGCGCCATGGTCCCCTGCCCGTCATCCGAGCTTGCTTGGAGCTTGCTGTGATCGAGAGACCCTGAAGGACATCCTGAAAAAGGACAGCCTCGTTGATGAAATCACAAGACCCAAGTGGTTTGCTTTGACGCGTCCGCTTGTCGTCACGTCAGCGAGCCTGCTCCCAGCCCCCTATCCAGGACGCGGCCATTCAAACCTCAGCCCCCGTGTTGGTCGCCGCATCCAAGGGGCAAAATCACCTCAAATGACCTTCCCGCCGCCTAGCCCCGTGCTTGGCCCTGAGGTACCGACCAGCGGCAGCGGCCGAGTCTTTGGCTTTGGAACTGATGGTTTGGCGCCCGGTATTGCATTGTGTCTCGTTGCAGCAGCAAAAGACGTCAAGACGCGAATGGAAGGCTGTGCAGCTTGCTATCACTGACGAGCCGGGGCCAGCTGCGACCGCTGCGGTGCGTGTGCTGCAACAGTGTACAGCCTACAGGCAGTCTGATATTGACGTGGGTTGGTGTCGTGGCGTCTGAGCTCATCTCACCAATGAGAACATTAGCATAGCACCATTGCTTTGTGAGACAGTTCTTTCCCCTCTTCGTATTCACGCATCCAGCCTGATCTCTCGCCTTCTCCCTTTCTATCTTCCCACAACTGTTGCTACTCTGCTTTGGTTCACTTGGCCTTCGATATGCGACTACTAAATGCCAATACTCTCCAGCTCCGAGAGTTCTACGACCAAGACGTCCCTGCCTATGCAATCCTATCTCATACATGGGAGGACGAGGAGCTCACCCTACAAGACCTGACCAATCCTGCCAGTGCAACCAAGGAAGGCTTTTCCAAGGTCCGGGCACGTTGCGCCCAGGCCGTAAGAGACGGGTACGAATGGGTATGGGTCGACACATGCTGTATTGATAAAACTTCGAGCGCGGAGCTCTCCGAGGCTATCAACCACATGTTCCGCTGGTACCAGCAATCTTCGGTATGCTACGCCTATCTGGGTGATGTGCCACTTCAAAGGCCCGGCGATCTCGATGCGGACCGATTCACCATTTCAAAGTGGTTCACTCGAGGCTAGACTCTTCAAGAACTCATCGCTCCTGGTCAGGTTGAGTTTTACGACCAGGATTGGAACGGTGTCGGAACCAGACTGTCGCTGATCGAATTGATTCATCAAGCCACTGGTACAAGGCGCAGCATACTTTCTGGCCAAAGTTTCTTGGCCCTTACAAGCGTTGCCGAGCGCATGTCCTGGGCTTCGACGAGTAAAACCCCGAGGCTGGAGGACATGGCGTACTGTCTTTTGGGCATTTTCGATATCCAAATGCCGCTTTTATATGGAGAAGGCTCGCGGGCTTTCAACAGACTCCAACAGGAGATTCTCCGGACAACCGAGGATTCGAGCATCCTTTTGTGGGCATCCGTGTCGACCTCCCTAGAACCAGGTGTGCTTGCGCCCTCACCTGCTGAGTTTCGCGACGTAGCGATATTGGATGTCCACGGTGATAAGCTCGGGGCTCCAAATCATAACTGGGGAGTTGTCAGGCCGCTGACCGAGACGAACCTGTGTCAACGTGAACCTCCAGCCATCACAAGCGGTGGCCTTCGTGCCTACATGCTAGGCTATGAATATGTCCGATCAGGTATCTCGCGCATTACCGATTTGTACGCATGTGCGCGGTGTGAGGGCGGCCGCCTAGACGGGTATTCATGCATCCAACTTCAGCTGCCCTATTCATCGTTTGGCATCCAAAGATTCAATAACAGCATACCTTGGATAAAGCGTGGAATCAGTCATGTATATTTTGTGCCGTGGACCGACAGAGAAGGGTTTGGAGACACTTCCCTCATATACATGTCTGTCGCGCACCGACGGATAGAGATCGAAGCGCATTTTCCCAGACACTATCCCAGCATATACCACATCAACCTAGGGGCTGATTTCAGAATTTGTCTGGATAATAACTGCCCATTATCCCTCTATCTACGTTCAACTTCAGACTCAATTTCTCGGACCCTGGGGGCGATTGACGAATATTCTATCAGGCGGCCCGAAGAGGGCTTCATTTATGTTCGGCTCTTCGCCGACCATGACTCTATTTTCAACCGTCCAAAGTACTCTGTCACCGTCCATCTTCGCAATCGTCCGGGATATGACGGAATGGAATGCTGTATAAGTCCGCTTATACATACTAGTTCACATAGCAGTTCGCCAAGTGGCGACATGCCGCGGCATGGATGGAGCGATCGATGTGCCGAGGTCCTTCCGGACCGAAAGAATGTTCTTTTGGCGAAACTGAAGCCAACCAAGGAAATCAAAATACTGCAACTTTCAGTTCAGTCATGGCATGGGTGGTAAGGAAGGATGCTGCCATTGCACCTTAACAAAGACGTTCTATGGATATGGAAACCTATAGACCCCTGATCCGTGGATCTTGGGATGCTTTCCAAGCCGCATCTCAGGCGATTCTGCGAAGATGATTTCAGTATCGAGTTCGTCGTGTTTGGCCTTCCCTAGTGAGCTCGTATTCAACGTCATCCCAAGGGCTATCTCACGTCCCCCCCAATCAACAAGTAACAGCAACCTATTCAACCCTTCTTCCTGGCACTGCTACCCTCCGCGCTAGCGCTTTGACCTGCGGCGGTAGCGACAGTGGATGATAGACGCCGACGCTTGACAGACGGCGAGTCTTGCCCGCCGTCGCGGCGCTGAGTCCCCGAGCCTCCCTGGACGCGTGCGCTCTCCGTCTCCGCTGCTCGACCGCGCTTTTTGGAACGAGCCGCCGCAGCCGTCGGGCCTTTCCCGGTTCTTTTGGTGGGAAGGGGCGACCCAAGGGCATCAGCAATGTCAAAGATGTCGGCAGGGGCGGTTGTGCCGTTGGCCAGACCGGCGCGAGGCGGCTGGGGAATGGTTCCCTGATCGGTGCGAGGCGTGAAGTCCTAGGTCACGCGAGCTGGCAGACGTGGCGTCCAAGATGAGATGGAGGCCTCTTGGTACTTCTAAAGGCGCGTCAGAGCTCGTCTCTACATATGGTGGCAGAAGCTGAGGGGTGAGGTGTGCCTACCGTGGGAGCGTTGAAGTAGAGAAAGTAGTCCATCTGCGTCTTTAGATCGGCTCCCTTCTCAAGCGGCACCTTACCAGGTGTCTCCTGCGCCGCCCGTTGGCGCAGGGCAATGTCTTTATTATCTGGCGACTCCGTAATTACGCGAGACACCAGGCCTTCGGTCAAGCGGCCCGCCGTGCCGGGGCTGAAGCCGACGCGGTAGGTCTGGCGGCCCTGGCCGGTCGATCGCTTCTCTCGCAGCATGTTTCGCAGTTGCATGTCTCTGGGACCCAGAGGCGTCTTCGGCTCCAGGAACCGTGGACCCATGGCGACGCAGACGGCCTCGCGGGCCAGAGCCTCCATCGTCGTTCCCTTAGCGCCGCCCAACGCGCTGCTGATGATGGGCCCGGTGATCATTTCGTCTGCAGAGCCAGCCTGGGCCAAGCCCGGGCGGCAGTCCGGGGGGGGCCGCTCCTCGCAGCTGCGCATGATGCGGCCGGGTCTGTATCTGGATCCGGGGTCCTGGCAGGGGATACTTGTGACGGGGCGGTAGGCGTTTTCCTTCGATGCCACTGCCGCGGGGGCCTTCGAGGGAGGCTGCGGGCCAGCGGCCTTCTCGGAGCACGAATGGTGGGCGAGCGATGTGTTTTTCAGCGAGGCGATGGGCTTCAGGGGTCTGGCGAAGGAGGCCAGGGAGTGTCGCGAGAGGGGGGTCGGTGTGTCCGGCATCGGCTGGCTTCTCAGGGTCTCGATGATGGCGAACTCGGCGTCTGTGAAGGGCGAGGCGGGTTGCTGGCTACGAGGCAGGCCGTAAGGCGATGGAGAACCGCGCGTTGTGGCGCTGTTCGTCGGTATAGCCGGACGAGAACTATAAGCCGGTCGAGACCAGTCGGTGAAGGTGCGAGGAGCTGCAGAATCTGCCGAGCGGCCTGCGGCAGCGTTGACTGGAGGGATCTGTGAGAGCGGTTTTGAGTGTTTTGCCAGCATTCATGGGAGCCGGCGACTTACTTCCGTGTTGACCGAGGACGCGTCGCGTCCGTCTCGAAAACCCAAAGGGGTGGCAGGCTGTCCCGGCTTGTCCATCTCGAAAATCTTCTACGCCGAAACGGAGGAATATTACTCGAGACGGTGCGGGTTTCTTGATGGTCTCGCCCCGATTGGGCTCGAAGTCTGAAGCCCTGGGTAGGAAAGGCTGAAAGTAATGAAGAAAAGGAGAAAAAGAAGTTGCTTTGAGAAGCGGTGAGAGGCAGTAGCCCGGCTCAAGTGGTTTCTCGCCCGGCCGAACTTTCACAAATATGCCAATAGCCAGCGACGAGAACGGATTTTATTATGGGCTAGCAACGCCTTTGTGGCGAAAGAGAACTTCACGGCTTTGAGAGAATACGCGTCGTGTCCATGAAAATAAAGATGACAACGTATTTGTCTTCTACCCTGAACAGCTTCAAACGAACCATCTCTCTTCATTTCAAAACCTTGATTCCATTTTTACTCTTATGCTTATAATGGTCTTATTACACTGAATTTAAGCATCGTTATAAACCAGCCATTATATCTGATACGACTGGCACTCTACGCAATGCTCTTTCATTCTCTCAGGGGACCTAAGTCAGAATAATGTACACATAGAACCAGCATCTTTACATCATAGCTGATAACATGACAGTAAACTGATCCGCCCTGAGAGCAAATTCTTATTGCACGTTCGATGCTGATATGATAGCTGACTTCTCGCAAGGAGTCTAGAGACTACTGAGCTGTTTGATAACCTGGGCCCGCTGAACAACCACCAGGCGAAAGATAGTATTTTCAAAAAACATGTTGAGCCAGTTCACTCGGAAATGACGTGCGTAATGTTTCTCAGCTCTAAAGCTAGCTAAATTGTGCGAGGACAACGGATTTCTAAAATCAACTGACCGAAAGCACCAAACACAACTCGGGCTTCTGGCCAAACGCTACTCATAGACCCGAACACTCAAACTTCAGAAGATTCCCGTCGACAATCTTCTTTTCCATGCTTACCAATGTCGGCATGTCCCACATACAGCTTATCCACCTTCCGCCGAGCCAGTCCCTCTTCTTGCTGGTGAGATATGTGATTGAATGCGCAGCGAGCTCTGGGGTATCCCTCATCCGAACTGTATCAATTTCAGCATACGAGTCACGCTGAACACAAGCTGAGTTGTCTCGAAACTTACATTGTAGGCTCTCAGGGAGTTTGGAGGAGAGCTCGGTGGGAACTCCACCGGGGTGTATGGAGAACGCGAGGACTCCCTGACAACAGTGAGCATTCGCTTCTTCAGAACGGTTTGAAAGGGGTCATGGTTCGGAACTGACCTGATCAGCGTACTCATCTTGGACGAACTCAGTGAACCGTATCAACGCGAATTTGGAAACATGGTAGGCTCCCCCGCCTGGACCCATGAAGTGTGCCGCTACTGATGACATGTTGACGATGGTCTTGTCTCCTCCCTTCAGCATCAGGGGCAGGAACGCCTTGGTGACGCGGTAAGTGCCCCAGTAGTTGACGTCCCACGTCTTCATGTAGTCGTCGTCGTCGGCCTCGAGCAGCGGCTTGAAAGGCGTCATGTAGCCGGCGTTGTTGATGAGAATATCCAAGCGTCCCCATTCGGTCGCCAGCCTTTCCGCCACGGCCTTCACGCTGGGCGTGCTGCTCACGTCCATCTCGAGCGCGAGGACGGTCGGCTCGGGTCGTCCGGCGTTCTTGGCCGCTTCGAGCACGGCGCTGGCGGTCGAAGAGACATCCGAACGGGCGACCACGGCGATCATGGACGCGCCGGCCTCGGCGTAGCCGATGGCGATCGCCTTGCCCAGGCCTTTGCTCGCCCCCGTGATGAGGACGGCTTTGCCCGTGCAATTGGAGACGGTGACGGGGTTGATTTCGGGGTACGCGTCATGATGAACGAGGTCCCCGGTGAAGGCATCAACTAGGTATCTTCCGAGTTAGTATACCGAAAGTATCATTTCCGCCGGAGCTTAGGGGCTGGGTGTACCCTTGCGAGGCGGGCCCGCGGAGGGCTGCTGAGGTTCGGGGGTCATGAGTGGAGTGATCTTCAGTTGAACTGGGTGTTCGTGTTTGATGTCGGCAGCGAAACGCGGGCTTCGGTAGGTAACTGTGAAGTTCGCCCAGCTTGGCGACCGGAAACGGTCGCCATCTTTCAACGGGCGCTAGCATTGGTCGTCGGACTTCCCCACGGGCGGCGGACGATACGCTCGGTCTGCTCATTTGTTGCAAGCTGTACTCTGTACATGAGATTTACTTGAGAGACTGGGTGAAGGAAAGACAACATCAAGATACCTGAGAAACTTTCTTGCAACTATCACCGAAATGCAACCAGTACTGGCGCCTGTACCGATAAGACCCCTTGATTCTGGACTTCGTTGACAGCCTTGCGACTTCCTGTGGCTGGCCAGTTTTTATCAGCAAACAAGACTTTACGGATGGTTTATGATGTCTAAAAGTATCGTTGCCTCTTCTACTAAGGTGAGTATCATCAAAACCCGAAGCTTTGAGCTACGTCTGATGCATGATTCTATCAACCGGTGGAAGCCAGTTGACAGTCGTTCATGGTACCAAGCGCTTGGACGGCTTGCCAAAACTACGGGTCCGAAAAGACGGAGCGCTAGCGGAGTATCCTCTGAAATTTAACACCATAATTCGATAACGCAGTATTCATGCCATTCGTCCGAGGTGGAGGATTCGAGGGTAAGTAATAATCGGCTATTGATCTCCACTCTCCAGGAGAAATACCCATGGAATGACTTTCGCCAGCTGCTGATAAACCTTCATTCTTAAGATTGGATGAAAACATAGCGCAGAGGCTACTAGCATAGGTCTCGAAGAGGTCTCATCGTAGACTTCGGGAATGACGTGGTACCATGAACGGCCGTCACACCAAACGCTATGTCTGTCTTGCTAAAGCTGTAAGCCGCACAAGGTGCATGAGCCAAGAAGAACTGGCGCTAACCACATACGAAATCATTTGGCTGCATTTGTACTACCATTCGTGATGTCTCATTCTTTATCTCCTGTGTCGAAAGACATACAGTTTTCTGCGCAAATAAATAAATAAAAATGCGCTTAGTCCAGGGACGAAGGATCGAAGTCCTCCTTCATATCAGGGACCCAGCCCTTGGGCCGTTCCGTACCACGGATCGCCAATCCATAGCCAAGCTTCTCCACCTTGCGCACCGACTGCCGCATGACCTCCATCTTGCCCCTGAAGTCCTTTGTCGGGATCTCTGGGAGGATCTCGAAGCAGCTGCTTAGCTCGTGGATGTCCGCCAGGATGTTACGGCCCTCGACGCCGGCCAGCTGGCCAGTCTGGGCGGTGGTGACGGTGGCAAAACGCATCATCTCGCCAAAGAGGTCGAACAGGCCGTACATGTAGTCGTTCTCGGTAATGGGGACATTGGCCGGTACAGCGGCGGCAGTCTCTTCCGGGGTGATGAGGGTCTGGGTTCGGAGGTAGTGGACGAACGACAGGGCTTCGACAAGCTCCTCTAGGCAACGCAGGGAGTAGGCGTAGCGATAGCGGTTGATGCCCTGGATATCACCCTCAATCGCGGTTAGGTGGTTCTTGATCTCTTCCATACGTGTAGCAATTTCCTTGTTTGCGAAGTTGGGGAGGTCGCCCAGCTTGTTGACTCTGCCAAGACGTCAGCGGATGACACCAGGAGCGACTTATGAAGTCCATCAGAGGGGTGAAGATTACCTTTGACAGGTGAAGATGCTAATTCATATCAGTCAAGCCCAATCTAATTTCATGAGGCGCCATCTCACATCTTCTTGCTTAGAGCAGTCACGTCTCGTGACGCCTTGATGATGCGCTCCCTCCGGTCATGGTGCTGGTCGAGCTCATTTCGGAAGTTCATAAACATGGGGGTGAACTGCGACTCGGGCACCGCCGGCTTCTGCTTGGGCTCATGAGTCCGCGTGTTTCCGTCGCGATCTCTCTTAGACATCTTGAGTTTGGTACAGCAGGCCGAATTGGATGAGATGAGTGACGTCGAGCGAGTGAGATCCTCGTTGAATTCAATGGGTGATGTTGGTGCGGTGCCGTGCGGTGCCGTGCAGGGTCAGAATTGAATTTAGTGGGGGTCGGCACAGCGAATGGAGTACCCGGGGTGTGGGTCCAGCACAGTTAAACTCCCCAGAAATCCAGCCCAGGGGCTTGCCAGTTCTGCCCACGTCACCCAAATTTCCCATCATGGCGACATGGGCATTCGAGGTCTCAATCTTCCAATTGTCATCGCGCAAAGGCAATCTTGTGTTTCTTGGAGAATTCAATGGCCCTACCTATCAACTGATTCAATCAGGGATACGTCAACTTGGATGACATTCTGAGCTCCAGCAAAAGTCAGCTTTTCACTTGAATATGGCCGGTCTCGATGCCCTCTTCCGGCCCGTGCCGCTCTTTTCGACAGCCACGGTTCTCCGCGTGGTGATGCTCTACTATGGCCTTTGGCAGGATGCCTACTCAGCCGTTAAGTACACGGATATCGACTATCTGGTATTCACCGATGCGGCTCGCTTCACCGCCCAAGGGCGCTCGCCCTATGACCGCGAGACCTACCGATATACGCCTCTTCTGGCGTGGATGCTCGTCCCCACGGCCTCGCAGGCTTGCTTCGCTTTCGGAAAGTTTGTCTTCGCTGCTGCCGACCTGCTGGCCGGGTACTACATCGTGCGCATCTTGGAGAGACGAGGCGCGGAGCAGGCGAAGGCTCTCAAGTTCGCCAGCATCTGGCTGTTGAACCCCATGGTCGCGACCATCAGCACGCGTGGAAGCTCGGAAGGTCTACTTGGCGTGACGGTCATGGCCCTTCTTTGGGCTGTCCTTGATGGGCGAACAACGTTGGCTGGTCTTCTTCTTGGGTTCGGAGTTCACTTCAAGATCTACCCCTTCATCTACGCGCCGGCTATCGTATGGTGGATGGACGAGGATGCACTTGGGCGAAAGGAAACCAATGCCCATGGCAAGACCCTGGGAGAAACAATCGCCAAGTTCCTGAACCCTGAAAGGATCAAGCTGGCCGTAGTCAGTCTTGCAACCTTCATGGGCCTCAATATCGCCATGTACTCAATGTAAGTGAAAGCACCCGCCATCTTGAGCCGAGCTGACTATCATACAGCTATGGGACACCGTTTCTGGTGCACACATATTTCCATCACGTCACAAGGATTGATCATAGGCACAACTTCAGTCCGTACAACATCCTCTTGTATCTGACCTCTGCATTTCCGTCGACGTCAGCCATCCGCACAGAATCAGTCGCATTTCTGCCCCAGATCCTTCTGTCGACGATCCTGATCCCGTTTATTCTGGCCAAAAAGGACCTCGCGACCTCCATGATGGCCCAAACCTTCGCCTTTGTAACCTTTAACAAGGTCTGCACCAGCCAGGTAAGGATGCATAATTCGCGACTACTGGCAGACGATTCCTGACAGCAAAGCAGTACTTCCTCTGGTACATGGTCTTCTTACCCATCTATCTTCCTAACTCATCGTTCCTGAAGAACCCGAAGCTGGGAGTTACGGCACTGGCTCTGTGGATTGTGTCTCAGGCGGCTTGGCTGCATCAGGGGTTTCAACTCGAGTTCCTGGGCGTCAGCACTTTCTTCCCAGGCCTGTTCGCGGCATCGGTGGGATTCTTCCTCGTCAACTGCTGGATTCTAGGTGTCATAGTAAACGACGGCGGTAAGAGAACATCGACACATACGAAGAGAAGATAAAGCAGTAGATAAGCTAGCATTAGGACGGCATTACATAGCAGAGATGAACTCTTAGGCTGTTCGAGCTGAGCTCGCTAATGTTGAGTGTTGATGTCTTTATTTTACCTATCGTCGCGATAAAAGTGGGAATTGGAAAGGACAACGTCAAATTGTAGCACCAATAGATTGGGCTCGAGGTATTACAAGAACCCATGTCCTTCGGTCCATTTCTCACAAGTTTCTTGACTTGGAAAAACGTCTGCTGCCTGGAAGTGGACACGTGACCCGGCGTCACTTTCCCGCGATTCCTGGGACGCGTACGACGCCATTTATCTTTTAGCTTCCCCCCGCAACCTCAATCCAGTCGCGACCCACGACATCTTGCACCACGCCGGCAAGCCCGTTGCGCAGAGATCCGCGAACCTTTCAATTCGCAATGTGGCTCCTGGAGACCGACGGCAATGTATTGCAGGGTAATGCTCTTTGAAACACTCCCACCATCTGTCGAACGCGACACAAGGCTAACGTGATTTAATCCAGGCCGGCGACTCTGGCTTCGGCCTGGCAAACGATACCTCTTCGGCCGCACCGCGTCCGAACGTATGCGCGCCTTATCCACGACGATTACCGAACCATATCGCTGACAGACGCAGCTGGACAACTTGCGATCTCCCACAAGACCATCTCGCGCAAGCATCTGACGATTGAGGTCGGCGCAGTGCCGGATGGCGACAGTGTATGCTTCGCGCGCCAGAAGAAAGGCATTCAATTGCTGATGGGCAGCGCAGGAAAATCTATCGAGCCGATCGAAAGTCACCATCGAAGACTTGGGCACCAAGACCGGGACAACTGTGGACGGGCACAAATACAAGGGCGAAAAGCATGTCATCACCGAAGCTGCGGTCGAGATCAAGATGGGCGGCTGCCCTGACATGTTCCGGTACGCAGGCATGCCGTGGTCGGCTCTGAGGGACTTGGCTGACAACATGCTAGGTTGTTGTGGCACCCTGTAGTGCTGACTTTTAGCTTTTCAAGCCGAGAACTGCAAGCTGATCCCTTCTCACGACTGCGTGGTGAACTCGAGCAGCTCGACGTCAAGCTGGCAGCAGACTACAGTATCCAACACACTACGCACGTGGTCACCAAAAAGCGCAATACCTCCAAGGGGCTACAGGCTCTCATTAATGGAAAGTATATCGTTACCGATTCATTCATCGATGCAGTTGTTGCAGCGGCAATGCACCCTGCAAATGGGGATGGCATAGCTGCATCTGCGCTGGAAAATGACTTTGATGGTAGCTGGCCGGATCCACTGAAACATCTGCCTCCCCGCGGCGGCGAGCCTGTGGAACGGCCACCATCCGCCTACGCACCAAATGAGAGCCGCCAGGAGATCTTTGAGGGCTACACCTTCATCTTCTACGATAAGGGGCAGTTCAATACTTTGTTAGCGCCAATCACCAACGGCAAAGGGAAGGCGCTGTACACCAACGTGGACCCAAACACAACAACGGTTGATGATTTTATTCTATACGTGAAAACGGAAGCAGGTGAGAAGGGCCTCGGCTCCTTTGAGGATGGTAGCGAAGGGAGAGGGGTGGTTGTGGTCCGATTTGTTCCCAACAAAGGCGACGCAGTAGGCTGGTACGCCGATTTCTTTACTCAAGTCTCCCTTCGCTTGGACCATAGACCTATCGAGCAAAACGAGTTCCTCGAGGCTATCCTCATAAATGACGCCAGCATCTTGCGTCGGCCGCTGGAAATCGATCCTACCCAAGTGCCTTCAGGTACAGCGCCCCAACAACAGGCGAATACGGAATCCAGTTCGATGGACGTTGATCAGCCGGTGATTTCGCAACAAAGCCAAGAGACATCCTCGGTTTCTAAAACGGCTGTTGCCAGGAGCAGAGCACGGAGGGCAGCAACGCGGCGGTTTGCGGGATTCGACGCCGACGATGACGAAGGGGAGACATTAACCCCCCCGGTGACCGAGAGTGTTTCAGCCAATGCTTCGGTCAACAACGATCCCGATGAAGGGCTGTTTGTATCCCAAGAAGTGCATCCTCCCAATGAGACTCCGGATCCACTGCAAGAGGCGACAAATGGACGATCCCAGAGGAAGCGCCCTGTGGCCCAAGACGACAGTATTGAGGATATCATCCCGACTGCCGCGGCAGTGAAGCGACGACGGATTGCCGCTGGTGAGGAAGCAGTTCCCCGTCCAAAGTCGCCCGAAGCTCCGAAAGCCTCTGAACCCAAGACGGTACCCAAAACAAGGAAGGTCAAGAAAGAGATTGACGTCCTCGACGTGGCTCGACAACAGCGTGAGGAGATGGAGGCTCGCGCCAAGGCAGAAAAGGAAGATCTTGCCCATCTACCCGACGACGTCGACCTGAGCGAAATCCGTCGGCTGCACATCGTCGAGGAGATGCCTATCCGCCAACCAATGTCAAATAGTAGTCACGATCAAGATGCCGAGAACGGCAGATGGGACCCACGGTGGAACGGACGGAAGAACTTCAAGCGCTTCAAGCCACGCGGCGAACTTACGGGCCGCCCTCCGCAGAAGGTTATCGTACCCTTGACACAGGTCAAGACGAAGGAGTTCGGCATCGGAGACGATTACTGGCTCGAAGACAGCCAGGGCAAGAAGAAAGGTAACGAGAGCCAGAAGAGCGGGACGAACCAGACCGAATCCGCCGCGCCGCCGGCTTCTCAGCCCGCGTCGCGCCCACAGCGCATCGTCCTCAGCGATGACAGTGAGGATGACCAAGCGATGCCCGACACCGAGCCCGAGGTTGAGCCTGAGCCCGAGCCAGAACCGACGCCGGCTTCGCGGACGAGGAGCACCCGCGCGGCGACGACACAGTCGCAAAATACCAGCCAGAGCCAATCGCAGAGACAGACGCGGGGCAAGAGGGCGGCGCCCGCACCCGCCAAGGAACCCCCGGCGAAGAAGCCTCGGCCAACGCGGAAGGCCATCGAAATCGCCGATAGTGACGACAGCGACGACGAGCTCAAGTTCAAGTTTGGTCGAAGGCGTTGAGAGGGGGAGGGGGCCGGTATCAAAGACTATGGTTACGATGATGTATGATTTGCATCCTCTTGTGAGCGTTGCTTCTAATTATTGGGGGGTATCTCTCTATCCGTATTTCCGCATGCAGGCGGCGCAGCCTGTCGAATTAAAAAAAAGTCTTTTGCTTCCCACAGCATGTGTATGTATGTACCTCTCCGGCCCATTTAATTATGTGACTTGAATCAACCATGCCAGAAAACCGAAAAGGACCAAAAAGGGAGCCTCCCTTTCAGTCCATCTCGTCCATCGCACTCGGCCTGGAACCCTCGCCCTCCTCAACTAAGAGCCCGACAAGGCAGGCGGAAAGCATAGTCTCGTAGTTGACCCATGGGTGTATCTCGCCAAACAGCTTGGTGCCGTCTCGTCCGGCGCCCCGGAGCAGCTCGGGTACGCCGGCAGGGTGGTAGGGCAGGTAGGGGGTTATATTGTAAACGCGGCCGCCCAGCGCCATCCAGGCGTCCTTGCCCTTGCGGCCGTTCATGATCTTGAGCTGGGAGGGTGTGACCTTGAGGTAGGGGGTGTCGGGGGGCAGGTTCCGCAGGTCGGCGTTGGGGCCGGAGATGCGCGCCCAGTCGAGCGGCGAGTGGCCCGGGGTGAGGATAACCTTACGGGAGGGCTTGGGGGCTTTGGCGGAGTGAGAGGGCGGTGGGGCGAGGGAGGCGCCGAGGGAGGAGCCAGAGGAGGGGCCGCGGTTGGGGGCGGGACCGCGGGCGCGCTGGGGCGAGTTGGCGGCGGGGAAGGCAGCGAGGCGCGGGGGGGCCGGGACAGCGCGGGGGCCAGCGGTGGCGGATGGAGGAGGCGGCGGCGGCATCATGTTGATGTTGGACGAGGGCGCGGGCGGAGGGGGCATGCTCCCTCTGCCGGGGGCTGCGGCGGTCGCGGAAGGGGACAGGGCCGTCGAAGGGGTGTGGGATGACGGGGCTTCGAGGGTGAAGGAGGGGACCGGCGCCGCGGGGGCGGAGGGTCTCGCTTTCGGCGTCGTTTGTTCTTCGGGCTCGGGCTCGGAGAGGGAGACGGCGGGAGGGGGCATCGCGGCGCGGTCTTGGGCGGCGACGGGGCCTTGGGGGGAGTTGAGCGTCAGCGGGGCGTCGCGCGGCTGATGTTCCTCCTTCGTCGCGGGCCTGACTGCGCGCCCGTCCGGCTTCGTTGCCTTTTCACCTCCGGGTACAGGGGACCCGGAACCATGCGAGGGTGGTAGGGCGGGCGGGAGCTTGAGGTGGCGCCACGTCAGGAGGAAAGGCGGCATGAAGGGGTGTATCCATGGCGGGGGCGCAACGATAACCCAGACGACGGAGGCGAGGATGAGGGAGACGCCGACGTAGCCCATGGTAGGCGGGTGTCAGTGGATCCGTTGAAGTGGAGGGGTTTTTGTCCGTTGAAGCCGAATCTGGGGAAGGTAGCAGCTGGAAGATGGCGACGATGTCGAGGTCGTTTGTGCCCGTTGGCGTCGGCGTTTTGGGATGGCGGTTGCAGTTGCGCCTAGCAGGGCAAGATGGAATTCTTTGTCAGCAAGCGGGCTGCTGAGCGACAGGGGTGCACGGGGTTCACTGGCGGGGTTCGAGGACGTGCGGAATGATGCGCTAAGGAGAGAGAGAGGCCTCGAGGAAGGAGAGGGGGCAAAAGGAGGGAAGGAGTAGGTACGTACCTTCGCGCTAGTCGTCTGCGCCGGGCAACCAGCCAGCGCCTCGGGACACACGGGAAGGGTGTAGGCAGGTACGCGTGGAAAAGTCAACCAGTGTGATCCCAGTAACCAAAAACAAAAATAAAGGCAGACGAGGGAAAACGTATACATAGTATAAAAAAAAAGGGCATGAAATGTCACTAACGGCCCGCCGGGGACGTTTCGAGCCACTCACACACACCCGACTGCTCACTGCACCTTGTGTATGAGTGAGGCGCGCCAGGATTGGGTGCTGAGGCGGGGTGGGGGTTCTTGTGCGCGGGTTGTTCTACAATTCCGCAGACTCGCAACGCATGAATAAACAATGCCGCTGGAGATGAGGGACGGGGAGACGCTGCACGATCATGACGGCGAGCATAGTGTAGGGACCAACACCCTTTTGCGCGTCATTTTGCATGTCGTTCTGCATGCCTGTACGGAGTACTTGTGGCTCCGGCGGGCATCGTCGTCTTATCTGTCCCTTTTCTTCTTCTCCGTAGTGGTCGAATGTCATTCCTCGACTTCCGCCTTTTTTCCCACCATTCCTTCCTCCTTCACCAAGAGTGCATCCTTTTTACAAGCTCTTGAACGCGTTTCGTTGTCATTTTGTCTCGTGCAGACCACCCGACGGCGCCCGTCTCACTCGCCAACCAGCGTCCTGTTGATCGGCCCTCTGTATGTTTCAATCGGAAGCCAATGTCTGATGTCGAGGGGGTCGAAGTCATTTGAGAGACATCGGCAACGAGACAATTCGCAACAGAGACGACGACAACGACGCCGCCGCCGCCAGAGACACGAAGCCATTGCCGCGTGCAGTATCTGTACCCTGCTGTACTGGAGTATAGACACCACACAAACACACACACACACACACACACACACACACACACACAAACCCGCCCGTGCCCGACGTACTTCACCGAGCCAACTCTCACCGCCGCATATACTCTCTGTGCGGATCAACTACATCTAGCGACATTCGACAACCCGTATCGTGCCTCGAACCGGAATTGCAGGCTTTCCGGCAGCCCTGGAAGATCCCAGAGAGAGACCCCCAATCCCCACACACTGCACGCCTGTCAAAACTTGGAAATTGGGCGTTGCACGCGAAGGGCGGGTTTTATTTCCAGAAGTTCCAGGGGGACGTTGCGCATACCACCCAAAGGGGGTGGCTACTTACTTACCTAGGTAGGTACCTACCTGCCTTACCGAGGGAGGTGCCAAGGTACCCCCTACGTACCCGGGGTTCATCCGATGTGGTTTCTCCCAACGGGCCATGTTTAAGCGCACAAGTACCCGTCCTCGCACCACCACCTCGGAATTGCAGCACTCCCCAGGGAAGGTACTTTCTCGTTCCCTTTTTTCCCACTCGGCCTCTTAGCACCTGCAGGTGGCCACCCAAAAATGCGCTCGCTCGTCTCCGTTGGAGGCGGCGGCGGTATCAACAATGGCGACGACAGAAACACGCCCTCCAGATGCAGCAACACTCGTTCGACTGTATCGCGTGTCTCGAATTGTTCCTCTTCCGCTTCTTCATCAAGACATGATCTAACGTCAAAGCCACCACCGCCATCATCACATACCATCGTCTCTTCTTCTTCTTCTTCTTCTTCTTCTTCCACCACCACCACCCGCCCCCAGCAGAACAAGCTGAACCACCAAAAACCGCTGCTCCAAAAACACCAGCCCGACTCGTCCCGACCGACGAGGAACATCAGGCCATCCATCTCACCCACCATCCGCAAGAACCCCGCCGCGTCTGCTCATCAGAGGCAATCAATATCGCGAGCTCCAGCCCCTCCGTCTTCCTCTTCCTCTTCACCAGTTACCCTCGCCGTCGCCGTCGCCGCCCACCGCAGACCCGCGGCGGCCCAGCCTCGAACCACAAATAACCCCACCTCGACTAATAACAGCACCGCTGATCTCCCTCTTCCTCACCCTGCGCCCACTGTAACCACCACCACCACCACCACTGGCCCACCAACCACAACCGCGCCCAGACGCATCACAGCTGCTGCCACTGCATCCACTGCCGTCAAAACAACAACCGCCTCCACCACCACCACAACCACCTCCTCCAACTCCAACCCAAACATAACAACAACATCGTCACCTTCACCTCCCGCCAACCCAACGTCAACACCAACTCTGACCCCGCCAGCACCACGACCTCCATCTGCCTCCTCGAGACGACAGCAGCCCGCACTGTCTTCCAGCTTGCGCACTCCCCTTCACAGCCGAGACCAAAATGTCCTGAACCCCTCTCGCCCTACCAACGCCGCGCGAGCGAAGCCGTCGCCCACTCCGTCTCCCACATCCTCAGCCTTCGCTTCCGCTTCCTCCACTCCCACGATGCCTCCCTACGAGAAAGGGGGCAGCACAACCACCCGCCAGCCTGCCATGCCTTCCCTAAGCGCAAAGACAATGGGCCGACCTCCCCTGACTCCTAAAGTCGCTGCCAAACCCTCTCCTCCCGTCGTCACCCCCATGGGTCGTCGCCGCAACGATAACACCAATAGTAATAACAACCACCCACTCCCCCACACAACCGCTGGAGGCGCCAGGGACGATCTGACGAGCCCGGCGCCCTTCCTGGCCGCAACAAGCGTCACGCCTCGATCGGGCGGTCGTCAGAGCCGTGGCAACAGTGCAAACACAACCCCAAACGGCACTCCGAACCCGGACAGAAATGAGTGGGACCGCCAGCCGATACTCGAGCCCCCGAGGCGCCAGGTCGTCACCTTCAGCCCTCCCTCTAACGTCGGCAGCCGGAACGATGCACCGGAATCCAAGTTCTTCTATGCCAGCGAGGCAAAGCCATCCCAGCCTGCTCCCCAGCCTGCTCCCAAGCTCGCTCCTCAAACACGGTCCGTAGCACCGGCCCAGCGAGGTTCGACCTTTATGTATGCCAATGGCAGCGCAGTCGAGGAGAATAGGCCGACCTCCCCCGGCATCGGACTCACACCGGTGCTGGCACCGTCGCTCGCACCATCCCTCTCCCCGTCTCTTGCACCGGCCCCAGAACCACCATCGAGCAAGTTCTTTTACGCAAATGGAGCACCCAACCTGCAGCCCGGGTTCCGTCCTTCATCCGCGGCTTCAGGCACCGGATCAGTCGCTTCGGGATCGAGCAGGCTGCACAGGACCTCGGCGGGCTCGGCTGGTGGCTTTCAGATGGCACCACGGCCTCTCTCGCCCAACAAACCGGCGCAGCCTCCAACGTCTGCGCCGCTCCTTAAGAGCAGCAGCATGCCTCCTCATACTATTGGCCGAGCTCAGATGACCAGCCCGCCGCCTCTCGCCCCATCGTCGCATAAGCGCAGGACAAGCACCGAAACGGTTTCGCAAGTGGCAAGCTACGTCGGATCCGAGGCTCCAGCTACCGACGCCATGATCATGTCCAAATTCATGGCCTCACAAACGTCAACTCCCTCCGAGATGCCTTCCCCGACAGCATCGAGCTTTTTCCCTCAGCAGCCCATCACCATTGCATCGATACTTCAGGCGGCAGACGACCTGGAGGAGGAGGAAGAAGACGACGACGACGATGATGACGACGACTCGGCCGACGAGTCCAAGGACCTGGACGTCCCCAACAGCCCGAGCAGGTCATCGCATGGCGATCCTCTCAACGACATGGTCCTCAATGCGAGAAGAGAACGCAAGGTGCAGGACTTGGAGATTAGAAATGGCTCTCTAGAGGCTATCAACAGGTCATTGGAGAGGCAGCTACGAAAGCAAACTGCAGAATTGAGGAGATACAAGAGATTATCGCGATCTGGACGCCTGTCAGTCCCCACCTCCGCACCATCTAGCCGCGTAACTTCGGATACCCAGCCCGGGGGTCTCGACATCGATGGACTGGACCTGTCGGACCTCAGCGAGGAGGAGGCCGGGGATGGCCCGGAAGACATGGACGATTCCATGTTTGAGTCATCTGAACTATCCGAGACGGACTCGGCATCTGCTGCCAGTCCCAAGCAAGATACTGACCGGGACGTACGCCGCCGGACCCGGGACGAGAAACGCCTGCAGCTGGATCTTTCAAAGCACAGGGAGTTGCTTGTCGACAGCCAAAAGATCAATCAGAGCATCAAGAGGTGCTTGAACTGGACCGAGGAGCTCATCAAGGAGGGAAAGAAGGCTCTCGAGTACAACGTGCGCCCCAGTGACGTGCAGCTGCCCCCGCGGGTGCTCCGCCCGGCGTACCTGGAAGAGAACGAGGAAGGCGAGCGGGGACAAAAGAACGAGTTCTCAGTCTCATTACCAAGCAGCCCATCGGAGTCCACGAGGAGCCTTTCGCCGCATTGGAGCAAGGAGCCGCAGGACCGCGATAGCGGAATCGAGTTGCCTGCAGACGGCTGATAACGGCTCGCAGAAGCATACCATTACGACATGATCATTTCAGCAGACCGGATCTCTCCCGTCGCAGCCCGGAGTTGCGGCGGCATCGCACAACATCACCACTCAGGGAACACACCCATCTTCTTCATAAGACAACTATTTTCCTATCTTTTTTTTATTACCTTTTTTCTTCTTTTTGCATGGCAACGGAAATACTCGGGTTAGGATAAGTCGGAACCACGGCGTTTCTCTTTTGTAAACAATCGGGCCTTCGAGGATGAAGGCAAGGACATACCCACACCATCGGCGAGGCATCATCAACCCTCCCTCCCCTTTTCGAAGAGGAAAGGGGGAGAGTGGGAGGGCCTCTGACACTGCTGTATTCTTTTTCCGATTTTCCTTTGTCGCACGATTTTTGTGTACCAACAGATACCCCAAAGCACTTTACATACAACAACGGAACATATTGAGCGGCCGAATGGGGATCCCATGGCGCCTCGGGTCGCGCTTGGTTTGGCTCGGGATGTGTTGAACTCTGCAAATGAGCGGAGCACGAAAAACAAGACAGAGGGAGAGCGACGGAGGGGAGGGCCAGTTGTTGATGGCGAGCCGATTTGTATTATACCGAATCAAATTCGAGAAGGCCGGCGAAGAGCCGGCGATGATCTACCTACGCTCTGTGCATGTTCTGCAACTTGTGACTGGAGAAGTCTGTAACCCCTTGAACATGGCCATTCTATTGCCCAACCAGATTGTTAGTTGGGAGGCTGGAAGTTGTCCGGCAGAGTGTCTGTGTGCATTGATTGCCACTCAACCTTCCAAAGGGATGAACATTCCTTTTTTCCCCCTTTCTTTGTCTCTTTCCCTGTGCCCCCTATCTCCCGGCCGCCTCCCTCCGGGGTCTCACAAGCAGAGCGGGTATAAGTCGGCATCCCCACCCCTCCGAGGCGAGGAACACCCCCCTTCCCCTTTATTTATACCCTTTATTCGTATCTTTGCTTAGCATTAGCTGGGTGTCTAGAATATGGGACGAGCCGAACCGCCACCCCCTTTTTTTTCCGCGTCGTCCCTGATTTTCCGGGTTCCTGGGTCCCCGAGTGAGACTCCGAGAACTACGACCGCGTATGGCGTGGACAGATCGGTGGCGGTAAGCTAAGGAGGAGGGTGGACGCCGCCGGCGGAGGCGGGGGAACGTCATGTCAGGTTTTCTTCGGAGACGCGGCTTAGTTCTGTCGTCGGAGGCCGGGTCCTCTTGCATTTTCTTTCTACGGGACGCCGCCGGCCGTCTCCAGAGGATGTGGGGGGCGGAGGCGCCTTCTTCGTAGCAAGTACGGGGACGCGGCTGCAGAAGGCGAGCCCGTCTCTCGGCCCCTGCCGCATTAGACAGGAAAGGACACGCATCCCGGGTTGCTGGATAGAGACCCCCGGAAGAGGGGGCGGGAGGGCCGCCATGAGAAAAGGCGAGGCAGCCGCCTGCGCTCGTTTATTCCGCGATGTGGTTTCCTTCTTATCTAGGCAAGCGACGTCCTGTCCACCGTATTTTCTCCCGTCTTGGGGAAGCTCCTGGACTGTGTCCGAACGAGAAAAGGGCGTATTCGAGGCTGGGATTTGGGAAGACAGCTCTCTGCCCCCCCTCCCCCTCCCTCTTTCATCGTCCGCGTCGATCTTCTCGTGTATTCCGCAAGGGTGGGTGCAAGCAAGGATGACTGAGATGGGTGCAACTATACTAATACGGCAATGCCATTAGTGCCCCTTGCCGGATCGCCTTATGCGTAAATTATGGCTTCCCTTCCTGTACTCTAGTTCCCCTAATTAGAAACGCTATTTCAATATCAAATTAACTATTAGAGGGCTTTAGCTAAAGATTTCACAGTTACATAAGGCTAGTTCACAAAGTGTCATGCCCAATGCTCAACATGACATGGCGAACTGCTGTAAAACGTGGTTTCGATATCGACTCAGCAGCCCTCCACCACCCTCACCATGCCGCCACCACCCGTGGGGCTTTGTCAAAGCATGGGGAACGGAACGGCCCGCAATTTTTCAGTGTCCCGTTTGCGGTTTGGATGGCCCTGGGCTGGGATACATTGGGGCCCTCTGCCTGATAGAACGTTATGTTATGTTGCACCGAGGCAGATTTTTGCCGCCATCAGGAGCGGAGGAAGCAGACGGTATGTACAGGATGTGCTGCTGCGCCGGCAGCAGCGTTTACAAGACTGGGTGGGGGATGCACGCCCAAGGACAATTATCCCGCGACTCGCATGTTCTCGAAGATAGCGTCGGAGAAACCCCCGGAAAATGAAGGCCAAAAAGAATAGGAAAAAGGTTGCTCGGTTACAATTCGAGATTGTAACAAGCTGTGCGGATGATATGCCTCGTGGCGGAATCGAACCGCCGATCTTCTCATGTCACTAGGGTACTAGTGAGACGCTATACCACTTAGCCAACAAGGCGATGTCAACACCGCTCTAACTTCGGGCTGATAGACCACGTGCATACAGGGTGGGGGCGGGTCCTCGCAGATGACAGACAATTTTTGGTGGGGAAACATGGTTGGGGGCTCTGGGCGTTGTATGTATATCAACGGGCGATGGTGGGAGTTGCTGCAGGCGCCCTTCCCATAGCTTTAGTCTACTTTCCACCTCGCTCAAAGAGCAATACGTTCTCAATTCGGATTGTGCGCAGGAAAAGAAGAATAAGAAGAAAATGAACCGGAAAAAAAAGGCGCATGAATTCCCCCAAAACACTCCCCACAGGCATCGTCTGCACCGCCCAAGGTCCCTCTGCCAGACTTCGTCGCCCAAAAGTCGCCGGTTAGGTATATGGTATTTAACGGCGTTTTCCCCTTGAAAGCCAAAGCGGGAGAGCCTTGGGAGCGCCGCGGTTGTTTGCCGGTCAGGAACTTCCATGAAGAGCCTCGGTGACGTCTCGTTAAAGCTATCGAAGGAAACCCCCCTTGAGAAACTCTCCATTAGGAAGGAGGTTATCGTATTAACACCCTTCGGGCTTGTTCCCCTTAGCATGGCACCCTTCACAAAAAAACATGGTCTCGGCCGAACTCCCGTGGTCCGTTGCCCAGAGTCTTGTAGAGGACCAGGAGGGTGTAACAAGAAGCACTGAAATCGAATAACAGGACGTGTGGTCCAATCGCCCCCCGCCCCCTCCCCTGATGGTCACGGATTCCGAGAGGGTTCAACGTGAAATAAATACTTTGTATTTGCTGGTGGTAAACAGCCACCAAAGATAAAAGAGAACCACCAAATGCCGAGGTGAGACTGCGGATGAGCCCATCTCCAACAAACAACTGTCGAGCCCGCCTCGTCGCCAAAAATGGACGAAATTAAAAAAAAAAGACAAAAAAGTCCGTCTATCGCTCTTCAAGTTTCGACTAGAAAGTATTGTCGTAAACGGCCAGGCTCGCCCCCTCAACCCAGGGGAGACATCAAGTCCAGAAACGGAGTGTGGTATCTCGTTCGTGCGCAACAACCCTCCCACCCCTTCCCTATTTTTCATGACCCATCCGTCCGTCGCCATCTCGGTGCACCGCTCTAAGACTTCTCGGGCTTGGGGACGTTGGGGGCGTCCTCGGCCACCTCGGCGGACGGGGTCTTCTTGCCCTTCTTCTTAGACTCCTTGTCCTTCTTGATGGCCGCCTCGGCGACGAGCTGTTCGAAGACGAGGTAGTCTCCCTCCTCCTCGGGGGATCGTTGGGCCTAGGGGTGACGGGATTAGCGCTGTCATGCCAAGACTCCGGGCCAGGCAGAGAACATACCTTGGAGAAGATTTCGCCAATGATAACCAGGGCCTCGGCGCGCTCAAGCCTCTTGGCCAGGGGTACCTTCTTGTCGTTGAGAACCGAGTCGCACACCTCGCGCAGCACACTCTGGATCTCGAACTTGGAGCCGCGCCACGCGGCCGTAAGGATCTTGCCCGTGACGCGGCGCTCGTACTCGGCCTTGCGCTCCTCGGACCACTCCTCGCCGCCCTTCTCCTCCATGCGCGCCATCTCCTCAATGGTCTGCTGCGCGTCAATGGCGGAGCTGATGGTGTTCCACGTCTCCTTGACGATGGTGCCCTTGTCCTTGACGCGGCTGAAGAAGCCGCCGATGCCGAGGAACTTTTGGCTCCGCAAAAGGGCCGTGGCCTTGGCGAGGTAGGTCTGGCCGATGGCGTGCAGAATGTCGAGGCCGAAAGACTCCATCTTCATATTCTCCACCTCGAGACGAGTCTTTTCCTGGAAGGCCTTGGTGACGTCGGCGCCCTTGTCCGTCTCGGTCCACACGCTTATCCTGTCGAGGAGCTTGCGGGCGAGGGTGTCGACGCGCTCCTGTCGCACACGGGCACGCTCCTTGTCGTAAGCGGCGAGCTGTTCGCGCTGCTCCTTTGTGAGGTTGCCCTTCTTCTTCTCCTTCTTGCGGAGCGACTCCTCCGACTCAGCGTTCGCCCCGAGTTCGTCCGAGGGCTTGTCCATGAGGGCAGGACGGAGAGGGATCTGATGGCGCTTCGAAGTGCCTGAGGGGCTCGGCGACGGTGTCCTCGCTCCGGCGACGGGGGGAGTGGGCACGTGGGTCGTGCCAGCGGCAGCGGGGGCGGCGTCGGCGACAGCGGGCGTGGTATCCTGCGCCTTGGAGGCTTCCTTCTCGTCCTCGACGACAACGGCCGGCGGAGGGGTGCTGGTGGTTGCGTCCGTCTTCTCTGCGCCGGATGCAGCCTTGGCGCCCTCCTTCTTGGCGTCCTCGGTAGTGGGGGACTCGCCGTCGGCAGCTTCCTCACCCTCGGCGCCTTCCTCGCCCTCCTGCATGGTGATGTCCATGGTAGCCGTCAGATCCTTCATCAAGCTGATCTCACCGATCCAGTCGACAAAGGCGTCGCCGCCGAAGATGGATGTGAAGAACTCGGCGGGGTCGGCGAAGCCCTCGGAGGGCTTGGCGCTATCCTTTCCATACTTGTCGTAGGCGGCGCGGAGGTCCTTGTCGGACAGGACCTGGTAGGCTTCACCAATCTCCTGGAACTTTTCGTGGGCCGAGGAGTCGTTGGGGTTCTTGTCTGGTCATGATGTCAGAGGGCCTGCGGCACACACGCAGACGGGGCGGGAAGCGTTCCCTCTCCCCACGGAGAGAGCCTCTGCTTACCCGGGTGGTGGACGATGGCCAGCTTTCGGTAGGCCTTTTTGATCTCGATGTCTGTGGCGGTGGGCTGGACGCCCAGGATGTCGTAGTATGCCGTATCGACAACCATGGTCGCGAAGGTCTTTGAAGGGTATCAGGTGAATGAAATCTACTAGCGGGAAAGCGTAAAAATAGGTTGGTGTTGTAGGTGCAAGGGAGGAAAGTCCAGTCTTCTGCGAGAGAAAAAACAAATGTCGCGCGGTGTCGAGGGTATGTAGTGACAAGGTATGGGAAAGTGATTCAGAGCAAGAATCACAAGTAATCGACCGGTACGTAGTAGCGGTGGTGGTGTCAACCTGCTGGCTGAACGGCGGCGGCGGCGGTGGCAGCCCATCTCGGCATTAATTCTAGGTGGATTTACGTTTTCGCGGCATGCCCCGCCAAATTACGTCGTTGGGCGAGACCCGTGGGTCGGTTTTCAGTGAGCAGGGCGCCCACAGGAGCTGTCCGAGCCTTACGGGCGGTGATCAAGGTGCCACTGTCGCTGGGCTGGCTGCCTACCGGTAATACCTACCCGCCTTACCATGTTAGCTTACCTAATACACATTAGGCATGGTAGATGCACCAGCGTGGCGACGATTTTCACTACCGCCTTGGAGATTACGCGGACAGGGACATGCTGGCAGGGGGTGACGTTGCATTCGCCTTCACCTCATTATAGGGTGCACTTGTACAGCTCACAATGTTATTCTTATGGGCACCAGATCCTGGTGTTTGTTGTGTTTTTTTCTTTTTTTGACGACCGACAGTATCTAGGTACGGATAAACAGGGTCCCCTATGTAGGTACCTACCTGCACACGGAGTAATACCTAGTACTCCGTACCCCTCCAACGAATCGAAAAACATGCGCAAATCGAGTCTGACTGGTTCACTACCACTTTGCGTCGCGTCTAAAAGACCGATTATTTATGCGGTACCGTCCAGCGCCTGACATTCGCCCAATGGCATTTTGATCCCGTGATTTGCGACCGTCTTTGAGTTTTCCGTCGCAACCCTAAGCAGGAGCTATCTTCTATTTTTCAAAATAAATCCTCACCACATCCGGTTCCTGCCGTGGCCACCATTTCCCATATACGCCGAAACCGACACTTTTGTTTCTATTTCGATTACTGAGCGCCATTGGCCTTCATGCGCTCGAAGCAGGCGCGGTACGCCTCGTGGATCTCGGGCACCGTGTAATTGTACTCCTTGAGCTTCTTCTCCAGCTTTGTTGTGTCGAGCTTGCAGTTGCTGCGACCGGCCTTGATGACCTTGGACTGCTCCTCGAGGGAGAAGTTCTTCCATGTGAAGTCGGGGCGCACAATCTCTTTGAACAGGGAGAGCACCTCGTTGTGCGAGATGGCACCCGGGTTGGTGAAGTTGTAGATGCCCGTGTCCTTGTGCTCGGCCATGAGAATCGACGCTGGGAGGAGGTCATGGAGGATCGTGTTGCTGTTGGGGATGTCGACAACCCGGTCGTACTTGGCGATCTTGGTGACAAAGTTGCGCGGGTGCAGGTCGTCGCTGACGGGCATGCGCAGGCGGAGGATAAGGCAGTTAGTGTAGTACTTCATGACCTGCGGCAAGCGGTGGTTAACAAGGTGCGTCCGCGTCGACAGTCTGCGTGCGTCCAACATACCTCCTCAACGTGACCCTTGGTCTCTGAGTAGAAGCTGCCCTTGAAGTTGGCAGGGTCGGTCTCGAGGTAGCCGGGGCCGCCGATGGGGTGGGCGTCGTCGTACTGGTAAATGCAGCCAGTGGCAAAAACGGTGCAGTGGATGCCCTTGAGGTAGCAGGCGTCGGTAAGGTTCATGGTGCCGATAACGTTGGAGCGCATGGTGGCCTCCTTGTTATCCTCGCACCAGTCGACATTGGGGCGGCCGGTGCAGCCGGCGCAGTTGAGGACGTGGGTAGGCTTGACCTTGTCAAGCTCGGCGATGACGGCCTCGCGGTCCTCCATGCGGACGGTGGTAGTGTAGACCTCCTTGCCCTGGCCCTCGAGTATTTCCTTGAGGTGGTTCGCAACCCAGCCCTTGCCGCCCCAGATTAGGAAGCGGTTTCCAGAGTGTCCATTGGTGGCCATTGTGACGATGGTGTTGCTTGCTATCTTTTACCGTTTATGGGTTTCGCTGTCAGGAAGGGTCGCCGAGGTCGGGGTCGGGCGGTACTTGTACAAAGTTTCGGCGGAGCTGGGGTGATGTAGTTATCGAGTGGCGAGTCAAGTGGGATGTCGTCGGGTGGCAGAGGGAGGTCTTATACTTTGGGAGCTGGCAAGGGAGAAGGAGCAGCTGAGAAAGAGTGAGTAAGGGACGGGAACCGGAAGAAGAAAAGGATAGATGGAGGAGAATTTGTAATGCAGATAGGCAGGCCAGACCGCATTTGCCGGAGAAGGAAAGGGGGGGAAGTGTGAGACGGCGTACCTATTTATCTGGGGTCTCTCTGAGACTGCAAGGTGGCAGGTAGGAGCAAAGGGAGAGTATCAGCATGAAGGGAGACTTTGACTTATAGTTCAGGTACGAGTCGTACTATCTGCATTGCGGGTGCGGCCTTCGACCTCCCTTCCCGGTCATCGATCTGGGATTTGCTAGGTAGTGTAGCACCACCGGCAATACGGTACCAGCCAGGGGAGGGAGGGAGTGATTCGCATTGGACACCGGGGGTTCATGTCACGCCCACCCCCACCTTCGGAAGGTTCAGGCAAGCAGATATTTACCACGATGTTCAACGTGCGACCCGTAGTGCAACTTACATAGGCAGAACATAGGCCGGTATCGATAGGTGCACAATTGCCTCGAGGACGAAGCTTGCCGGGAGCTATGTCGCATGTTGATTCGGGGAGGGGCGGGGGGTTAGCCAGATATCTCTGCCGAGTCTACCTTGCCCGCATAGTGCATGTGGTTGCATGAGTGTGGTTGCATGCGTGTGTGTGCGCCTGTAAGCTGGGTCTGCTACGGAGCACCAATGTGTAGTAATTGGCCGGGGAAAAGAAGAGGAGAAAGAAAAGAAGGTCGTGTTAGCGAGAGACCAGAGGAGAAAGTAGATGCTTGCTACGTGGTGTCGCCGTGGGCCTCTCGGCAAGTACATATTGCTAGATAGTGTGTGTAGCCTAGGCAGGCAAAGAGGCTCCCTCAGAGATGCAAGAGGTGAGACATTGTCATCTGGTGAGCTCACCGCAATATGCTCTCTCCCTCGAGGGGAGCGAAGGCGGTGTCAGCGGTAGAGACAGGACTAAAGAGTGTCGACTCGGATGCCGCCGCAGCGGCGGCGGTGGAGACGAAAAGACGGAGCGGCGAAGGAATGTCCATCCATGATGTGGGAGGGTCCAGCGCAGGGTCTTGGCAATGGTGGGTAAGATCTAGATGAGATGCTGTACTATGTAGGTAGAGCAAGCATCCATCCATCCCATCCGTTCCCGAGAACCGAAGCGTTTGCGCATGCATGCCGGTCATGACATATGGTTCGGAGGCTCGGGTTCTAGTGTACCTAGACGGGCTAGGGCGAGTGAGCTTAGCTGGGAGAGATTTGGTCGGCCCTTGGAGTACGAATAGGGACGGGACTGCTGCTACTGCTCTCCACACACACCTCATTTGGAGTAAGTGTGTATCCGGACGTACACAGAGAGTCGGTGCTGCTAGAGAAACGCCATGGGAGAAAAAAAACACGGGGACAAGACCACTGGAGAGGCCTTGTACCTACCAGACCAACTCCGAGTGCGGATCTGAGAAGGGGACAGTGGAGGGAAAGAACGGGGTTGAGAATGAACAGGAAATCCAGAGCTTCAAAAAAAGTTGGAACAAGGTACCAGTAGGTACAAATGCACTATTGACTATCAGTACCTACCTAGGTAGGTAATTAGACCCTGAAATGAAAGAAAGCAACACACACCAACTAAAATCCATCGTGTATGGACGAGCATGGCATCCGTGCCCCGCAGCAGAAGCAGCAGCAGCAGTGCACCTACCTACCCCCCCCCCCCCCCATCTGCCATCTGCCATTCCCCCCCGGAGTCCCATCCCATTGGCTCGCTTACTTTAACCGAGCATCCCCTGCCGGTGCCAGGTGGTCGGTGCCTCCGGGTTCCCAATGGGATTCTTGTGCCTCCGAGCCCTCGGCCGGCTCTGTTCCTGCTGAGGTTTAGCGGGTAGGCGGGCGGTTTTCAGCGGAGATGGCCAGGTCGAGAGTTGTCATTGTACGGATAGGTGCTTACTGTATGAATCGCCGCCCACCACTCACAGTCGGCCGCTTGTCCCAGTCCGAACAGGACACCAGTGTTGGACAGTGACTGGACTGAACTGGACGGCGTGACACCACCACACACACACTCCAGCGGCCCCGAGAGCTCATTGCCCGTCTCGGCAAACGGGCTCCATTGCATTTTGCCAATCAGAAAGGGAAAAAAAGGAAGAAAAAAAAGGAGCTGGGGTTTGACTGCACTCAAGGTTGCTTGCCCCCCTGCTGGTTGAATTGGCTAAGCTCTGGAGACCGTTGGACATCTGAGCTCGTGGCAGCGGAGAATTCTTTCCCTCCTATTCCTGCCCATCTTTTATTACTGCTGCCGTTACCGTCGTTTCTGTGTTGTTGTTGATTGATTGATCGATCCCCTCTCCCCGTTCAACTCTTCCCCATATCAACCAACTTAATTCTTCGTCTGGTCTGAAATCCGTGTCCCCCTCTTCTCAACAAACGCGCACACACCAAAAAAGAAAAAGAAAAAAAAGGAGCTGCGACAGCTTGCTGCCGACATCGCGCGCGCAGAACCTCTTCATTGGACGCGACTTCACAGCTGACCAATCTCGACGACGACAACGACGACGACGCAGACGCCCACCGCCTGCCACGAGACTCGACTTGATCTTGTCGACTCTTCCCCGGGACTCTCCACGGTCAACTCTTGCCAGTACTGCAACCCACCGTCCGTTGCGACGACCAACTGCCATCATGGGTGTCATCTTCTACCTCCTGCACCCGAACCAGCTCCGTTCCATCATCCAATGGTACGATCTTTAACTCCCCTCGTCCGGTGCGCATGCGCGCATACGCGCTCGTCCGCTTGCGCGATGCGCAATGCGCCGCCCCCTCCTTCTACCGCGCCTGCTAACCTTGTCTTCAGGAAGGTCTGGCACGAGCCTGTTCACCGCCGCGACCCCTCCAAGGAGGCCCCTACCCTGAGGGCATGCTTCGAACACCTCAACAAGACGAGCCGCAGCTTCTCCGCCGTCATTCAGGAGCTCAACCCCGAGCTGCTGGTCCCCGTCTGCCTGTTCTACCTCGTCCTGCGCGGCCTCGACACCATCGAAGATGACATGACGCTCAGCATCGAGGAGAAGGAGCCGCTGCTGCGCGAGTTCGACCAGTACATGGTGAAGGATGGCTGGACATTCACCAAGAACGGCCCCAACGAGAAGGACCGCGATCTGCTCGTGCACTTTGACGATGTCATCACCGAGCTGAAGAAGGTCAAGAAGCCCTACTTCGACGTCATCAAGGACATCACCATCAAGATGGGCAACGGCATGGCCGACTACGCAAAGAACGCCGCCTTCAACGAGCAAGGCGTCGCCACCACCAAGGAGTATGAGCTGTACTGCCACTACGTCGCCGGCCTCGTCGGCGACGGCCTCACCCGTCTCTTCGTTGAGGGCAACATGGCCAACCCCAAGCTCCTCGAGCGCCCCGAGCTCACCGAGTCCATGGGCCAGTTCCTGCAAAAGACAAACATCATCCGCGACGTCCACGAGGACTACCTCGACAAGCGCCGCTTCTGGCCCAAGGACATCTGGAGCAAGCACGTCGACACCTGGGACGACCTCTTCAAGCCCGAGAACCAGCGCAAGGCCCTCGAGTGCAGCTCCGAAATGGTCCTCAACGCCCTCAAGCACACCGAGGAGTGCCTTTTCTATATGGCCGCCATCAAGGATCAGAGCGTCTTCAACTTCGTCGCCATCCCCCAGAGCATGGCTATTGCCACGCTAGAGCTCGTCTTCCGCAACCCCGCCATCTTCAACAGCCACATCAAGATCACAAAGGGTGACGCCTGCCAGCTAATGGCAGAGTCAACACAGAACCTCTTTGTTGTGTGCGAGGTTTTCAGAAGATACATCCGCAAGATCCACAAGAAGAACGACCCGCGCGACCCCAACTTTGTGCAGATCAGCGTGCAATGCGCCAAAGTACGTTGACATTGTACTCCCGGTTTTTGTCGTACAAGCAAGCCACTTGCTAACCGTCCACGCGCAGATCGAACAATTCATCGATACCCTGTTCCCGAAACAGGACCCCAAAATGCTCGGAGATTCGGCGAAACAGAAAGAGCGGGGCCAGCCCGGCATGGACCCAGGCGAAGCCTTCATATTGGGCGGCATGGTCCTGTTGACCCTCTTTTTGGTTTCTGGGCTTATGGTGAGTCGCGAAAATTTCCCTCATTTCCTCTTTTTTTCCACCTTCAAACTTGAAGCCGCCAACTCTTCCACCTCGACTCCGTCACTCCCAAAATCGGCTCACCGACTGACCACATGTCCCTCAGATCGGAACGGCCTGGTTCTTTGGTGCGCGCTTCGACTCACTGTGGAAAACGGACGGCGTTTACTGGCCCAGCACGGAACCCGGCTCGGCGCAGCCGATTGCCCACAAGGAGCTCTAATTCCGGACAAGACGAGAACAAATGCTGTTCTTTTGGCTACGCTTCATCTGACACGTTGACGGTACATATTGATGAGGAGTTTTTTTTTCCCTTTCGTTTGCCCGCTGCCGGTCTGGCTACGACGTATTGAGGCGCTCATACTAATCCTGCTAATACACACCATCATGATGATGGGTTTTTTTTTCGCGATGCCCACCATGTCTTCTCCCGCCCCCCTTCTCTATGATACGGGATGCGCTCCACGTGACACCGATCGTACAACAAACACCTCCCAACCCAAGCACGGATGTCAAATTGCAATCCAGTCCCACCGCAAGGTGGTTATGACTGTGGTTGTGCCGAAGAAGTGCTGATATCAAACCCCACCGGCAACGACCCCGTCCATCAGCGGCGGGTACGGGGCGGGCGCGTCTTTCACTGTTCCCCAGAGACGCGCTCTTCTGCCCCGGCTTGCAAACATCTTCTCCACGCGTGAACCTGTGGCTTGTCTTGTGTTGATCTACGTCGAGGGGCTCGGCGCCCATGGCGAGTAGTATTGTTTGACCGAGGAATCCGCCGCTTCCTTTGCACTTGGTCTGGCTCACGGCGTCACTGGCGCTTGTCGTCGGAGGCAGGAAGGCCAAGAACAAACCCTCCTCCCCCCCTGCACCCGTCGGCGGCCTTTCTCCATCCCCTCCCCTCCCCTACAACCCCCGATACTCTGTAAACCAAGGGATTTAGGGGTGGGGAGCCTCGGGGGATATTTTTGGTAAGAGGAAAGAGGTAAGAGGAAAGAGGAAATCGCAGGAGTATGGCGGCGCTGCGGAAGTCCGCTGGGTTGGTTGGAAGAAGGCAATAACGGCGGATGACCAAGGCATTAATAACGACAGCTTCCGAACCCGTCCCGTACCTACCCAACCTTGAAGGCGAGGCCCCTTGGCCGGCTATGTAGTTCCGGCTTAGAAGGGAGGGGTGATGGGACAGGCCAGACACGCATTTCGGATGACTGGCGGACGTTATGTGTCCCCTCTTATATCATGTGTGCGTCTATGTGTCCGTGCAATGTACACGCACATATCTCCAGTACACAGACACATACATGTATATATATATATCCATATGTCTTTACCTACGCTACAGGGAAATCCAAGAAGCCCATGTTCCGCCCAGGATTTCCCTCCTCTTCCCTTGTTGCCGGCAACCGACTTCGTCCCAGAGCCAAGTTGTCGCTGTGTGTGTGTGTGTGTGTGTGTGTGTGCACCTCCCCTAAAACCATGCGGCTCTTGGAAGACTTCTTGGCGTTCATGCTTGGGTGTGTGCCCTTGTTGCAGTTGTGGGATGGTATGGAAGAAGGAAGGCAAAAGGAACGTGCCCTTTTCTCTCCTCCCCTCCCCTCATTTGGATGTATACCCTTCCCCCCCTCTTCCCTCGCGCCGCGCACGCGAGACAAGGACCCCAGTATCAAGGTCGCCTTCGACGCCAAGAACTCCGATTGAGATATCTCCAAAGGCCATGTCTGCTATGTTTAGAGCTGGTGTTCGGGGTAAGAAGGGGGGGGGGGGGGGGGGCAAAAACCTGTCAGCGCAATATATGACGTATGACAAGCAAACAAGTTAGACAGAGGCTAAAGAGAAAGTGCCTCGGCGGCGTTTTTGAGCATTCCACCCCTCTCTCCTTTCACCTCTCCTCCGGCCGGCGAAACGGGTCTCGGTCCTCCGTCCCCCCGTCTAACCCCCTCCCTTCGGCGTCGTCCTCGTCGGATGTCGTTGACATTATGTATGGCATCAAGGGGACTGGTCCTCGAGCACATTTGACGTCTAACTACTTCTGTCGTTTGACCGCCGCCCGTCAGGAGGAGTTAGGGTTCGATCAAACTCGTGGGAGGAGATGATGATAGATAACCCCATCGGGAAAAGAAGAGTTCCTATTGATGGATGGATGGATGGATGGATGGATGGATGGCTGGGTTGGGTGTTTCATTTTCGTCTTCGTGACATTCATCGCGCCCGCTTGTCTCCGTACAGCAACACCCCCCCCCCCCCCCTCTCTCTCTGCCCCGAAACCGCATCCGTCGGGAGCTGAGGGAGATGGGCAGAGTTTAATGTTTTTATTCAACCTTGTTTTCATTGTTTTAACGCTATTTGTCTTGGGGACGGGGACGGTCCCGGAAGAGGGGGTGATTTCGTATAAAAGGTTTACACTGTCTAGGTCTGTGTTGTAAGGATATACGGACATCAGACGACGCGTTGACTCGAGGACGCGCTTCTCCGGCGTCCTCTCCGTGGTCTGCATCTGCCACGTCTATGGCCTCTAGTTTGCCGTGTGTTCCGTTCGCCCACTCGCTTTTCTCTTTCTTTCTCTTCCTCCCCGCCGCCGCGTTCGCTCTGTAGAGGAACCGGGTCGTACGAGCTGGATATCCAGCAGAGTCCGTCTTCTGCGCTCCCCCATCAACGAGCACCTATTCGGACAGAACCATACCAAGCCGCAAGAGTCGCCTGTGTGTGGTGGAGGAAGGCACTTAAGCCCGGCCCGCCTGCCGCCAGACTCAAGTCCACTAGAACTGTGGTCTTGGAGAACAACATCTGTGCGTGCGTGCGTGCGTGAGTATGTGTATATGCAAGTTACGTAAGTGTGTTTGTGTGCATGTATGTGTATGTGCATGTGTTCATGGTGTTCCTAGAAGGGCAAACCTCGGGGAACCGCCCAAAGACACCAAATTACGCTGACTTCTGCCTAACTATCACAACACCACACCACTCGTCCTCCGGTCACTGGCCGGACACACACACGCCCACGAGCGTCTCGCGACGGTACATATAAGCGCAGGCGCCAGCTTTCGCCTCTTCCACCGGCGAGTCATAATCGTACATATATCTCCAATGACTCTGGTTTGTTACCCCCCCGTGAGCCATTCATGATGTGCCTTTGACTCCTCCCCCGCTGAGTTCATCTCATCTCTCTGCACCACGGCCACCCCCGGCTTCCACGCCCCCCCCTTCTCAAAATAACACGGCATAGAAACAAAAAAAGTCTATCTTTCTGCACCTTATTTGCTCCCGCATATCCTTGTTCCAGGTCCGAGATGCCGGCCAAGTGTGTGTCATGGCGTCGTCTAGGTCCACTCCCCATCTCTCCGCCTCTCCTCTGTCCTTGGCTTTTCCCCATATTCTTTCTCTTCTTCCTCTTCTACAGTTTCTTCCTCTCTCTCTCATCTATCGTCCCTCCTCCAGGGAAACGAAAATAATTAGCCTTCCTCTCTGTCAGGGAAGTAGACGGCTGCTTGATTGACTCGACGGTAGATTGCTTGTAGAGATAGACTTTGGGGAGATGAGCCTCGGGGTGCCTTCAGAGGCAGTGGGCAGGGACCGAGATGCCTTCCCAGTTTGGCCAAGTTTCAGGCCAAGGTGCGATGCTGTTGTATAACGCTTCCTCCTCACCTTCAGGGAACATCGCTTTGACGTGTCATGTTGCTATGGCAGGGTCATAGACGACATCCCATCCCCGCGATCAGAACCGCATACAAATGGCCACGATACAGTCACAAGTTCTAATAGGTCACAGGAGTTCAAGTCATCATGCGGACGTGTAGTGAATGGTGTATAGCTGTGTGCTTCATTACAAAATTCCTCTCCCCTTATATGAGTTTCTTAAATACATTGGGCTTCCGCTTTGAAAAAAATAAAAAATGTTCAAGAAAGATGACCAAAGGGAACAGGATTGCTACCGCCAAAACCCAGGACAGAGAATATGGAGTTCGAGTCGTTTTACGAGGGAACCAGCCCCATCGAGGGTTTTGTCTTTTCTTGGCTGTTTCTCTTTGGCGTTCTTCTTGAAATGCAGTGTTGGCTTGCCTTTCCTACTTTGTTCTGTTCTCTTTTACATACAAATGACCCAAAGGAGGCGGTTCCCTTAGAGTCGGCGTCAGCTCTGCTTCGCGTTCTGTTGCTTGTCTGCTTGGTGTGAAAAATGCCCGCCTGCATATGCATCGAACATGTGGTTGTTGGTGCCGAATTCGACTGATTTGGGTATCCTCTAAAATGCTGTGAACTTTTTGTCGTCTCCCCTCGAGTAACCAAACACAACGAAAGCGACGAGTATTAGGTCGAAGGAAACGGAGAAAACGTCAGGGAGGCAACGACATCGTGCCCGTTTGCGCCCGATACCCGGAAGGGAACATTCTGTTCCGCCAGCGAAAGGCAGGCCTTTTAGAGCTGGCCGTTGTTGGCGATCAGGTTGGTCGTGCCGGCCGTGTTGCGCTGCACAGACGCGCCTGAGGCCGCAGCGAGTTGAAGCATGCGGTCGGTAAGGGACTTGACGGTGTTGAGGCCCTCCAGACCCATCAGGTAGGCGGCAAGACCGGCGACGTGGGGAGACGCCATGGAGGTGCCGGAAAGGGTGTTGGTGGCGGTGTTGGAGGTGATGCCAACGGAAAGAATGTTGACACCGGGGGCGAAGATGTCGACGGACTTGCCAAAGTTGGAGAAAGAGGCCTTGCGGTCGTTGCGGGCGTCGATGGCACCGACGGTGATGGCGTTGGGTGCAGAGGCGGGCGAAGTGTTGGCGGCGTCCTGGTTCTCGTTGCCAGCGGCGACGACGGGGACAATACCGGCGTTGTTCAGGGCCTGAATGGCGCGGTTGACAGCGGCCGAGGCCGAGCCACCGAGCGACATGTTCATGACTGCCTTGCCAGTGATGTTCTTGGCCTTAACGTCGTCGATGACTAGTCGAGGTTAGTACAAGGTTCGTTTGGGAACGTAGCGGGTGGGTCTTGCATGATACTTACCGAACTGCATGCCGTCGAGAACACCAGAGTTAGAACCGGCACCGTCGCCATCGAGGACCTTGACAGCAACGAGCTTGACGTTCTTGGCGACACCGAAAGTCTGACCACCGATAGTGCCGGCAACGTGAGAGCCGTGGCCGTTCTCGTCAGTGTCCTGGTCTCGTATTAGCCTTCCTCTCTCATCTCGCATGGGCACCGCTCACTCCGGCCCAGTTTGGGAGGCAGGAGAGCGGCGGACAAGGGAAAATCGATCGAAACATACCACGTTGTTGATGAAGTTGGCACCAAAGGTAGCGCGGCCCTGGAACTCGGAGTGAGTGGTGAGGATACCGGTGTCGACGACGTAGGCGGTAATGCCGTTGCCGCTAACCTGGTCGAAGACGTAGCCGGTCTCGCCAGCAGCGGCGTGAGACAGGCGGACAAGACCCGGAGGAGCGTTGGTCTGGGAGACGGTGGCGGAGATCTTGACCTTGGCGTCCTGCTCGACGTAGGCGACCTCCTCGGCGCTCATGACGTTCATGATCATGCTGTCGTCGGCCTCCATGACGGTGGCGCGCCAGTTGTTCATCTTGAAGTTGCGGGTCGAGGTGCTCAGAGAGCGGCCGTCGAGGGAGCGCTTGCCGATGTTACGCTTCTTGATGGCGGCAGCGAAGGAGGACATCTTGGAAGTGATTGCCTCGTCGTCAAATGAGCTGTTGTAAACGACGATGTACTTGTTGGGGATGAGGTCAAGGGCGTTCAGGTTTGAGATGGGGACGCCCAGGAAGGTATCGGTATCGTTTGCAGGCTTGTTCTCATTCAGGCCGAAAGGAGCAGCAAGGACAGCGGGCAGCACGGCTGCGAGGATGGCGGTGGGACGAACCATGTTGGGCGAGTTGTCGGGCGGTGATGTATGTAGATACGGTGATTGACGTTTGGCAAAGAGAGGACACGGGAGAGAGCTAGCTCGTCGTCGTCGAAATCGTCAAAAAGAAAATGGCGAAAACTAGTCAAGACCGCAGGTCTATTCTTGTCGTCGTGCAGGAGAGAGTGACTCGGTATGGTTGGGAGGGTGGCAAGGAATGCAATACGAATGCTGAGAGCAAGTAGAAAGGATCCAGATCCTATCACGATGCAACGCTCCTGGATATCTTACTCGTCGTGTATCTCAAAGCGTTCGAAAATGTCGAAAAACTACCCGAACCAGGCGAAAGATGTAATAAATGAAAAGTTGAAGAAGTGGAATAAGAAATAGGCGGAAGCGGTTGAGAAGAGGGTTTGATGATTCCTTTAGCTAACCAGCCACGCAGTGGGGGGCGAGGAAGGATATGTAGCAAAAGAATTTGTGGGAGGGTGGAGGGAGAGAGAAAACACAGAGATATAATGAGCAAAAAAACAAGACGAGAGAGGGACGTAGCAAGAAGAAGTAAGAGACGAAAGGCCAAGCACAGCTGGGTCGAATGGAAGAGGTTGTGGACAGTAACTTAAGTATAACGACGGACGATGAAATATAAAGACGGGGACAGGAAGGGGAACGACCAGGGTGTGGAGTGGAGGGGGGAGGGGTGGGGAGTTGATGACCGGGTCAGGGGTACATCAAGTATCTCTGCAGTTTGGTTTGGTTTGGTTTGGTTGCTGCCGTTCCCTGCAGGCGGCTGTTGCGACCTTCGTCCGTCGTCCATCTTTCTCGGTGCCCTGCGGGTCCTGGGGCTGGCACCCGTTGACTAGACCTGGGCCCTGGGTTGTGTGCTTTGGTGGTGCTTTGGTGCATGCTTGACCTTGACCTTGCCTGGCCTTGACCTTCATGACCATGACCCGGGGCCCTTGGGTCTTGGGTCTTGTTCTGGGGGGCGTGTAGATTGCGTAAGGTAGCGGTGGGGTGTGGGAATGCGAGTGTGAGTGTGAGTGTGAGCGTGAGTGTGAGTGTGAGTGTGACCATGAGTAACAAGCCGCCGTGGATGGATGCAGCCGATGGATATACCGGGTCCAGGACAGAACAAGGTCTTGCAGCAGGACGAACGACAACAAGGACAAGGGACGAGTTGAGCGTTGCTGAATAACGTAGGCGGCCACGAGTACAATGCCAAGATTTTCGCGAGGATGCTTATTGCCAAGAGCACGCAAGTGTCTGGACCACTAAGTCCACCGCGGGGTGCTGGCTCGGCGCGGAGAGGCTGAGAAAGGGACGAGGTCAAGACAAGAGAGACGGCGGGACGAGAAGGAGAAGCAGAAGAAGAAGAAGAAGAAGAAGAAGAACAAGACAAAGTGTCGATGACGCCCACGAGGCAGCACGGCGAGGCAGATGCAGACGCAGACGCAAAGGGGAAACCAGGAGGCATGCGAAAGACGCCACAGACAGAGAGAGAGAGACGGACAGTGAGATGCAGATGGGGAAGTCGACGAGAAACGGTACGTACCCTTCTACTACTACCTAGCGACAGTGTAGGCAGGTACGTACACCTACGTTATTCGTACCTACCTTTAATTCTACCCTCCGCCAAGGGGAACGTACCCGCCGTCCCCGTGCCGCCATGGCTTGCTTACTTATTCCTTTGGCTTGGCGCGTTGCGCATCAATTCCTCAAGGCCACCACAGGATAGCAGGCAAAAGAGAGAGAGAGAGAGAGAGAGAGAGAGAGAGAGAGAGAGAGCCAGCTTGGCCTTGTGTGTACTTCTCCTTATTCTTCTTCCTCTGCTGCCGAGTGTTGTCGTCTCTTTCCCGTACTTGGAGGAGGGGGGTATTCCGGAAGAGTGACTCCTTTGCCGTATTATCACCACCGCAAAAGTGCAGCAGCATTCACTTCCCCCCTGGTGAAGGGCAAATTCAGATACACAGATATGTGCCAGGAGAGGAAAGGGTGAGGTCTCCTCTTACCCACACGCAATTTAAGTAGCAGAAGTCCCTCCTAGGGCCGTGTTCCCAGGCTGGGCTGCCACTAGACCATATCGAGCTTGCTTCGCCTTTGCCCACTCCGTCGTCTGTTCACGGCATGGTAAGGGGGTGGTAGCCCAGATGAGCTGCTGGTGACATGACGTGTAGGGGGGGAGGGTGTGATGGGAGAGGGACTCGGGAGGAGGAAAAAGGGCGAGACTTCGGTCCTCCTCTGTCCATTGCCCACTTTCCGTCTCTTCTCTCTCATATATGCATATATGCCCTGGTTGTAATAGTCTGCGGAAACACGGAGCTGCTTTTGCTCCATCACAAGGGGTCGGGGAGGCGTGAATTTCGTGCGCTAAATGGGACGGGATGGTCAGGCGTGGGCAGCAGGAAAGACGCATGTCAATCCAGCGTAGTCCGGGCCCGGGAGGTGGGATACGATGCGAGCTAAGGCAAGATACCAGTAGACGTCGTCCAGCAATCGTCGCCCGACCCTGACGATGTCTCTCAAATTAAACAAATTTTTTTTTTTTTGTGAAATGTCCCAAGAGCGGCAGAGGCACCTGTCTGCCTTCCGTTACCGCCGCCGCCGTCGCCGTCGTTGTATGATTGTCAGTCGCTCTCCACCTCGAGCAAAATCATTTACTGAAGCCATGCGAACTCGCTTAGAAGACATATAGTAGACCATCTGCCATCCTGCAGGTAACATCTGCCCATCTGGCCCTCCCTTTCTCTTTCCCCCCGGTCCCTCCGTTCTGTGTCTCCGATGCGTCAGATACCTCAGATGCGTTTGTGCGTGATTGCATTCGAGACACGCCCACCTACACAAAAAACACAGAAGGGCTAAACATCGGATGGAGGGGGGAATCAATCTGGTTGGTCTCTCTCACTCCTCTTCCCCCCCTCTTACCTCGGATTGGAACGAAGAAAAAGGTCTCGGTCTGTAATAAACTACAAACACGCTCGATGCCGGTGCGCATGTCTTTCCAGATCGCTCCTTCACCCCCTCCCCGATTAAGCCGTTCTGCATCTTCACCCCCAATGGTTTAATTGTTTTCCCTTCTTTTTCTTATTCCTCGCTCTTCGCCTCCTTCCATTTCTCCTATTCCTGCTCCTGCTCCTACTCCACCAGTTCCGGCTGGACCTGCTGTTTGCTTCATTGGCTCATCGCACGACTTGATTACTATGTAAAACAGGAAGGGACGTAGTGGGGTAAACCTTTCCTCCACCCACCTCGTGCCCATTTCCACGATCCTGCCCCGCCTGGACAGGTACGTACTGTTTCTCCCAGGACGTCCTGGTCTTGGGCACGAAGATCAGAGTACGTATCTCTGTACGTACCTCGATGACCTAGCCCCAATGCCCTCCTTCCCCCCCCACTTGGAGCCCACTGCCAACGACAGTCGAGCCCACGATGGTCAAGCGCCAAGCCGTCGCGGTTCCCCGTTTGGGCGATGCGGCAGCCAAGCGCACCGCTGACTGGCCGTGCCAAGTCAAACGTGCACAACATCTGGCGACGCTACGTCGTAGATCTTGGCGCCTCCTTTTCTCCATCATTTCTTCCTTCCCCACCACAGGCGCGGGCTTCGACCCTGTCATTTCGACTAAATCTGTAACGTCCAAAAGTCCAGCGCCTCATGGAGGAATGGATCTCCATCAAATTCATTCAGTCAAATCGAGCCTCGTCTCTTGTTCTGAGCCTCTCACTTTCGGTTGTTCACCGGGTCCCACAACCCAAAATTTTTTTTTTAAAAAATCACCCCACCACGGGCATGGGTGGACTGGACCACTGCAAATCCGCGTCGTCAGACCATAAACCTCCTCGGACGTTTACCGTACTTCTATACCTCGGCATGTGTACGTATAGTATAGTATAGTATAGTATAGTATAGCACACCTACCATGTATACGGACACTATTCGTGCCTTTGGTTATTGCTCATTGTCATCTTCACTCTGCTCTGTCACGCTTCGGCTGTTGGATCGCCTTGGCTCCGCCCCAGCCGGTCCTGTATGAAATCCCCATTCTGCTAGGGAGGGCTGCCGACGCCATCAACATCATGATCCCGGCGCCACGCTTGCCTAGCCCTCCCTCTGCGTAGTCTCTTCAGCTATGCAAAGCCTCCCCATGGCGGCATGGAATTGTGCAAACCCTCGGGGCAACCCTGGGATACGCCTAGACGCAAACTGCAGCCAAAGTGTACTGAAGTGGTCAGATAGGCTTTGCACTTACAGCTGTCTCGGGCCCATCCTTTCAGCCTGCCGACTCTCCACCCCCGGGATGAAGCTTTTTATTCCACCAACACCATAACTGACTGTACCGCCGCCGCCTCCGCTGCCGTCTTCCTCTGTCCCACTATCCCGGACCGCCGTGTGTGTCTTCCCACAAGGTCCCCTCCTGGGACGCACGCGCGCGCGCACGCACGACTTCCATGCCACTCCCCGCTGGAAAGCCTGACTGAAGTATCAGCAACCGTCAAAACCGTATACCTCAAGTTCACGAGCCCCGAGGCACGAGGCACGAGGCCGCTCTCGAGGCCATCATCGGTTCGTGGGTTGTGGCTTGGTCAGCGCTGTGCGGCGCAGGCATCCGCCGCCTTGGTGCGAGTTGAATGGCAACATTTAAACGCTTGTGTTAACGGTAGCTAAGCCAGCCTAGACATACATACAATACAGACTGAGTAGAGAGCCCGAAGCAAGGCGCCAGGGTTACGTGCCACTCTCAACGGCGGCATTTTGCAGAAAACAACATAAACAGCAACATGCCGGCGGTGACTGACCGTCTGCTGTACCACCATCGCATCGACCCGCGCCTTCAGCAATCACGGTAGAATACGACATTTGAGGAGCGTGCTCCGAAACCGTTGAAACCCGTGCCTCCTTTGAGCTCTAGTCCGGGGTAAGATTTTGGATTTTCGCGGGAGATTGTCAGGCGTCCGTGGCCTCGTTCGACGGGTTTGTGTGCGTGTGTGTGTGTGTGTGTGTGTGTGTGTGTGTGTGTGTGCGCGCGCGCCTTTAGGATTCGATGGGATCGAATGCGATGCGGAGAACAGCCCAGAATCGTCTTCATAGACCGACCGCAGACACCATCAAAGGGCGTCGTCTCCCGCTCCTCCCCTGTCCCCGTTCTCCTGTCAGGCATCCTTTTCCTCCATCATCCCTCGTTCCAAACCGCTAGACCCTGGGACGTGCAGCGCAGCTTTTGGTGGAAATATCGGTGATCGGTTGTCGCAAACCCCAAAAAAGAAGCCATCGGGGACACGCCAAGCCCGTCTCCCGTTGTAAAGCGTCGCCATACCCTTTCTCCAGAAGCCAAGCTTTTGAGGACCTACGCGGCGGCGGCGGCTGCTTTAGTCTGATCAAGCAAGGTGCCACAATAGTATTGTATCCCACGCATTCACTGCGCCCTTCGTCAATTGGACGCTGGTTGGCAGAGCTTCCAGCTCTGCACGGTTGTTCCCTGGGGCCTGCCCAGAACGTGATCGACATACTCCGACCTTCACTCTATATTTCGACATTTATGCGCCGAACCGAAAAGCAGTCTGGCCAGCTGCTCCTTGACCGTTTCCTAGCCCCCGGCGCCCCATCCTCCCGATGACACTGTAAACCGCCGACGTTACCTTCAATTCAGACCCTCGGCAGACAAACATACAGACAGACAGACGGCCGGCCCGTGCAGAGCCGTTGACTGGACGGATTAAGGTCAACCCTCGGAACAGGGGGATACGATCCGCATGACGGCTTTAACTCTAATCAAGCTGTCTTCCTGCGAGATTTGTTCAATCCGGAACGCATGGTGAACTCTGACACCACGGCTATACTCGTTACTCGGGAAGCCTGGCTTCGAACCCCAAGACGGTTGGGCCAGGCTGAGAAAAGGTAATCGACCGTCTAGAGGCCTAGCGCAGAAGCACGTTCACCCCTCTCGTGGACTCATTCTGCAAGTTGTTGCAATCTGGTATGTGCTACCGAGCCAGGGTTCAATCTCGGGATCCTCCCCCATCTCGGAATGGAGCGATCTCCCATGTCTCTTGAACCGTGAGACCCAGGTGCGTGGCCGTGTCTCACAGGTGCGTGGGCGTGGGCGCAGTGGTGCACGGCGGGCGACAGTGTACCTGAATGGTAGGCGTCCCGCCTTGGTACGGTTGCTGTAATTAGATGGTGCGTTGTTACGGAACGCAGTCGCACACAACGGCGATGTGCCACCCACGTGTGCCGCCCGCCAATGGCTGTCTGATTGTGCGACTGCCAAGACCCTTCAGCGTCGGTTGGAAACCAGTCACAGCCTCAAACAATCAGCCCCTTTAAGGAGGCAAACGATACGGTCCACCAATCCGTTCACTCGAGAAACCGCTATGCGGCCTCTTCGGGAAGCCGGACGGATGCTACAGCGTAGTATTGCTGCCTATTTGTGCCATTCTGCTCTCGCGGGCTGACGACGGCGCGCTTCATGATGGTTTCCGTCCGTCTGGGTCCCTGTGGAATGTTTGCTTCACAACGGCATGTGGGATGGACAAACAACAGCGCCGCCCGCGGGCGTGGCTAGCGACAGCAGCCGCAGAGAGAGGCCATCCAACTGTAGTCTAGGATCCCTGGACTAGTGTACACTTCGCGCGCGATGTGTAGCCGTGCACGCATCGACACTCGTTAGGCTTGCTTGCGCGCTCCCGGAACTGTGTGCAGAGTGTCCATGATGCATCGGGAGGTCATTGTTGCGAGCCGCGGCCGATATGGGCCATCCTCATCAGCAGCACATGACGCCGGCCCTGTAATGTTACCAGTCCGACCCTATCTGTCGCACGGGCATAATATAATAAATACCATGCAGAGGCTGAGGTCTGGAAGACGACCGAGGGTTTACAGCGGTGAGCTTGACGTGAACGAAATAGATTAATAGAGACCACGGTTTATGCCATGGGCCATTACAGGCACAGTAAACAAGGCGGCAGCAGTGGAGGTGGACGGCCAGCAGCTGGCTTTGCGCCGCTGAAAGGGGTTCGACCCAGTTGACAGTCTCCGTGCAAGCAGCAAGGAGGCGGTAGAGAAAGTGAGCGGTATCCAATCGGGAACTTTGAAACGGCGTGGCGCGGCGGGTCCCGCCGTGTGCGATTGGATCAGAGGTCCGACGTCAACAATGGATGAAACATCCATGGCCTTTGACAAGTCGTGCGTCACGAGAGGAGCAGGGGGCGGACAGCGCTTGTCTGGGATTTGCTCCGGCCTACTCTCTCCAATAGATTGCGGTAATACTGCGTAGTGTAATCGGAGGTCATGGCCTGTACGCAGGGGAGCACATGGGTCCTGGAGGAGACGCCGCGGAAGACGAGGTGACGAATGCTACTCCAACAGCCGCCCGTGGGCCCATGCCATCCGTTCCTATCCCATCCCATCCCATAGTAGCTCTGTCCTGTATCGAACTGGATGGCAGACGTAGGCAGGCATGCATCTGCTGGTTAATCTAGTCGCCAACGCGTATCCGTACTTGTCCCATGAACCGTTATTGTCTGCGCAGGGCGGCGGTCTTGAAAGGGGTGAAGGGCTGGAGACTAGCTTGAGGATCCGATACCCAAGTGGTGGGGGGGGGGACCACCACCCACTCATGCCAGCCAACCTGCTGAGGCGAAGGGCACAATCGCGTAACCGACATTTGATGAAGCCCTCGCCTGTTCAAAATGGCCATCGTCCATCCATTTCGGCCATCCGCCACTGTAGTGGGGTTGGAGATTTGAGGAGGGGCGCATCCCCGTCACGATGCAACTCTGCCGAAAGGCGTCGCTCGCTGCGTCTACGCCGTAGACTCCATCCAGCCTTCCATCACGACTTGGTCATCGTACCCGCCACGACATCCCCGACCCTGTAAAGGAAAGGGGAGTCGAAATCCGGGATTTGTTGTTGCTGGATCCCGCAGCGGCGGCCTCTCCAGAACAAGATATTACCGGTATTCTTGCCTGGCAAAGCAGCTACGCAGTCTGCATTGATCGGCTCCTCAAGCATGTTGCAACCTCTGCCGTCGCCATCTCCATTTCACTTGGTCGGCCCCATCGCCTGCGTCCAGCATTCTGTCGATCATCTCCACAGAGGGCCAAGTATTTGGCTGGTACTCAGTCGGAGTCAGGGCTGCCGATGACGGACTTGCCACCTCTGGAGCTGCCAACAATATACAACCAACCGCGCAAGACATGAAAAACTGCTCAGATCGACTTGGGTATTGAAATGTCACCAGACTCTTGCAAATACATTTGAGAACCCCTCCACGGCGTACTTGTCGGGACCAACCCGCGGGGCCTGCATTTTCCGACAGGACGGGATGGGAGCCGGGAGCAGTCCCCGTCGGACGGTTTCAACATGGTCATACCCAAAACCACATTCGTCGTCATCTTTGTGCGATGCTGGCGCGTCCCTCTCCGCCTCTTCGGATTGAATAACACCATGCTCCTCCCTGCTCGAACACTGCCAAGACTTCGGCATGTTGCCTTTGATATGCACCAAGCGCGTATTGCATCTCAAGTGCTGGCAAGCCACCCCACAGCGTACGTGTGTCTTCGACACACAATCTGTCCCTCAAACCTGGTAATACAAGAGCTCGCGTTGCATGTCCGACGATTACCGCCGCAGCCATGGTGCATTTGCATTCGATGCTGTGGAATCGCCGCAATTGCAACGACACAAGCCGTGATCACATAGTCTGTCGGTCGTATTCATGCTCTGTTTTCGGTAAAGATTCGCGGCCGTCCATCGAGGGCAGCTGCCGGCAAGTTCGCCGCTCAAGATCCCTTCGGCGTCGCGACAGATGCTTTTCCTCGTTGGCTTCCGGACCAATCCATCGTCTTATGGCCGGTGGCGCTCCAACGGCCATTCTTCACCTGCTACCTCGATCCTGACTGAGCAAATCCTGCGACACCACTGCCAACCTCGTTTCAATAGTAGCAGTCGGTTTTGTCGGGCGTTTCCAACAAGCTGGCGATCAATCAAGCAAATAAAGTAGGAAACAGGTACCCAGCCAGAGAGTTGGCAACTCCGGTAACCTTGGTTGTTGGTCTTGGCGCCAAGCCAGGGTTCTGTCAGGTTCCAGTGACATGGATATTGAAGCCGATGCAAGGCGAGTCAAGTGGCACCTCAACGGTAGTGATAAGGAGGCATCTCCTCTGTCTCCTAAATTCCCATGTGTTTGGTTTCTGCGGCATCGATGCATTCCAATGCAGCATCGTTTGGGCTGGTCATCTTGGGAAAGGCCGCCGTGTAGCGATCTCGGCCGATGGGAGGCGCGCGCGATGGAATGCGTTTACCCGGAAACGGAACTGCTTGTCCAAACAAACCACTGACTTGCAGATGCTTCGGCGGAGACCTGACAGCGTTGTCATGACATTGAATCAAGGTTAAAGTCTGCGGGCCCTTTGAGCTAAGTAGACGTGCCGCGCGACTTCCTGTGCCGCCGGCCAAGGTTGACTGTAACAGCCAGCATGCTTGTCGTAGAACAAGTTGAAACGGTGAATGAAAGGCTGGCCAGAGTTATCAGCGAAACTCGGTGAGACTTGTTTCGTTACGAACGTACCACGGGTAAGGCGTGTTGGCATCATCATATCTTTGTCATTTCGCCAGACTGAACTCTGATCAGAAACTAGGCCGTGAGCGAAGTGGTCGTCGACTAGCTACTATAGACGGCTGTGGCGGGATATGAGCGCGTTCCGATGGTTGATGGAACCGACATGGACGTGACCGTGGATTTGATAGCCGCATTCCAGTCACTGCGCCTGCTGCCTGCCACACACACGGGCAAGACCGAACTGGTGTGTTGCAGGACAAGAGAGGGAGGGAGAGAGAATGTGTCGCGATGAAGCAAAAGATGGATTGAGTTCATGCAGCAGGCGCGGGGCAATGGCTCAGGCTTTCCATCTCGTGCAATGCTACGCAGTGCGGAGCAAAAGCAAGAGCAGGTGGTGCATTGCGGAGTGTGAGGTTATTGCTTCTTTGGACTTTCCACATCGTGCAAGTTCAAATCAACGGATGAGGTAAGCACGCAGGTATGTATCTTCAAGGCAGGCAGGAAGGATACAGAGAAGAGAGAGTACCTACCTGGATAGGATAGGTCCGTGAAGGGACTGACTAAGACACGGAACAGATAAGGCGAGAATGACGCGCTTGCCGCCGATGAGCCCTTGATAAGGGAAGGCAATAATAGATAACACGGAGTATACTTGGAGAAAACAGCCGGAGGAATCGATCAAATGTCGGACCGCTCCGTTGCATGGCAAGACCGAATGTGGTTGGTTCAATGCCGGCAACTCTTTGCTTTCGGAATGGAACTCAGAAGCAGCCATATGAGCTTGCTATGTGGCTGTAGCAGTCAGTAGGCATGGAACTGACTCCGGAGGTTCGTTACGGAAGCCGGCTGTGCGCGTCTCATGCACGGAGACAAGGCAGGTGGAAGGATTATAGACCAGACTTGACTTAACTCTGCGCCGGCCGACGGTGTCATGCACGACAACGTACTAGCCAGCTAGTGCCGACCGGATGAATTGCATCTTCATCTCCCTACCTTACTACTGCCTACCTGGAGTCCTGTACTGGCAGGCGATTGATGGTCGGATCCGGAGAAAGAGTGCAACTAGAGGCGCACATGCCGTCCTATGGCGTGTTCTGCCGCCATTGAAAGGCGCCTTTCTGGTATATCTATCTGTACGGAGTATCTCGGGGGACTTTGGATTGGATTGGACATATCGATTCGATTGCCGTTCTACCGTCTTCCAGATTTGCAGTGCATCCGGTAGCAATAGCTCTCACCGTGGTTCTTGATCCGGCTCTGGTTCTTCTTCTTCCCACCTCTTGATTTCGGTACCGTTCTATTCCCCCTTCTTCCCTGCCCACTGAGTAATAATCTGCCATTTCCTTTGCCAAACAAACAAATATTACGACGTACTTGTATCACAGAACAAACCAACAAGCCACAGTGACTCGAGCAACATCCTGTCAGGTTTCCCCCTTTCGGGTCGTCGACTCGTTAGCGACATTTGGATGAATTCCATCCTCAGGTATGTGGTTGTAATACCCTACCTAGATAGGTAGATTGGTTGGTACGGGCAATTAGTTGGTCGGTCAGCACGAAAGCACGCCACCCCCGTTCAGGTGAAGCAAGATTGATTGATTGAGCTGAGCTGAGGGCACCTGCGCCGCCCGCATTTGCCTCACCATCGCCCAACGCGCATTGCACAGCCGTGACGGCTCTCACAATATTATTACCTGACCGTCCCGTATCTGCTGTATAAGGTACCACACCACCACACGCACCGCGCGCTAAACGCAGCCTTTTTCGTTTTTTTCTTCTTCTTTTTTTCCTTTTTTTTTTTAATTCTTGCAAATCCCCTCCCGCTCGACCATTTTGCAAGTGTCCGGTGCCCGTTTCATTCCCAGACACACGCAACATTGAGCACCATTTCCCTTTTTTTTTTTCTCCATATTTTTTCCACGGCCTCCTCCTTCTTTTGCCTTTTGCGACTGGCCTGGCCTGGTTTGGTTTGGCCTGGTTTGGCCCAAGGGACCTGCGACGAATTGACTATTGGGCTAAACACCTCTTCCCATCTTTCTGGCCGCCCCTAACGCTTTTCCTTCCCAATTATCCCGTTTCTCTCATCCTCTCACACCACTCTCCCTCCCTGCGTATGCCCAATATTGGGCTCTCTCTATCTGTCTTTCTCCTCTCCTCTCCTCTCCTCTCCACTCTCTCTCTCTCGCTCTCTCCCTCTCGCTCTTATCAAACGAACCCAACCACCCACTCCCCCTCATTGGACCATTCTCTCCCGCCTGCGCACGCGACCGACCGCGTAAAGTGGCCTGGGCGGAGTAAAGCGACCCCAGCGCAACGCTACTGTCCACTGGGATCAACCTGACGAATACAGAGTACAGCCAGCACCCAATAACCAAAGCACTACCACCACCACCACATCCTCCTCCTCCTCGGCATTGTTGTGCCCCCCCCTGGTCTGGGTATCCAGGGTCTCTCAATTATTGGGACTTCATTTCCCCACCATCGTCAACGCAGCCGGAACCAATCTCCCTTCAACTTTTTTCCCTTCCTACTCTCTCACACACACACTTTCCCACTCCCGCCTGATTATCAAACCCGCCCTTGTCTGCCTGCCCTTCCGCCTCCGCCGCCGCCGCCGCCGCCGCCGACAACAACGACGACGAAGACGACGACGACGACATCCCCCCTCTCTCCGACCGTCCATGGTCAAGGAACCACCTCGTTTTCTCCTAAACCCTAGTTGTTCGAAACACAGGCTTTCTTAACATCTCCGACGACCATGTCCGTTTGCGTCGAACAGTCCTACCCTCCAGCCGACGACGACGCCAACGTCACGAGTAAAGTCCCCCGAGACCGTGGTCACCCTTCCGCTATCGAAACAAGACAGTCGCGAGACGACTACAATGCCAGCGCCAACGCTACCCAAGAGTTGACCTCGATTATGACCGCCTCCGCCTCTATCCTGACCACCATCCTCAACACCGCATCCAATCCAGTCTCTCCCGGCCCCTCCAGTCCTCCTCTTGAACAGGCCAAGAGCAATGATTTCGTGCCCCCGACGCGCCCGAGTAGCACTCCCTTTTTACATCCCGATCAACGGAACTCGGATTGCTGCACTCCCATGGCCGAAGACGCCGATGCGTACGGAGGCCCGGGCATCACCACTCCTCCCTACTCCCTCGACGCCCCCGACGCCTCACCCACCCTGAACCTCAACGACCTTCCTGCTGAGATCCACGAATGCATCCTCGATCATCTGTTCGGCTACCGAGTCTCCACCTCATCCAAGAGTTCTGTTGGCATGCAGAGCGTGACCAAGAGTTGGGGGACCGCCCTGCGCCATTCTCGTCGGAGGGAGTTGTCCGAGCTTGCCCTCGTGAGTCCCGTATGGCGGATCCTGATCCAGGAGCGTCTCTATCGTCACATCAAGATCAAGGCGACGATCGAATCGCTCGAGCTGGCCATGGCATACTTTAGCGAGCACAATCACCTCCGCCGCTACGTCAAGCATATCGAGATATGGTTCCCCGTCTTTCAGCCCAAATACGGTCCTTTGGCCCTAAGCACCACCCTAGCTCTTCCCACCGTGACCATGGACGGCCTGACCAACGCGACCTACACCCTACCCGCCAACAACTGCAGTCTCGAAGAGGCCTTCACCTTTGTCTCTCTTGCTCTGCCCGACGTCTGCGTGCTCACCGTTGAAGGCGGCGAGAGGAAGAAGGCGCCCAAGGTGCAGCATAGCTGGAACAAGCGCCCCGCATGCTGGCATCTGCCCACTCTGGAGTCGGTACGCACCCTGGTCACCAAGGGACAGTGGAATTTGATGCGCGACGACTCAGACTTTGCAGCCGTCCTAGGAGCCCTGCCAAACCTCAACGAGTGGCACGGTTCCTACAGCAAGCCCAAGTCTAAGAGCTACTTGAGCATGGCTAGCATTCTCCCCAAACTGCCCACGAACCTCACCTATCTTAACCTCTGCCTCGAGAGCGATTACCGGCGCGAACTCAACTGCCCGCCGTTCTACATTAAGGTTTCCAACCAAGTCCACTTCTGCACGAGGCTGGCCGAGGCGACCCCCGCCCTCGAACACTTGGCCTACACTGGCCGCGTCTGCAAAAACTTCTTCAACATGGCCGCCATCCGATCCGATCCGAGAACGACCCGTCTCAAGACGATCGACCTCACGGTCAAAAACTGTTGCCGCCCAGTGCCACAATTTCACGACTCGGGAAGTGGTATTCAGGACATGAACTTTATCCACTCGTTCGAAATGCTTGTCCTGGCTGGTATCCATTCCATGTCGACCCTCAAGGCTTTGGACTACTTGCGGATTCGCTTTGTGGACTTGGGTGAGTCTTGCCCCCCCCCAGCTTCGTTATTTGATCCTTTTGCTAACTTGCTTCAGACTCTCCTGTCCCTCCTCTGAATCCGTACTTTGTCTTGAGAGACGGCTGGTGCTCTGGTGTTTGGAGCGATAACATTCTAGCAGAGCTAAATCGGGTCCGGCCTAACGCAAAGTTTGAGCAGTTGAGCGAGTCATTTGGGGAAGTCGGATACAACAAGGACGGGCGCATGATAATTAGTCCTGATTATCCTCGCTCTCGGGTACTATCTCTGAAGCTGGCCAACTACGCACTTTTGGCAGGAAGTGTCGCCGCCCTCCCTTGAGTCCTTGCCTGGGACTCGCCACAATGACCGACTCGAGACGCCAAGTCAATCGGCAATATTTGCTTTTTTTTTTTCCCTCCGCGATAGTCGTTTTCTTTTTCCAGTGTTGACGACAACGAGCATGCGAGCACAGCAACAAAGGGTCACATTAGGGGCGTTAATTCGAGGTTTCTGCGCCATAGACGGAGAGCATCATACCCCTAATCTCGTTTGGGACAGTTTTTGGTCTGCAATTCTCTTGTTATCTCAACGACGGAGTTCGGGCTTGGTACTTTGCACGATGGGTAATCCGGAGTCTGGGGGGAAGGAAAGATTTTGGTGCTTTTTTTTTTTTTTTTTTTGAGGCATATTGTTGTTCCCCTGGCTCTTTGCATTTCAAGGGCTGCGTTTTTATCTTGCTTTCAGTCACATACATGGCTAACAAAAGAAACTTGCTCCAATATTGATTCACTGAGACTACTGCGGCCGATTTCGTGCATGTTTACATTGGTTATCAGTCATGAGATGACGCAATGTCAGGCAATAACTTTTGTTTAACAGTTGTGTGTCCCCAGCAGGACGCGCAAGCCACGCTGATTGACATGCTCTATGCAATACGATCTGATCTCATCTGCCACTCGCGCTCGAATCCTGACCACCTGGGTGCCGTCTCTCCGGCCGCGCTTCCGATTTGGTCTTCCGTTAGATATGCCCGACTTCATCTTTCTTCTTGAGAGGCCGCCTCCCCATTATGCCACTCGGCAGGCGGGACGCGATGTTCTATTACGCCAAAGGGGAGGAGAAAAAAAAAAGGGATCACTCGCGCGGGAATGTTTAAACAGATGGGGAGAGAGAGAAGAACAAACGGGCTGTCACACATTCCCGTTTTCCTCGCACCAGGCACACCAGCCTTGGCTTTAAAGGTCCGGGACGGAAGGCGATCGGGTTCGAGGGTATCAGTTGGAGACTTCTGTGGTCCGCCCGTAACACCACTCACCGTGCCATGCCATTTGTATGTACATAGATGCCAAAGTCCTCTAGCAATTATAGTAATACCTTTATTGCTATAGGATCATCTAGAAAGACTATACACTAACGGTTAAGCTCTTCTAGCAACTGGCAAAAGGGGGGAATCATAGAGTATAAGGGAAATAAGTTATGTATTTAGGCTCTAACTGACTTAAGTTGTACAAAAGTAAAAAAGGGTAAGTGTTAGAACATTAATTCAGCTGGATATGCACGCATAAGTTAGTAGCCAGAAGGTCTATATAACTGGCCACTTTTAGCTAGCTAGACTTAGAGACTTCATGCCTTTACATGCCTTCAAAGAACAGTCTTGTTAATGCATCAACCTCATCTATAGTCCTTCCAACAATATATATATATATCTTAGAATTCTAGAGAAATCTATAGACTTTCTTTATTACTTTATATTTAAAATCTAGGTAGATTCTTGCTATATAATTAGTAGATCTAACCTATAACGTAAGGTAAATTTATCTTCTATTTCCTAACTATTTACTAGATAATTATATATTATTTTGCTATATTTAATAATACAATCTAGAAACCTAGATAAATTTCTAGATGTCCTCTATTTTCTTAGGTAGGAAATTTAGCTGATTACTAGCTATTTGATTAGCTAATGAACCCTGAAAAATAGAGCAAATTCACTGCCGAATCCCTGACAATTCGCCAGGGCTCAACCGTACATTCGCTAGATCAATACATGTCATTCCGCCACATTTGACAGTAAGATCCCCATCTCATCTCTGTATAACCTAACTGTTGGTTCTCTCTAGGCTGAGGATTTATCTGTTCAGTCTAATGTCTTTGTATAGTATTAATGCTATGTTGCCTACGCCTTACGCTATGAAGAGGAGCTGGGTTCGTCTGATGGTTGTTGTACTGATACATCCAGCGCTGTCCCAAAGCCGTGTGCTGGTGCATCAATGTCTACTTTATCTAGCTTAGATAGCGTTCTCCTACTAAGAAGCTTTACGCCATTTTCTAGAACCTCAACAGCTCGCGGTTTTTCAGCTATGTTTGTCAACTGTAATCCTGTACAGACCCAAACAAATTTAGGTCTACCAGCACTATCCCGCCTCAAAACTTTGGCCATCCTGAAAGCCACCAAAATTCCTTTGACCTTTACCACATCTTGATCACTCTTGTCCTGTGGAACTTTAACAGTCGCTAACCAGCGTTTTCCAAGACTTTTTATAGCCTCCGGGTCATCAAATCTTGCTGCACTATTAAATGTAAGCATTACATAGATAAAACTTCAAGTTAGAGATTACTTACAGTGTAGAACTCAGGATTTCGTTATCAAGCGACTCAGCTGAGCTCCCGTGGAGATCAACATCTTGACCCATGGAAATAGAATCAAAGGGCATAGCAGAGATAGCAGCCATGAAGCAAAAGACGAGGAAGACTTTCATGTTGACTTAGTTGTAAGATATTATCTAAAGAGTTTTAAAGTTTTAAAGAGTTTAATAATAAAGTAGGATAACTCAGGATAAAGAGAGTAAGGTATGGTTTTATATACCTAGGCTGACTGTGCAGGTCTGAGGACGCAAGAGGCGGAGTGATTTTTACATTTCTCCCTCTCTTGTTGTTCAAGTGTGAGTGGCTGCGGAGGCGTGGGTCTGAATAGACGAATACGCTAAAACAGATAATGCATTATATTCTAGATGCTTTTCTCCACCTAATTAAGTGAAATCTAATAACAGAAATATTTTGCACTTAGGACAACATGTTGCTAATTACCAAGTTATAGATGTAACACATAAAACACCACACTTAAACAAGGATTATCCGGTGTGAGCGACTGGGGTGTGGAGGTGACTTCGGAGCAGACGGCGCGAGCGACAAGCCAGATCAACAACAGTCTATGCTTTTTCGGAGTGAGCGACGAAGTTGTTGAAGTGGGCTTTGTGGCGAAATACGCTAGTCATTTCCACCCAAATGAACAGAAATTTATGTCACGTGTATAGCAATAGGGGTCAATGCCAGTTTATGTAGTAGACCTATAGAAAGGAATACAACAGAGCATGTATTAATATATACATAGTTTCTAGACTAATTACATTAATAACAAATATTCTGATTTATAAATTACTAATTATTACTATTAGAGATAATTCTTCTAGATATGATAATGATAATTAATAATAATAACAATATAGTGCTAAAGAGCTAGGCTAGCTAGAAAACCTAGCTTATAAAGCTAGAGTGAGACAAGTGTCAGCCAATATAAAAAAAAGAAAGCTGCATAAAGCTTGGACAAGAAACGCCCCTCGATCAGATGGCATCTTCAGTCGATTAGCCCAGCGAACAGGCCAGCGCTAGATGCTTGCTATCATGGCGTAATCATGACGTCTAGGAAACCCAGCTCGCTGGCGACCATGGGGTAATGGATATGAAGTTACCGTAATAGGGTGTGTGGATTCATGTCCCTAAATCATCTGTCGTGGCTTCGTCCCATCACAGTCCTTGCTGCCATTCAATCACTTTCCGACAAGAACAGAACGAGACCGGTTGTCAATCCCCATATCTGGAAGCAGGGCCGGAGAGAAAACAGCTTTTTAAACCATGGTAGCACCGGCCATGAGGCCACTCCTCCTGGCAGGGGGCAAGTCCACTCGAATGGGCACGTCTAAGCACCTCCTTAGCATGCCCGACGGCACACCCTTGTACCAACGGCAACTGCAGCTTCTGCGCACAATCTTCCCGGAACCCCAAACAATCTACATCTCTCTAGCTCAAGAGTCGGAGACGGATGACTACCTGGACGAGTTACTGGCCGCACAGCCCGAAAATCCTTCCTCGGCTGCCTCTGAGAACGAGGACCTTAAGCGGGGACCCAAGGTGCAGATTCTTCGCGACGAGCACCCCAACTATTCCAAGCACTCGACCGGCCCGGCCGCGGGACTTCTCGCGGCGTACCGGTACGACCCGTGGGCGAACTGGGTCGTCGTGGCGTGCGACTACCCGCTGTTACCGCCGGACGCGCTGTACCTGATGTTCCTCAAGCGCGACGCGGTGCCAGTGACGTGCTACCTCTCAAGCGAGGGGTCCTGCGAGCCGCTGCTGGCCATCTGGGCACCGGCTGCGCTTTCACGGTTATCGGAGCGAGTGGCACGCGGGCACCCGAGTCCGGCGGCGGCGGCCAAAGAACTGGACGCGGTGATGCTGAAGCCGCCGCTCGGGTGCGAGTGGTGGCTGACGAACGTCAACACGATGGAGGAGTGGGTAAAGGCTGTGATGGAGATTAAAATGGGGCCGCAGGAGCCGGACTCCGTCGAGGTGTTGAAGGGGACGGGGTGACATACAATGTTGATACCTCTATCCACCATCACTCATGAAGCGTTTTTGGAGTTGTAGAATAAAGAAAGATCCTCTCACAATATGACTTTCTCAGAATGCTGCCTGTCCCGGTATGAGATAGCAGGTGACGAGGCCCTCGCGCCGTGAGCCTTGCAACGTGCCCCCAAGTTGAACCCAACAGTTGGCATTAATGACTGGCCCGAGTTTCGCGGGACTCTGCTGTTTGCTGAATTCAACCGCGAAGTCTCCGTCTTGGTATTGCCGCAAGATTCCGTGTCGGAACAAAGTCATGCGGGGAATTCCCGGCGATGCTGCTTCCCCCCCAACTGCTGTTCGCTGATGTGTCTTCCACGCACTTCGCCATGATGGGTGTCTCGGCGGTCTGATGCTGCCAAGACCTGAGGAACGGAACTACGAGAAACCGGAAGCAGGCTGCCGTGGCACCTGGGTTACCAGGCAGCCCAAAGACCGGAAGGTCGCGGGACCGGCTGGGGACCTGGGCAAGGAGAACTGGATGTCCTGGTCTCATGGCTACGCCGTGGAAGTGAGTCTTCGCCCCAAGATGGCCGAGCGAGGAAGCCACAAAGTCAAACCTCCCGACGGAGACGCCACCTGTCGTGAGGACCTTTTCAAACCCACTCCCGTCGATTGTGTCCCGTAGCGCCTCCCTGACGGCTTCTTCACTGTCGTGCAGCGTCCCGAGGAACGTGGGGTTCGCGCCGGCCTCGCGGAGCGCAGCCATCAGGACGGGTCCGTTGACATCCTGAATACCGCTGGCCTTTCCCACCACCAATTCTTTCCCTGTCGACCACACTGTGACACGCGGCCTTTTGAAGACCCGGATCTTTGATACCCCGACCGACGCCAACGGCATGATGTGCGAAGAGCCGAGGACGTCCCCCCTTTTGAAGACTCGCTCCCCGAGCCGGATGTCGCGCCCTGCGGGCCTACGGTTCGCGTCCGGCGCCACCGGCTTCGTGATCATGATCACCCGTCCTGTCGTGCCAGCGACGGATACCGTGGCTGTGTCTTCGACGCGAACACAAGCGTCGAGCCGCCTCGTCGTGCCCACCACCTTGGGGAAGATGCCGCCGGTCATGATTTCCAGGCACGGCTCGACCTCGTTTCGAAAAATCCTTTCGTCCAGCTCCGTGAGCTCATCGCTGGCGGCCACCGTCCCGCACACTCTCAGGAGCAGAGGTCTTCCCGGGGATGCGAGAGCGGTGGCATCGGAGCAGACTGCGTACCCGTTCATGGCGGATGTGTCGGTTTCGGCGTCGCTATTGGGCTGACGACCTCGGTGGCAGCCATGCGGCCTGCAGTGCCCATGAGATACACCTCTTCCCAAATCTGATTTCCATCCCGTTCATTTGACGATTGTAAATTTGCGGCCGTCTTATGCAAGATGTCCACGGCAGCATAATAGGATGTCATCATAAGTAGACATGCAAGATATCCACGTCACTCAAGATCACATGTATCTTTCGCCGAGAGTTGTTCTGATTGGTGAGTGGCAAAATGGACAAGAAAGCTGTCCGTGAAGTTGTGATGGGATGAGAAGAGATAGATAAATGTTCGGACACTTGTATTGTGAAGGGTTTCCGTGGGTGGGAGGCTTGCCAAGTGTGATGAGTTGACACAGTGGGCCGAGACAGAGGCTCAGCCCTGGATAATCACATTACTGCGGTTTATATCTCGTAATTGTGACGTCAAGTGTTAGTCTGGAACTTGAGTTTGGCATCCCTAGGAGGCTCCCTAGCGGTTCATTGTTTTCTACGTGGTGCTCAGTGATCCTGTCTCACTTGCGCGAATTAGCTGCCACACAGTTTTATTGAAGATCATTCAGACCGATGACATATTGCTATTGTCGTGATATAGGCCGTAATTGCGCAGTGGCAATTACGGATCCGCTTTTGTCATCACAGCTATTTATTTGTCGCCATTATACTATATGCTGGTCTCCAGGTCGAAAACTGCTTGAACGTTTCTGCAATTCAAATGTAGATGACTCGGCAGTGAATACGCCTTATTGACTTATACCTGTCAACAATTTTCTCTAGACCGCTGGATTTGATGCGCAGTTCGAACAGTTTGATGATTTAATCCCTTTGCAGCGCCGGCACTAAGAGGGACTGCGGTGCCCTGACCTTAACCTGCTGATTGACCCAAGCTTGCATACGAATCGTACTGGTCTGGCCAAATTGGACCGCTTCGAGAAGCTCCTTATCCCAACACGCCTGGCTGACGGGAATCAAAGCGTTAAAGCTGCCCTAGATATACGAGAGATAGATGTGCAGACCCTGGAGGGTTTCCATGATCTCGTACGGGCTTTTCTGCGTGTTGATGGGAGGGAAGATGGCCTCTCTCAGAACCATGGCCTCACGACTGCCCTGCCGGACGTCTTCGCCGAACTTGTCAACTTCCACGCTGAGCCTATCATTGACTTCCTCGGTGATCCGGCGCATCACTCGGAAACCACCTTCGATTTCGAGATCGCTGATAAGATTGGGCAGCAGATTAGTGTAGATATCGAATAGTTGCTTGATGCTTTCGTATGTCTCGCCGAGCCACGTTTCGAGCTGCCGTTTCCGCTTCAAGGAATCATTCATAGCCATAAAGTCGACTCCATTGGTTGAACAAGACTGTTCTGCGGCAGATTGTGGCTCAGGAAGATATGGCTTCTCTCTGAGCTTGATCTTCTCTATGCGGACAGCTCCAGACTTGAACATGGGCTGATTGGAAATGGGATCCCATCGTTCTATCGCAGTATATTAATTAGCTTAGCACCGTGGGGCGTTAGAGAGCCGGAGGGATTCCCAGACTTACCAGCCGTCAGCTCGTTTGCCGCTCTAGAATTTCCATTTTTGGCATCCCAATAGCCAAAATGGAAGGGTATAAATGCCCGACCAATCGAGATGCCCCCTACTTTTGCCTTTAGCTCGATTGCGCCACGCCTTGACTCGACAATAACGTTATCTCCGTCTCGGACATCCATATTAGCTGCGTCCTCTCTAGATATATGGACTTGAGGCTCCGGGCATGCATCCTAGAGCTTCTTCGATCTGCCAGTCTTGGTCCTTGTATGAAACTGATACCTGTTGCGACCCGTAGATAGGCGGAATGGGTACTCTTCATTGGGTTTTCCATAGAAGGAGTGTAGCGGCATGACTTCAGAATCGCGCGGCCCGCGGGGTTGAAAGCCGCGTACTCGGCCTTGGTGTAGGGCGCCCCGGTCTCAAGGTCATGCCCAAAACTCTCGCAGATGTCGAAAAGCCTCCGATAAGCTTTTCGTACGACAAGCCGCTGTAGTCGCAAGGCCGGCCATATAAAAGCCTTTTCCACGCGCAGAACACTTCCTCAGAGTCCTTGTACGGAAGGAGGAGATTGCCGTTCTTGTCCCTGAAGTCCATGCGACGCCCGTAGTCGAGAAAGATGTCGAGGTCCGATCTCGCTTCTCCCGGGGGCTCCACGGCTTTGTGAGAAAGATGGACAGTACGATCAACGTTGGTGAAGCATCCCATGGAACCATCCCCAATATAACTGAGCAGGTTCTGGACACGAGTCGGCTCGTTTCAGTGCGGAACCTTGATGGGATCAATGTTTCAAAGATCGGCGAGCTCTTGCTTGTGGGCGGGGTTCATATGATTCCTGAAGTCGGGAAATCGCCGTCGCACCCTGCCTCGCGGTTGTTCTGCGCCGTTGGCTGGCCGTTCATCTGCAAGACACCACTGCTCGGCTTGCCGATCAAGCCCCTGAGAAGGCTGATATTGTTGATCTGGCATGCGCTTGCGGTGGCTTGGTTGGACTGGTAGACGCCCTGTAGCGCCGTTGACAGAAGACTCTGGGAGTTTCTAATGATTTTGGCGGCTCCTTCGAGGTCTTCCGTAGGCACGCCGGATACCTGTTCAACCTTCTCGGCAGTGCAGTTCACGACGGTCTTCTCGAGCCGCTCGAGCCCGACTACGTGCTTTGAGACGAACTCTTTGTTGATCCAGCCCTTTTCAACATGAGATGTTGGATCCCGTTGAGAACCGCCAAATTGGTGCCAATCCCCGGAGCAAGATGAACTGTTGCTCTCCTCGCGGTATCGGACACGCGTGGGTCGATAACGACGAGCTTCGGCGGGTTCGGATCATCGAACCGGTCAAGCATTCTTGACCACAGGACCGTCTGTGTGGCTGCGACGTTATGGCCTACCAAAAAAAGACAATTGGTTTAATCAATATCAGTGTATGATCCTGGTTGGCCGTCTGAACCAAAGGACTCTCTCATAGATGCGGCTGCTGTTGCGGTACATAGACGCGTGTTCCCATCCCTGCATTCATCAGTAACATATCCATCAGCTCTGCACTGGTGACATGTTCTCGAGTTACATGTGCAGCGTCGACAAGCCCGCTTTCCCGACCACAGCTAGAGCGTAGTACTCCTCTAGAAATAGCTGGCCTGAAGTATAGAAGGCTATACCATGGCTCGTGAGGCGCTTGATGAGGTATTTTGAGCGTTGCACGATGAAATCCATTGCCTCGTCCCAGAAAGTCCGCTCAATTTGCCATTGCGACGAACGAGAGGGTATGTGAGGCGATCTGCATGGTGTATGGACTTCCAGCTAGATGCAATGACAATACTGATCAGTAGCTAGACCAAGAAAAACAACAACAAGTACCGTCGTCGCTGCATCAAGTTGGCTCACCCATGTAAACCCTTAGGGCCAAGCCTCCCTTTGTTCACGCGGTCTGTTGCGCGCCCACGAACTCCCACCACATTGCCATCTTTCACGCCGATGTCCAGACCGTAGCCGTTGCTTCAATTCATACGTCAAAGGTCAGCCTCCATGTGCTCCCAGCCGTAGGCTAAAGGGAGGTTCTCGCAGGGTGGCAAGGAACTCACCTGCACAGCACGCATGCTCTCTGAACCCATTTTTCTGGCTCATCGTCATATGCAATGTCGACTCGGATAGGCCACTGGTGCTTGCAGGGCGTTCTTGTGCCCCACACATTCTCGATTGAGTCGCGGGAATGATGATGGATGGGCGCGTTTGATCATATCTTGAATGATTCCTCGATCGTAAACAGAGACTCTTGTGCAAACGACAGGGTTATAACAGTTGGAGATGAACAAGAGTATCGGCGAACGCTCCTTGTGGTACCAGATATGGATTTGGACATGGCTCAGTCCTGGAGGAGATAGCAATAACATTCCTCGTAATGAATGCGTGCTGGGACAAACATTTGGGGGGACGGCAGAGGTTGTGGGTGATGGAATGGATGACTTGCAGCACATGTCGGATACCACCTGAGCTAGCGGTTTCCCCCCATGCCAAATCACCTCTCAGGCCCCAGAGGGCAATGTGTTTACCATGTACTTGGGTGATCACTATGTCCGGATAAAAGAGTCGTTATGCAACACTGACGTCAAGAAGGGAGCGGCAAGTCGTGCTCGCCTTTTCTCCAACTAGCACTGTTGGCAGTAAATCCAATGGAACAAGTGCTGTTGCTAACAAGTGGCAGCCCTTGTGCTTCCTTGGAGCTGGATCCTCCGAGACGGGGCGGATCCAGCATCTCCGCGCTGGCCTCAGCGACTGCATGCCGGGTTCACTGTCCAGAAACATAGTTCGCAAAAGTGACATGTAGTCGCGCTGTAGAGAGGGAGAAAGCGCCTGGGAGTTTAGTCCCACGCGATTCATGAAGGGTGGATTCTGCTCCGCACGCGGGCGCGGATCTTCCGCTGTCATGCGGCCGCTAAGGCCGTGTCCGTGACGGAGCATCCTCTCGGGCATGGCACCGAGAGACGGCGCCGGTACTGAACACGGCGAAAGTTCCTTTCCTTTCGTGCAGGAAGCATACCGGGGTTCTTGGCATGTGTTGTTAACAATCGGAAGCGGGTAAACCCCAACGGCCGACGCGGCAAGATGTTTCCGCAGAAACTCAGCAGGCAGCAGCGGCGTAGATCTAGGCAGTCATCTGCTTTTAAGAAGAAGAATTCACCATCTAGCGTTGTCCTGTCTGGCTTGCCATTCTCGTTGTTGCGGAGCAGCTGTTTCTCCTTGTCCATAAGCCAACACAAAATCTCGAGGTCATAATCCGTACCAAGTATTGACCAAGTTAAAAACGCCGAGGAAATGTGGAGTCACCCTCAGCCACCGTACCCCCTTTTCATCTTGAGCCTAGCTAATATTGAGCAGGACATCCGTGGAGACTAACACCATTCTCGAGCAAAATGGCTCCGGCCTATTTGCTCTTCCCTGGGAAGTCAAGGAGCGCATCTATGAATACTATCTCGCCTTCAGCCGCGAAGACTTTGGCTCCACCTCGCGGCCGTTGCTCACTTACTTCGAGCAAGGGGTCTACACGAAACCTTTGCCGCCCTTCATGTTGGCATGCAAGCGCGCTTACCGAGAACTGCAGCAACGGGTTCACGCAGACGCCGTTATGCATGTACACCCTCAGGCCCTGGGCGACAGGGGCATCGGCTTTGCCGTTCACGGGACGCTCCGCTTCGAGCGCCTACGCAAGTTCCACCTGCTCCTCACCACCGAGTATCCGAACTGGAACCGGTGGATGGGGGTGTTCGGCGAGGTGGCGCAACGATCCAAGGACCTGGTCGAGCTCGTCATCGACTGGGAGCCGAGGCCGACTTTCTCGAATCTGAAAGGATGGGAGGCTAAGTTCAACGAGAAGAAGTCCAGCGAGTTCTTTGGCATTTTGTCACAACTTTGCCATCTCGAAGTTGTCAGGTTTCATGGAGAGTTGCCAGAGGGGTGGAGGGAAAGGTTTGAGAAGGAAACAACTGCGAGGCTTGTATGCTACAAGTTCAAATGGTGGAAAGAGCATGGTTTGGAGTAGTTGATTTGAAAAAGAGGGTTTAAAGGTAGAGGCGTATTGCATCTTCAACTAGAGAAAATGTGTACATTCATAATCTCCGTCTGAAGAATAAAATCTATTTATCTCATGTTCGCTGTTGCTTCTGATGAAAAGCTCTCTCGATGCTTCATCCGACTCATCTCGTCAATGTCCAGCCTGAATGACAGAGACATTCCTGCGTTTTGAAAGTCTCCAGAAAACGACTTGCTCTCCTGGCTAACCTGTAGAGTGTTCCTAGACCACTCCAGATATCCATGAGCCTTCTATCCTAATTGCAGGATTGTAATTATACTGCGCCGTGCCGCCTGGTGTTTTATATCGCGGTAGGGCGCAATCGGGGTTTTTCGTTTTTCGCGCCGAGGGTGGTGAATGTCGAGGCCGTTTCCAATCACAGCCATATCCAGGTAGTTGTAGCCGTTTAGTTGTGGTGAGCGTATTCAATATTGGCTTCCTGTACCTTGTTGTCGCAACTGGAGTCCGCCCCAGTGGCACCGGCTTCGGTGCACATTTCGCGCCAGTCGCAGTTGTCCATGGCGTAGTAGTACATGTATATAACACGGGTTATGCTGTCTGGGCCGGTGTATTGGCACACTCCCTCGGTGAAATTCGTTGTCCCGGAGTCAAAGCGGCTGCAGACCGTTTGTGTCGCATTGTCGTTCGCCGCGCCATCGTCATTGTAGCAGTTGCAGGCTCTGTAAGCACCGCAGCCAAGTGCACTTTTGACGAGGGTAAGAAGCACCAGAGAACTGGCGGTAGCGAGAGTTGGGAGCTTCATTTTGAGTTCGGGATTGTTAAGACGCGGGTTGGTAGAGAAAGAATGTGTGGTAATGAGAGCTGGCGAAGGAGCGGGAATTGCGAGTGCTTCGGTTGCAAGAGACGAATGCTCAATTGACTGCCTGCGGAAGATGCGTTAAAGCTAACATATGTGAGCATCTAGACGTTGTGCTTCGATTTTTTCGGCAAGACCGAGTCTGACCTTGTTCAGGCGCCCGGGAAGCTCCGGCGGAGGACGGGAGGTGGGGATTGCCAGTGCACTTTGGTATCCTGCCAGTGGGTTAAACCTAGTTAGGAAACAGGTTATGTCAGCACCAGGCAAAAATCGCCGACAACAGCATTTGACTTATCTAACCAATGAGAGGGCCAGGATTCAAGAAGTTACACGTCAGATTAACCTAGCGCCAGCACAAATTAATCCTGCCTATACTGCCTATACTGCCTAGGCAGTAGCTACAGCAGTAGTGGTAGCACTAATTGCTAGCGAAGTTGTTGCTGCTGTTGCATTGTGGGGATTTGCGGCAAAAAGGGCGTTTTTTGCATGGGTTATGGACCGCAGCAGTGGCAGTGGTGGCAGTGGTGGCAGTGCCTACTGAAATAGGTTTAACCCGCTGGCAGGATACCGTATACACTCGCTAGGTTCACAAACCGCACGGACCATCCACTAAGCCTATCTTGCAAGGCGGTCAACCAGCTTAGCCACCCACCCACCCACCCAACCCTAACCCTTGCTACCTAACTTGCTGCTAACGTTGACTAACCCCTGCATTTGCCACTTCTAGATCCCTGTTTCTGCCAGTCCGCTAGCCCCTATCCAGCAGCCTGTGATCAGTGCGGTTTGTGAATCTAGCGAGTGGATACGGTACCAAAGTGCACTGGCAATATACCTGTAACCGATAGTAGTGGGTATTCATTTGGTACGCTGGAGAATGCCTTCATACACATAAGCTCAATATCATCCTTGCCATTACTATAGGCTAAGAATAATATCAAACGGAGACTGCGTTGCATCTTCAAGAGATATATCGCGCACAATTACATAAAGGGAATTGATAGGCGCCCACGATTCCTTTCGTCTCTCAGTGGCAGTTGAGCCGCTGTTCGATTCGTCCAAATTCCAGAAAATGCTCCAGCAATAGCTGCTGAGATGCAGAGAAATCCTTGGATTCATCTGGGTAGAATCTGATGAAAAGGGGTAGATTAAGCTTGCTGCACTCATCGAAGAACAGACAGCACCATTGCTTACCTATAGGCTTCATGCGTTTCTTACTTCTATTGCTGATTGATCATTAAGAACATAGGAAAAGCGATTTAATACCGCGAAATCATCCGGCCTGATGAGCGCATACCGCAGCGATAACCTCTCCTCTTGTCAAAGTACATTCTCCGTTTATAGAAATTCATCGGCATCTTTACTAGCGTACCATGCTGCCAATGACAACATCAAGCTTGTGCAAATCACCCAAGAAGATTGGAAAACTGATATAGAGGACGACTGCGCCCCCATACAGCCATTTGATGTTCCATCTTGATCATTCATGGGGAGATTCTGGGACACCCCCGATGCTCCAAGAGTAGCAAGACTCTTCTGTGCTAAGTGTAAATTGGTCCAACTTGCTGCCGGCGAAACTAATGAAACAAATCGCAACTGGAAATCGGGTTGCAGAATTGCTCTCGCAATTGTATTAACTATGGGTCTACAAAAGTCCAAGTAGTGGGCAGAAACTTAACACAGCAAACTTCGTGTCTTGTGAAGTACTTGTTAGGGCCGGAGAAGCCTGGGAGTGGGTTCTATTGGGGCCGAGACAACAGCCATCTCAAATGAAGACTTGTTTTTATTTGCTGCTTTCCTTTCAAAAGCAGTATGCCGAGCAAAGTTTACTACACGTTGATCACCCAAATCGACTTGACACCACATAGGGACTAAACAGCTCGAGGATACATCCAAGTCTTGATTCTGCTCCTTATAGTGTGATGCTCGACGACAGAGCCCTGGCTGCTGGAGCTACCCCGACGCGGCGGCGGCCGACTAACAATGTTGGTTAGCTCGGAACCCCCGGAAGGTGTTCGCGTGATCATGACTCTGTTCTTGAAGTCTAGACCATTACTGTCAGCGTCTGGTTATTTGTCAGGTCAATGTCTGGGGCATGAACGAACTCGACGAGTCGTATCTTCGAGGATCCTCGATCACGGCAAAGAACTTGGCCTGGGCCCTTTCACTAGCTGTTGGCGCCATGGTTTATACGTTTGATCAATGATACAAGATCCTCGGAGCACTTTTTTTTTCAGCTTTGATGTTGCGAGATGATGGAAGCAAAGTGTTATTTCAGAGGAGGGAAACGTCAGCCAGAAATGAAGAAAGAGGGGTATCTTGGTCTTTAATACGCTCGAAGTCGAGTAGCACAAGTCAAGTGGCTCGTAATAACATGGCCGGGGGAACAGAGTTCATCCCCAACCCTTCCGATTCGTTCGTCCCGTCAAACTTGTTTCAACCACCTGCAATAGGACTGGATTCCGCTGCCAGCATGAGGGGTAGGTCACACCCTTTACGTTAAGGTGACGACTTGCGTTGCAGCTAGTCAAAATGCTCGAGAAACCTTATTCATCTGGCTCGGATGTCCGGCCATAGGCCCAATAAGCAGAAAACAGCGGAATCTTCCTTCGCGAATTGAGTGGTTAGCGAGCCATCGTGTTTGTGGAGAAGCTCGGTTGGCTGTGCTTCCCGCTGTTCAGAGATGACTACTTCTGTTCGTTAATGATTATGTAAATTTCGTAAGTCATCGGTGGAATATCAGACAATTCACGGTTACTCCGCAGATCACCTCAGCCTCCAACCGATATGTACGGTCCGCGGTCGTGGGTGGCTTGAAAATGGGAGGCAAGCAGATGGTAGTTTTCGAAAGTCGTCCTTGATGAGGAAGAAGAGACATAGACAAGACACCGAATGAATTTTGGGTTTCCTTCTCCTTTGTTTTCTCATACACATAGCCAGACGCGAATGTAGCTTGTTTAGTTACACCTCGGCAGGTTGCATATATGATATTGTTGATTCAGTCCAGTCAACATAACTTTCACTCACAGCGACATCAGCCAAGCAACTAACCGCTCCACACAGAAAATTGCAAATAAGGACATACCACGCTGAAAATATAACATAAACAAAGAACGGGGATCAGATTGATATGTCCTACATAAAAGAAGCTTACTGGGCTGCAGTGTTTTCCAAATATTACCTTTTCCTCGTCCTTCGAGCCCCAATATCACATATTTTACTACGTCCCCAGTCGAAAATTCAGTTACTCCCATAGCGCTGTTCAAAATCAACATCGCATATAGGTCTTGGCACGTCGTTGTCGAAGATGTTCGAGGCTAGCCACGTGATGTCATCAGGCACTTGTTTGATGTACTTAGTTTTAAGTTCGAGAACAGATTCGCGCCACTAAATGATCGCCCATATTTCATGAAAGATGGCTCATCCGTGTAAGGGACTGAATATGACTGCGAATATCAACCGGTCTCACGCTTGTCAAAACACCCCAGTTGCCTACTCATCTTGAACTATACAAATGCCCTCTGCATACATGTAGGCGATAAGTTCTAAATCAACTTTATTTTGGGTGACAAGCTCATACTTGATTCCAATTGCAGCGCGTTAGCCTAAATCCCGTTCCATATTTGTTACTTGCCCTTAATGAAAGTACGTCTGGGCACCCACTGTGTTGTAGCATATATAAAACGCCATCAGAGTATGATAGAACGTCCTTGAGAACATGAGAGTCGTTATCACTTACTCAGTACATTTTCCCTTACCCAGGTACCATATCATGGGGCACTGCCATGATACGTCGACACTATGGAGTGACCTCTTTTGCGTTTCTCTGTTTCTTTTTCTTTCCTGCTTTTATATCCGTGACGATGTCAATATATCTTCAAACCTACTACGAAGTCTATGACGTTGGTGGAAAACATCATGAACAGGATCAGACTGGATACAGGAGGATCAGACTTTATAATTCAAAAAGGGAGACGCGGACAAACCCTTAGCATGTTCTGGATTGATTTCAGTGCAATGGAAGTGTGAAAAGGCCGGTAAGGTACAGTGACGTGCAAAAAGTCTGGGTCACCCACTTGTTTCCCCCCAGCCCACACATCTACCACATCACTTTGACTACGAATAGAACCATAAAACTAACAACATATATGGCAAGAATATAGTCAATTAAACGCTCATTGTTTGTCTATCAGTATCGTGTATACCATTCCTGGGCCCGCCGTACAGCTCGTAAGCGCCCCGGTATTGACTCTATAAGACGGTTGAAAGTATAAATGCGGGGTGGGCCCAGACTTTCTGCATGTGACTGTAAACTCTTCGTTCGTTTCTTAAATTCTACGTCATCGCCTTGCTTATCCCAAGTTGCAATTCATCTCCCGTTCCCGCTCACATCATGGTATCAAGGCTATGTCTTTTGGAATCTTATCTGCGTCCATTGTCGGGGTAGTTTGACACTCAACGTTTGACGCGGGCTAGCATGATCCAGGCTTCCTTGTTAAACCGGTTGACCAGGAGTTTCATTGAGGAACAGGTGATGATTCCAAAGTGCTATCCAGGATCAACTCCAATCCCGCGCGGAAACAAACTTAGCGATTTCCTGAGCGGGTACCGAAGGTTATGTTTCCGACGCTATTCGCGGAATAGGTATTAAAAATATGTGGTCAGCATTATGGCATGTGTTGGGTTCTGTAAATGCTGGATTCAACGATGAAGACGCTATTCAAGGCGTGAAGGCTCGACGTCCTTTCTCCGCCGTGTGTAATGGCAATGATGTCCGCCAAGCCAATGGCAATAACGCTCCTCTATGATGCCTTGTACGCTGGAGCTGCCGCAATTTTGGATCTTCAGACCTCGGAGGCTGAACCGACTCTGGAAGCATCGGCTTCAACTACCGCGTGTGCGCTGAATCTTTCGTGGCTCACTTTGGACCCGGCAAGATCCCTCCTTTCCCGCACAGATAGAAGTCTCAATAATCCCAGCGGCACCATTTATTATTTCCGAAAGAGCAAGAAGGGGCCTTCTTACCTATATACAGCCTCTCGGTTATCAAAGTAGCCATAACCTCAGTTTTGTACCGTAAAATGGCAGATGTCTGGCTCCGGCTTCATAGTACGTCCCTTTCTTGACTTTGAGAAATCGTCCTCGCCATGCGCATGGGCAATCACTTTTGGGCAAAGCATTAACAACAGCCCGGCATTATCATCTGGGACCTTATCAGTAGAGGACTCTGCCAATATCAAGAGCCTCCAGTCTTGGATGTAAACCTTGAGTCAGCCAAACACGCTGAGTTCCTTGTCGCCAAGGACAAGACGTGCTTTCTTGTCTTGGCGGAGCTCCGTAACATCGTCGCCACTTACGATGTCGATACAGCTGCAACGAAGGTTGAGCTTCGAAGAAGTGTTCTCGGTTGGGACCCACGTGTCGGGTAACATTGTCTCAGCCGGCGCTACTGCTGCCGAAGTTCACCTTTCGGTAAGTCACCCAGACAAGATGGGATTCTACCTGACATGAATGCCACTAGCAATGGTCACTGACCTGACTTAGTCCGACCCTGAGTATCTACTTATTTCTTCACGGCACGCCAGCTTTTTCGACATCCCAACTTCGACCCCAATAACAGCACCGAGATCAGGCCCGATATTGTTGTCACATTCAGAATGACCGTCAGGCCGGTCATCTCAATATCACTCGGGTCTTTCCCTTGGGTGGAATGGTCCCGCGCCAGGTTTCTATCGTCGCAGAACATGCGGGTTGCGACCTTTTCTTGGCTTGTTTCCAGTGGCCAGTGTCAAACCTCCACATCCAAACATCTTGGCTGGGCATCGTAACATGTGCCTCCCTTCAAAGTCAGCGAGGCCAATCGCCCACACAAGTGCTGTCACGGTTTGTTGTCGTTGCCTGTCTCGGCTCTGGAGAGCCCACAACCGGGCCCAATCCTAGCGTATCACACTAACGCACTGCTTGTCTCTATGCCATAGCCTTTGCGCCAGTGTTCATGGTCGACGATGATGCCAAAGGCCGTCATGTACTTTATGCCCGGCGAGAAAGTCGTTTCCGTGGGAAATTCTGCTGGAATCGAAAGATTCGAAGGTGAACTCGGCGAATTTACGAACGCAAAGTTTTCTTTCTTTTTTCTTTTTTCTTTTTTTCTTCGAGTGTAAGATCCCTTCTCAGGTTCCTCGAATGTGAAGTTTTCTGATTTCGTCGTGAGGTCGAAGAACTCATCTGCATCTGAGCCCGTTGCCGTTCTCACGATCAGGCTCGTCGGCGATTTAATCTCATACGCAGAGTGGCCAAAAATGGAGACATACTGTTGTAGTTAGGATTCAAGTGAGTGAGGGTTTGACAAACATACAGGTCCTGTAACGCATTCAACAGAAGAAACCCGACTCTTGCTGCGAGAAGCCAGGACATCAAGACTGCCCTCAAACGGCCAATTATAATCAAAAGTGCACTGAATCGTCGCACAACGTCCATCGCTTCGCTACCCCACACTCGCACAAGTTCCTGTTATTCCAAGACTCTCAAGCGGCGCATTGCTGTTGAAGGCTTGAGGGCCTTCTTGTTTTGTCAATGGCTTGGGCATCGCCTCTGAACAGTCATCCTACTTATTAGCTGCGGTGACTCACAGAGAATAGAATATTGGTACGAGCGTCTGTCAGGCTCGTCTGGAATGGCCCCGTGTCCTTCATACGCCTAGGTAGTTGAGGGACCTGCTAAATGGTTCAAATGCCATCGGATATATTCAGCCGTTTAGTGCCAACCACTACCCTCGTCTGAAGGGGCAGAAGCCAAAAGCACTGGTCCGAGCACCGACCGTCTGTGTCAGGTTGTTGCTATTTCACCGGGGCCAAACTCCGCCCCCATGTACGACGGGTGCCGAAATCCGGGGAACCGTAGATTTTATATACTGGAGACGGCAAAACCGGCCCAAAGCTTGTAACCTCTGCGTTTTGAATGTTGGCCCGCGCAACGCAATAGTCGCCGATCAATCCCGCCACGCGGGCGGCTTCCAGCTGGTCCGATACGGCTCCCCACTCCCTAAAGCCAAGCGCAAGATTGACAGGCCAGGCCGAAACCCGGAAACGCGGATCACCGCATGTTGAGACATGGGCGTTGGTGGCTATGCTCTCTTCCCGCGAGCTTGCCTCTGCTAAGGTTATTATCCATGATCTGGAATGATCGGACGAAAAAGGCCACGGCCCAGATTGACAATCAGGCGAATCACAACGGCGAGTTTTGATGTATCGTCTCCTCGACGGTGGGGGTTTGGATTGCAGACCCATGCCTGGACTGGACGAAGGGAACGTCATCCGGTGTCCCGAACCGCTATGCGGCGCGGGTTGTGATGTCGGAACGCACTCGTGAAGGCTGATCCGGTCAGAGGTTGGCGATCACCAGTCTGCTTGCTTCTTCGACTCTGCTCTCGGCCTCGGATGACGTTGCGTAAGACACCAGGGGGAGGGGACTCCTTCCCTCATCAGCGCATGTATTTGATTTCCGAACTGTGCATTGCTAATGTCCAGCCTACTACACGTATTCATCTTGAGCTTCTAAATGTGTGGCAGCGGCTGATAACTTACTCGCTTTTGGCATTTCCTCCATTTTGACCACTCCCAACGAATCCCCCCCATAATGTTGGCACCGACTATCAAAACACACCACCAGTATGCCCAACTCGGATACGAGGTTGAAAGCGGCGACGAAGTGCCGGCAAGACAGTCGCGGTTGAGACAGTACTGGAAGCACGGGAGAATACATCTGTTCTATGCGATTCTTCTCATCCTCGTAGCCTCCGCAAGCAGGCATTCTTCTTCGAGTCAAACACAGCCGAGATACTATGGCGATGAACCCGTCAAGTCGGAGCTTCAACGTAAGTCAAAAGCCCCTCCCCTTCCCATTCCTATGGCTTCTTTGCCGTTCCGACGTCCGAATAACGTTTGCTAACATACAACGAAAAAAAAGTATCAACCGTGCGCAAGACATTTGAACTGGACCTGAAGTACGCCATGCCCCCGTCCCCGGAGGTCGACGAAGCCTGGGCGTCTCTCCTGCCCAAGGAAGGCGGCTTCTTCAAACACCCCAAGCTGGCGCCCCAGAAGAGCTGCGTGGCCGTCTTCCACCAGCTCCACTGCCTCGACATGATCCGACAGACCCTCTACGAGGCGCGGCCCGACTTTGCGGCGCGGTCCCGCAACGACACGGGCGCAAGGGGTTCTCGCACGGCGGCGGCGGCGGCGGCGGGGCATCACAGGACCGAGCACGACCACAACCACGCTCACGACATGTACCACGTCGGCCACTGCTTCGACCTCGTGCGCCAGTCGATCCTGTGCAAGCCCGACCTGACGATCGAGGTCGGGGACCCCGCGATCGGCGGCGTGACGGGGTTCGGCACGGAACACCAGTGCGTCGACTGGCGGCAGCTGATGGATTGGATGAGGGACCACGAGTGAAGGACGGGCTCCGTCCCGGTTTGTTATGATACCCACGATGTGAAATGCTAGACAATTACGAAATGAATATGGGATACATTGAAATAGAAATAGAATGTTTCCCCAAGTGACCTGCGAAAACGACCGGATGGCGAGAAGATGCAACGTAAGCTTGTCATATTGAGATGAGAGAGAGAATAACTGGTAGTGAGTTGGGGTGTGAGTCGGCTTTACGACTAGTTAAGAGGGGGCGTGGTCTTTACCGTTACCCGCGAGGATGATTAGTCTAAGCCCCCTATCGAAGTGATTCGGCACCAGGTTTGATTGGTTTTCGTCTGGTGGTTATCCGCCTCTGTAATCGCCACGAAGATTAGCTTAGGGGAGGGTGTCCTTTTGTCCGCTGATAGTGAAACGTAGATGAGGAATGTATTCTGGCTTCGGAAGTAGAGCGGCTTGTTGCAGTTGTGGTGGAATGGCCCAGCATCCTGACCGCGCCAGGAGTGCAGACCGGATGAACATGATTGATGTATATGTGTCTCTGTTTCCTGGCGGCCTGTCCATGATTGCCTAGCTACGTACATTTTCACCACCCCGGAACTCCAAGCTGCATGTTGCTCGCCCCTAACTCACTATCGCCTACGATATTAAATTCCGGTACCAACCCCGCCATTTGAATCTCTATTCTCCGCAATGATGAAGACTAGGCTGCCCGATGTAGCAGTTGAGGTGTCGTTATCCACAAAACTGTTGAAGCCGACCAAGGTGGAGAGGAGTCAGCCGGTGCTATTTATAAGATAAAATACGATCCCTCCCCTGCTCGCAGGAGCTCATCGTGCGTCTTCCTCATGGTCCTTCCCGAAAACCTTCGGGCGTGGACCATCTCTCCGACCAAGTAACCGCGGTAAACATATCCTTCGGCCTCACGTCGCTGCCCTCGAACTATGGGATGCAGAAGTCGACCCAGCTGCCCAGGTAATCCAGACGGTTCCCGGCGTTCTCCTGGCTCTTGTAAATCTCCTCAAACTCCTCGAAGCTCAGTTTGCCCCAGCCGCCACGGTCGGCGGCCTCCTTCTCCGCCAGGTCAAGACGCTTCCATTCCAGGAGTGTGAAGTGCGTGATGGCCTTGGACGAGCCTTCTGCAAACCGGGTAGACTTAGACTTCTTCTTCTTCTTCTTCTTCGTCGTCGTCGTCGACTTGGATCCTTGGATCGATGTCGAGGATTCCGAGGGGGCCGGTGAGCTGTCTGATGAGATAGACGCGACCGTGGCCTCGCTGTTGGGTCGGAACTGAGGCATCGTCGGGTCCCGGAACTCGGCCTCGACCGCATCCTCGTATTCCGCGTCTTCCTCAATCACCTCGCCCTCGTCACCATCATCCTTCTCATACTCATCTGCCTTCTCCTCCTCCTCATCATCATCAAGGACTTCTTCGACCCTCTGTCTGTTTTCTGTAGCGGACCCATAGGTTCTCTGCCCAGATTCATCAACCTCGTGACCGAACTCGTCGACTCTGTAACCACTAGTCAATAAGAGTTCTTCCAGAGATCTCTCGGCAATCGGCTTGTCCTCGTCGATGGCCTTCCTAGGCTGTCGCGGCTCCGCCGTCTTGGGTTCGGGCCGATCGATAGTCAGGTGCTCAAACAGGCTTCTGTGCTTGTCCCGATTAGCCTTTGTCGCAGCCGCCTTTACGGCCAAGTCTTCCTTGTCTTTAAAGATGGCATCGAGAAGCTCGTTGAAGGCCTGCTGCGTGACCTGATAAAGGATCTCTTTGCCGGCGTCACGTTCCTCGTCAGGAATCTCCAAGCCACCCCAGCGCTCGGGCACGCTTCTAGATGACGTCGAGGGGTTCGATCTGGTTTCGTATTCGTCCATGTCCTCGGCGAAGCGGACCTTTGACGACGATCTGGACCGCGGAGACAAGACCTGTTGCTGCGCTGCTTTGGAGCTCTCCGCAACGTCATTGAGATTGAGCAGGACATCCTCGTCAGAATGCCAGCCATCAGGGGGAAGGCCGCCTTCCTCCTCGTCGAGGTAAAACTGTCGTCTCTTCCACCTGTCGTGCAGTTGTTTTCTGGCGGCTTGCCGCCGTCTCCGTTCAATATCGGGAGCCATCTGCCTCTTGTGGTTGATCACCTGGGCCCTGAGTTGACTCTCGGTGGGAACTGTGTTTGTGAACTGGTCAGGGTCGACCCTTTGGTTCTGGCTTTCAGAGCCGTCGGCCTGTGCTGCAGCGTCGCCAGTCTGGCTTCTGTTTTCCGCATCCGAGTTGTTGTTTGCTCCGTCCTCGCCATCGGAGCTGCCGAGCTCCAGATCAAAGTCAAAATCAATCTCGTTGCGCTCGCGACGCTGTCCGGTGAGCAAGTCGGGCAGGTCGTCAATGCTCGTGGGTGGGTTAAGCAAAGCATCCCAGTACGGAGTGTCCGGCTCGCTATCCGGAGAGCGCACCTGACCAGACCACGGGCTGCCAAGGTATGGTGCAAACAGCCTCGTCAGCACGTCCTCCCTCCCTGACGTGTCTCCCCTGTCGTCACTCACGATACCATTCCTGCCCGGCTCGAGTTCCACGTCGCCGTTGGGATGGAAGATCTTGCCCTCGCTGCGGTGATTAGCATGGGCGCGGGGGACCCTACCCTCGCGGCCAAAGAGACTGCTCAGGGGCTGTCTGCTTGCCACGAGCTGCTGAGCTTCCGTGCTTCCCATCAGCTGGTCGTCGAGCCCGTCGAGAATATCGCGATGCATCTGCTTGTAGAGGACGTAGTATGCACGGAACATGCGCAAGAAATCACGGCGGTTGACGAAGCCATCGCCGTCAATGTCGTAGCCTTCAAAGATCTTGCGCAGCTTGTCCTTGCGCTTGCGGTAGGCCAGCCCGTGCAGGAACTCGGTGAAGCCAATCAGGTCGTCGTTGTTCGTGTCGTAAAAGGAGAACATGCGGTCATGGATGAGGTTCGGCGTTGCATGTCGCGAGCCGCCCGAGGGGACGAGGCACCGCTCGAACGTCTTCTTGTCCATGGCCAGGTGCAGTTCGTCGGGGTCCTCGCGCCATTCCGTATTGGCCATGAAGGTGAACTGCTCCCAGAAGGCCTCGATCTCGGGCCTCTCGAAGCCCGTCTCCTTGCTGAGCCTCGCCATCAGGCTACGATTCAAGTTTCTATAGCAGGTGTCCGGGTCGCCAGTGTACCAGACTGGCTGCATGTGGCGGGGGCCGAAGGGCGGCGCGGGGACCTTGATCTTGTAAAAGATGTGCGTTTTGATGTGCACGCCTTGGGATTCGCACGTCTCGCATAGGTCGAAGTCGGCACAGTTGGCGCAGCGGTAGCGAACGCCGCGTATGGGCACCATGCCGCAGGCGTTACAGGCGCAGCCCCTGTGGACGCAAGCGTTCCGCCTCGCGTTGTCCTCCGAGACCCTGAACAAGAGGCTGACAATATTGTGGCCGGCCCGGGCCTGCGGCTGCATGCTGTTGGGGTCGTTCCACCACTCGTCGACGGTGCCGCCGTCTACTACGGTGTCGCCGTCGTTAAAAGGGCGCATGGCGTCGAGGTCGAGATTCTCTTCCCCCCCACGGGAGCCTTGGGAGGAAACGGAATTGCGGCGGGATCGTCTGTGGGGGCGGCGGACGGCATTGCTTCGGTGCAGACCGGGGCCAGACACATCTCGATAGGGGTCTCTGTTGGCCTGGTAGGTGTAGTAGCCAAGGGATGCCGCTGCGACAGCAGAGAAGACGGCAACGGCGATGCGAGGCCGTGTCAGGCTGTCGGTTGATGGCAGCGGGAGCCACATGATGGAGCCTAGATGTAGCTATACGTGAAGCATGTTGAGGGTAATAAGCCGCTCCGCATCAGCAAAATTGGATGCGATTCGGGATCTTGGCTGTTGAGGGCGTTTGGAAGATTCTTCAATAATGCTGGCGTAGAGGGCTGGGTTCGAGAAGTTGGTGATGATCAATTACTTGGCAACAAACAGAACAGCTACGACAGATGCAGATGCGCCAGCTTGGAATACTGCCAGCATGAATCGCTTGAAAGGTAAGCGGTCAAAGATGTTCGCGGATGTACATAGATACCTAGTAGGGTACCTGTGTGGGTGGGGCCACGCATGATCAGCCAGCAGGGATTAGAGCTGTGCAGCGAGGTACGTACCGCGCAAGGTGTTCCGCGCCCCACATGAATTCGACAATAGAGGAAGCTTATGGCGCGCAACGCTTCGAAGGTCATGTGAACTAGAACTGGAACTGGAACTCGGGACTCGCGAGGTACAGTACCCAAGAAGCCAAATCCGAGCTCTTGTTAGGTTGGATCGGAGGTAAAAACGGTCAAAAAAACCCCCCATCATGTCGTGCCATTGGGCGTACTTGCAGGCGCGCGCCCATGGTCATTGCCATCACCTGAAAACCGGAGAAGCGTTCCTAAAGGAGACGGACTGTCAATGCGGAGGCAGACACTATACTACATACATAGTAGATACATCCTTCCTGATACCTCGGCATTACATATCGAGATGGGAACCCCAGAGACCGCGCAGGAAAGGAAGTGCTACGCGGATACTTGTATCAATACCAGTCTGCCGTATTTGAGTCCGTATCTCAATAACCGTCCGGGCCGTCAACGGTCGACGTCACCACCCCTATTATAGCTTTTCCCCGGCCCCAATGGTCGGTCATTCCCTTTTAAATTATCTATACCTACCTACTTACCCCCCGTACGTCTCTCCGTACGAACGGCCCGATCCGATTGTACGATTCGCAACGTAAACAGCACTAAACCTGTAGTTGAAAAGAGAAAAAGAAAAATCGCTTCATCTCCTTTCGGGTTCCTGTGTCTAGCGTCGCATCCCGGAAACCTCGGATTGCACTCAACTCGCAACCTCAAACTCCCCCCGCGTCTGTAATATCTGCTTCGTCGCCACGCGTGGTCGGAGTTATTAAAGCAAAGCCACTACATCTTCTCCATCGTCGAACCCCCCCCTTGGGTCGCCAGCTGAGAGTAGCAAACAACGCTTCAACCACCACTCGACCCCCTCGACCATTACCTCGACACGCGCAAACAAACAACCCTTGGCGGCGGAATCGTCGGTGACACAAGACGCACGCAGCCATGGCCGCAGAGTACCCCTCGCCCCGGCCCCCGCTCTCCGTCACTGGGCCCCCCGTTCCCGACTAACAGCGCGCGTGTGCAGAAAGCGAGGCTTCCCGACGGTGGAAGAGACCATGAAGCACCCTTCCTATCCCTCCGTGATATGGAACCTCGAGCCCGACCGCAAGGGAAAGCTCCCCGTCGCCCACGGTCGCGGCGGGCCCTTCAACATTGCCTGGGAGATTCATGGCCACGGCCCGGTAAAAATCATTGTGAATGCCCCCCCCTCCTGTCCCGCGTCTCTCGAGTATAATGACAATGGCATGTTCTTCTTATCTACGTAACTAACACCGCTCCCCCCCCCTTCTCAAAAGTTCGTCATGGGTCTCGCCGGCCTCAAGACCTCGTGGCAGCGCCAGACAAAGTACTTTGGCCACGACCACGCCTCCCGCTACTCCGTCCTCATCTACGACAACCGCGGCATCGGCGAGTCCGACGTGCCCTACTGCCGGTATACCACGTCCGCCATGGCCCGCGACGCGCTCGAGGTCCTCGCCCACGTCGGCTGGGACGCGGCCCCGCGCGGCGTCCACCTCGTCGGCATCTCCATGGGCGGCATGATCTCCCAGGAGATCGCCTTCGCCGCGCCGGCCCTCTTCGCCTCCATCACCCTGCTCTGCACGGCGCCCTGGGTCGAGAACACCAAGCCGCTGCTCGAGAACCTGCGCGACCGCGCCTCCATGCTCATCCCCAAGGGCGTCGAGCGCAGCATCGCCTACACCGCCCTCAGGCTCTTCCCCGCCGACTGGCTCGCCATGCCCGACGAGGCCGCCGAGCTGCCCGGCGACGCCACCCCGCGCTGCGGCCCCGCCGACGGCGGCCGCGGCTACGGCCGCTTCGACAGCAACTTCCAGCGCTTCCAGGCCCAGGAGATCGTCAAGCACTACACCCCCGGCCTCTACTCCATCCGCGGCTTCCTGCAGCAGCTCGCCGCCGCCGGCTGGCACCACAAGTCGCCCGCCCAGCTGCGCCAGCTCGCCGACGCCGTCGGCCGCGACCGCATCGCCGTCATCCACGGCACCCGCGACCTCATGATCGACGTCCACCACGGCAGGCTGCTGGCGAAGCACCTCGAGCCCGCCGTCGTCGAGATCGTCGAGGGCATGGGCCACGCGCCCCTCATGGACAGGGCGCCGTGGTTCCACAGGTGGCTAGAGGACCGAATCGCCGTGGTGGAAAAGCTGGAGCCAGTAGCGTAACGGAAGCCAGGTTTTTTTCTTTTCTTTTTCTTTTTTTCGGCTTGGTTGGGGCATAAGAAGCCGGGAAGGGCAAAGGGGGGAGGGCAAGGATGCCATTTGGGCACGACAACGTTCCTCCCCCCTCGATAGGCAGTTTTTTGTACGTCGTGATGATTTTGATTTATTCAGTGATACCTCTCACCATTCATTCCCCTCCCTCGACGCCGGTAATGCTTTCGGCATTCATGGTGCGCTTCCTCCCTTGGCCCTGCTGCTCTTTCGGAGCTATTTTTTGCTACTGGTCCTCCTCCCCCCTCTCCCCCCTCCCCTCGTCGTCCGTCTCGGGGGCGCCTTACAACATTACCAAGCCAATACCGCTCAGATTCTCCTCGTCGAGCTTGTTTCTCCTGTCCACGCCGCCCGCGATTGGGGCCGCGCGGTAGTTGAACAGGTAGTAGTGCAGCTGGCCGTCGCCCGGGCCGAACTTCTGCTGCTCCAGGAACAGGCCGTTGTCGAGCAGGGACAGGCCGTTGAAGACGTCGAACTTGTACTTCTTGCCCATGATGAGGGCGTCGCCGATCAGCGAGTTCAGCCGCGTCTTGAGCGCCTCCCTGTTGAAGGGTGTGGCGAAGGCGACGTCGGTGGCGTAGTACCAGAGGTAGGCGGCGCGGACCACCTGGTGCTTCGAGCTGTTGATGACGGTGGACTCGAGGCAGTAGAAGGAGAACATGTCGGTGATTTTGCCGTTGGTCTGGTCATGCTGTCAGTGTCTGCGCGAGATAAAAGCTTACGAGGACGGGGAGGGGGGCGGGGGGTGTCAAGTAAGACAAACCTCGACGACGTAGGTCCAAATGACCTGCTCGCCAGGCGCGTTCTTGTCGTGCAGGAACCAGTGCCTGAACTCGTCCTTCGTGAACTCGGGCGCCATGTCGAAGCGATTGAGGTACTTTGTCAGCAGCTCCGACGCGGCGTCGATGTCCTGCTCCTGGAGCTCGCGCAGGCCCTTGGTCGACGTGGCGTCCGGGAGCTGGTACTTGCGGATCTGGTACTGCGGCTTGCTGTTGGGCGGCAGCGGGCTGAAGCCGACCTCGTACAGCTTCTGCCAGTTGAGAGCGCGGTGGAAGTAGCGGCACGTGCTGACGGGCTTGGGCAGGACAACGCCGCCCGTGTAGAGGCCCTGCCAGATCTCGCGCAGGTTGCTGCGGCGCGTGATCTCCTTGATGAGGACGGGCGCGAGGCGCTTGCCGCGCAGCTTCTTGTGGACGACCATGAAGTTGACCTCGGAGCAGGTGATGACGTTCTTGCGCACGCGCAGGTTGACGGGGATGGCCGAGATGAAGGCGACGAGCTTCCTGGACTGCGACGCGCGCACGCCGACGTGCCACTCCTTGCGCCAGCCGGGGGCCATGAGCGCCCTGTGTTTGCAGAATTAGGTTAGCACGGGAAGGTTTGGCCATGTCGTACAACGGGTTTGCTTAAGAAAGAAAGAAAAAGGTTCCTCACCATCGGAGCATTGCCGGAGAGTAGTTGAAGCGGAACATGGCCTCGTCGTCCTCGACGTAGTGTCCGTTCAGCAGCTCGTAGACCTCCTTCATCTCGCCGTCGTCCTCGAGGTTCATGGTGACCCACTCGAAGCCGGTCACCATGGGCGCCGCCTCCTTGGGCACCTCGTCGACCGTCTGGATGCGGATCGGGCCGTCCTCGATCTTCTTCTCCGACTCGCCGAACTTGGGCACGGGCTGCGTCGCCCAGAACTTGTAGCTGGCCATGTCCTTGGCGTTCTTGCCGGCCGACGCGAGGCCCGTCATGATGTCCTGCAGGTCGAGCTTCTGCATGGCCGCGGCGATCTCGGCGGACGACTTGGCGCCGGATCCGCCGCTGCCGCTGCCGAGCTCGTTGGCGAGGGCCGGGTTCAGGGCGAGGAGCTCGGTCAGCTGCTGGGGGGTGAGGCCGCTGATGGCGTCCTTGACGGCCTGCTCGGGGTCGCTGGGCTTGCCGGTGAGGGCCTCCTTGAGCTTCTTTCTCTTAGACTTCTTCTTCTTCTTCTTGGCCGCGCCGGCGGATGCGCCAGGGGCTGTCTCCTCGGGCACATCCTCCTCTCCGTCTTCGTCTTCCGACTCGGCCTCGGGCTCCTTGCCCTTGCCCTTGTCGGTGGCCTCGGCCAGGGCGTCGTTGGCGTCCTTGACGGCCGGGTCGAGGGGCTTGGACTCCTCGGCGGGCATTTTATTTCGTAGGTTGGACGGATGTTTCACCGCGATCGGTGTCCGGAGAAGCAGATCGTTTTTGTCGTGATGGGGGAGGAGCTTTGGGAGCTCTGGTCAAGCCTGGAGGCGGTAATGGCGGGGAAGAAGTTTTGGCGCAGGGGACAGTTTCATGTAGCCGGGCAGATTCCAGCTATGTGACTGCATCATGGCGGGGTCAGTGGCCAGAAACCTCGGTGGTTTGCGGGGCACTGGAGGCTAATTAGTGGTCAGTCCATTGGCGTTAGCGATCCCTGCATTGCACGTTGTAAAGGAGCAAGTATGCCAGCCAGAATACTAATTAATTCCTTTTTGGCCATGTAGGTAGACGGACTGCACCAGCTATGGTTTAAAGACAATAAGGAGCCTTTCCGGGCCTTATTTTTATCATTTGCCTCCATAACACTGCCGTTTGGCGAGAATGTTGCATGAAACTAACGACGGAAACTTTATGACTGAACGCCGTCAACATTTGTCAACACACAAGAAGTCAGTCAATTCATGCCTACTCTCCAAATATAGAATCCAATTCGATAACCTTGAGACAGAAGCCACTTTTGGATCCCCGAGGATTCTCAAACAGGTTGGCAGAAAATCATGCACTTTGGACGGAACTATTGTGCGATCCCTGTACGTGTAGCGTTTTTCGATGCCCCGACGACAACATCACCCAGGTGAGAGCCGAATGAACGGGGCATTGATCAGACTTGAAGAGAGAACGTGGCCGGATCCTACTCTAATATCCTTTGAATGAAAGGTATTTATCGAAATGATGTTCTAGTACGGCAGAGAATTCTCGAAATGACGCTTCAATCTTTAGAACCAACCAACTTGGAAAGACAGGATAGCCGGCGAGCGGCATAAAAACAACAATTATATCTAAGCGCACTAGGTCGCTGCCGCAGAAGTTTCGAAGCCTTACACACTGCATGTTGCAAATCCGGGGGTTGCTCCGATTCTACCTACTCCAATTCTACCTCGACTCTGCTCTAATGCTGGCGCTCTCGAGTCTATAGTGAAAACAACGCCGATGCCAAGATAAGAGAAAGCGCCTACGAAGTTCTGCTGGTGTCGGAACTAGCTGTATCATAAGCAGTTCCTCCGAAATCGAAGGAGCGCATGATGGCCAAAATCACCGGGGCGTATCCCATAATGTCGTTGTGTCCTATTCCAGTCAGAGAGGGCTAAGACGAATGCCAACACTGAGCACTTACCGCCGTGGGGGAACAGTTCCTGGCGAATAATCATGTTGGGCTCCGCCTTCCATGTCGTAACAAAGGCATCCTTGCCTTTGCGGATCGTCCGCACCTCCTTCCACGCCTCGAACGAGTGGTCATCGAGCCCGCCCGGAACAGTCGCATTCGCAGCAGAACGGAAGAGCTTGCTGCTCTCGGTCCAGGGGATGTCGGCGTCGTCCAAGGCCGAGATCAACGTCAGGCGAAGCCGCCTCTTGCTCAGCTTGACCAGGCTCTCCAGGCGGTCGGCCGACGGCCACTTTTCGTAGATGAAAGACTCCATGTACTCGAGGAAGCCGGGCCAGACCTTCAGGGGCCCGAGGACGGGGAAGATGCCGCCGATGCGGTAGCCGCTTAGCATCTTTGGCAGGTTGCTGAAGCCCGCCACGAGGACGATGCCGCCGAAATCGATGCCCTGGGACGCGTACAGCTCGGCGACGCCGCTCGTCACGGCTGTGCCAAGGCTCTGGCCCAGGAGCACAATGCGTTCGGAGGGCACGCCGGCCGTGTTGATGACCCAATCGACGAGTGTTGCGGCATCCTGGATGAGGCCGTGCTCGGATGGGGCGCCGGTGGAGTGGCCGAATCCGCGGTAGTCGATGGCCAAGACGTGGTAAGACGAGGTGTCGGTGATGACGTGGTAGCTGCCTGGTCGGTGGTTCTGAGCGATGTCTCCTGCGTTCTGGGAACAATCAGTAATGCAGCCACGGCATCAGGCCCAAGCATATGTATCTTACACCGTGAACTATCAGTGGTTAGCATCTGGGGGGGAAAAAAACGGATGCGAGGCGGCACTCACAGTATAAGACGACCCGAGCATCGGGGTTTTCTTTCAAGGCCTTGAAGGACTCGGTCTGGGTAAAGTCATGGCAGAAGCCGGACCTCTGCGCCGAGAACCTCTCTTCTTGCTTGAGGTACTCGGGCAAGGGCATGACATGCCATGCGTACAGGCTGACACCGTCAGGGGTGTCGAGAGAGAAAGGCGTGACTTGGCCCTCTGCAGCGAATCAGGGTTAGCGACCGCGCGTCTTACACGGGGGCACGCGCGGACTCACTTGCAAAGCCCCATCTCTCAGGCTCATTAACGTCGCGCCACCAGAGGGTGTTGATCTTGTGGGCGTACAGGAAGCTGTGAGAAGGAGTCAGCGACTCGATTTCAGCGAGAAGGGAGTCCGCGCAGCAGGATCCATCTCACTGTCGTTGGAAGAAAGGCGTTGCGCCAAGGGCGAGAAAGGTGAAGTAGAGACCCAGAGGGGCCACAACGACCCAGACGGCGGTCCGAAGCATGGGCGACAGCGGGACTGTCATAACTGCGGTTGTAGATTTTGTGAAGGAGCCCGGCAAAACAACAGAAACCGTAGGATATGGGATGCGAAGCTCCCGAGTTATCTAGGCATGGCTGGTGGCGGTGTTCTGGTCGCCGTGGATGACGCCTGATTGGAACCAGTTCCTGGCTTGTGGTTGGAATTGCCTGCAAGCCAGCAGGGATGGTGTCATGGCCGGGGATATCTGGCGGTACCTGTCTCCTCTAGCATATCGTGCTTCAAAGAAAGTACCCCTCGATAGAGGAAGCAGGTCCCCAGATTGCGGCGACCTCCCACATTTCTGGTGTCAGCCGCACGCCGACGACGCATCATCCCATCGATGTAGAATCGATATCAAATGTGCTTTTCCCGGCCATGAGCCTGTTTGGGTCTGGATTTTGTAACTGGAATAATGCTCGAGCCACTATGCGTGTTCTCGCTTGACACTGGTTAGGGGGGGTTAGATGAGACTTTATGTTATTTTATTTAGCAGCGCGTGTGTGGTCAGGTTTAAATTGGAGGCATGGTTTGGCTCAGAAGCCGAAGCCAAGTAAGTATGAGAGAAATCTGGTCATTCTCTCCCACGCTTCACAGCCACCCACCCTTGCCCACCCACATTTGTGTACGAGTCTCTCTCTCTCTCTCTCTCTGTGTGTGTGTGTGTGTGTGTGTGTGTGTGTCTCCCCGCGTTATTTGGCCACGTCTTCAACCAGTACGAGATAATGGCCAGCCATACCGCAGTGGGCTGTCTACCGGAGATGAGCAACAGACGATGCAAGACGGAGATGAGGAACAGAGAGCGAAGGAGGAAGAGAAAGGAGGGAGGGAGAGCAGAGACAACGGCGCTGCGTGGGTGCTGCGCGAGTGAATATTAGAAGGCAGATGGATGGGTACATAGTACTTACGTACAGTAATGCCGCAGAACCGATTCCAGCAACCACGTGCCACTTGCTTAGCGCGATATGAGTGGCGGGCGGAACCCGGTGGTACATGCCGTCCACTCACGTCGCGGTAAATGTTTAATTTTTCCGCCATTCTTCCGGCTCCGAGCCAATCATATCCATCGATTCCCCCTGTCGAGTCGAGCTCACAGCCCACCTTGGTTGTCTCGTTCTGCTGCGACTGGATGGCACAGCACCCACCGGTTAACAAATGGGACTTGTACCCAAGCGGCTCTGTTTAAATGGGTAGAAGGAGGAGGAGGAGGGGGCTAGAAGCACTTCCTCCGCCCAGAAGCTGAACGTGAAGCAAGCGAGCAAGCAAAAGCGGGCTGCTGCACGCCCACTAGACGACGCGGGTGGGAGCCTCAGGTACTTCCATCCTTGTACCTAGCCGCTTCACTCTCTTGCTTCTGTGCTACCTACCTTACCTACCTCCCTGTACTCTGTACCTACCTACAGAGAGGACCATCATAGATACTTACCGGGTACTTTTACTACGTACAGCAGTCGCGGGACCTCCCATACAAAGCTCCCATGTTCTCCCGTCTACCCCCAATTCAAACCATACGAACCCATCCCCAAGTCTCCAAATCACTTCCTTCATAATCTCGACACCTCTCATCTGCTGCCCGCTGCTGCGCATCTGACACGCACCCACCCACTCCCACGCATTGCCGCCTTCTTACAACACGGCTACAACGGCAACACCCTGAAGAGATCTCCGAAAAGCTCTAGTCCGGTTCCCACCTTCTCAGCCGCCCACCCCCACGATCCCGGCTCGCACGACACTCCTGGTACCATCGACGAACACACCCACAACGAGACGACGCCGCAGCGCGCAGTCGAGGCCTGTGGCTTCCTCCGCTTATCATGACCATCCCGACACGCTCGCAAACGCACTCGTGATACCGTGAACTCTGCGACGGGGAGACGGAACATCGGCATGGAGAGGAAGAGGAAGTTGCCCGCGAGGGCCTCGGCGCGTGTCGAACACGTCGCAAAGAAGCGCACCGTCACCCCTCCCGAGCCTCGGTCCGTTACGCCAGTCCCTGCTCCCGTCGAAGAGCCGCCGCCGCCGCCATCGCTGCCAAAATCAATTCAGGCTGGCAAGCCGCTGCCGACCGTCGAGGAGCCTCAGCCGGATGACCTCCCTACGAAGGAGTACCAATCGTACCAAGAGAGGTAATGCCACTCCACTGCCCGTGACTGTCCCGTCATGCTCGTCGCATTCTCAATGACTAATTCGTACCATAGCGGTGTTCTTGCCGAGTCGCTAAGTCGGTCTCGACACAAATGGATGGCCGAGGGCCTCTTCGAGAAGTACTGGACGAAGCCGGCACGGAAGAAGAACGCAACCGAAGACCCCAAGAACCCGGCCAAAGACACCATGTCCAAGATTGGCCAGGTTACAATCACGATTGAGCCTCATGTTTTCGAGGCCACCATGTGGGCGATCAAGGACCCCAAACCTCCCGCTCCCACCACCCAGGCTTCCTTCCGGCCCATCATGCAATATGGTCCTCCGAATGGAACCATGCCTCCTCCGCCGCCGCCCCCTGCTCTCGCCCAGAACGAGTCAAGGCCGACGCCCCCAGCTACAACCTCGGCTCCGCCGTCTCCGGCCCCTCACCAGATGCAGTCGAGGCCTCCCTCGTCGACGGCGAATGAGCCGCCAAAGGTGGTGCCCTCTCCAAGAAGTATGGATCCCGTGCAGCCTGTCGCCGCAACACCACCTCCGCCGAGATCAGTCACCTCTTCATTGCCGCCGCCTGCGCCCGCGCCCGCTCCCGTCACTGCCCCAGGGACGCCCTCCAACTCTGTGTTCCCGTCCGCAGTAGCACCTTCAGCCCCCAATTCACGGCCGTCGAGCTCGACACCCCAACCAGGGCCAGGAGCTGCCAAACCCCCGCCGGCTGCAAAGCCCCAGGGTACCGATCCAATCATCATGACTTTGGCAGAGAAGGCGTCCGAGGACCCTCATCTGCGAGACTTGATGAAACGGGTGGCAGCTGGCGAAGCCAAGCCCGACGAGTTGAGCAACTTTCAAAAAATCATTGATCAAATCACAGCAGAGTACAAGAGGAAAGGCGGACAGCAAGGCCCTTCAGCAGACAGATTGTTGGTCGACGGGCGCACAGTCAAGTACTTTGCTGATGAGGTACGCACGATTCTGGACATTGTGCTCGCCACAAATCCCCGGCAGAAGTCGAGCGAGCTGCTTCCACCTCGCGGTAGCGACCCTCTTGTCGTTGCACTAGTGAGGGCGGCGTTGGATGACGGCAAGGTGCGGGCCATGATCCGGAGGATTGCCGAAGGCCAGCCAGGATTCACAGACGCGACGGACCTCAAGGCAACCTTGGACAAGCTGCACAAGGACCTAAAGGGCACCCAAACCACCCCTCAGCCTCAAACCCCGACGACGCTGCAGACTCCTGTCAACGGCGGGCCAAACGGCCACGTTGCCAAACCAACGCCATCCGCGCCTGCTGCTTCCACAGCTCCGTCTCCTGCGCCGGCACCCGGGACGCACCTACAGCATCCCCCTCAGCAAGCTTTGCGGTCAAAAGGTCCTCCTCCGGCTGCCAAGCCAGATATTTCGGGCGTCTGTCTCGACTTTACTGGTGGAAATGGTGACCGATACCTGTTCCCGAAGTACAGCATCCTGGAGTATCTTCCTGGCGGGCAACAAGTTATCGCGTCGTTCCTCATCGTTCGCAAGGGCAGCCAGCTGGAATACGGTGGCGATGCCAAGCTCGACTATTACCAGCCAGTTACGATCCGGATATACGCTCAGTCTGGTCGCCATCTCGAGTATCTCCAGCGGGTTGTGGCACCCCCTGATGAGGTCAGGAGGTATATGGACGACGTGATGGACAACATGACTAGGGCCGAATACGTGCTTCTCGCCATGCGCCTTCCCCGAGGCGAACGAGAACCCGACAGCGAGCAGAATGGCAAAGAAGCCGCCGGCGGAGGCAATCAAGTTGGGAAGCCGGAATCCTCGGCCCCTGGACACCCAGGCCCGAAGCAGCAGCCCGTGTTGTGGGGCCCGATGACCTCCAGATTCGTCCAAAAATTCAACAAGCAGTGGTTTGAAGAGTGGAAGAAGAGCGAGAAAGCCGGCGACAAGAAATCCCACGACATCTTCCGGGAGTCCTGCGAGGCCGTCGGTCGTGACCCTCTGGATAAGGACATAGAATACGAGAAGATGATTGAACTTCTGGCAGCCAAAGACGCCGAATCGTCATCTTGAGCAGGGCATTCCCCTCCATGGCCAGCTGGAAACCACCGTTCAACTTGAGCTGCACTTGTATTACCTAGACGTAGAATTGTCAAGAAGGAGTAGGGGGGGCGGGAAGTCAGAGCGGGCGTGTATGTGTGTATCTGTTGCCAGCATTGAGTCTGAGCCGTTGACCGGGGCCACACGTTATTGGTGTCGGTGTTGTTGTTTTTTCTACTATTCAAGCCGTTTCAGGGCTCAAAGGGGACTTTGTTTTGGAAAAGGGAAACCGCAGTGGTGTGTGCCAAGGGGACTGACTTTCTCCTTTTTCCTTTTTTTTCTTCTTTTCCCATCTTTTTATGTCTTACCCTATTCAAACCTAGGTGTTCAGAGTGTGTGGAGAAAAACCTCGGGCGCAAGGTTCTGTCTGGTGTGGATGCGGCTCGGCTCTTTTATATTACCCCCCCCCCCCCCCTTTTTTTTTGGAAAGAAAGATAGTTTACAGATACTCGTGTGGATGCATGTGTGTGTGTATGTGTGTGTGCAGAGGCAGCATGCCCAACGGTGGCCAGAATTTGGAAAAGAAGCATGATACGCAACACCTCGTGGAAACTTGTGATATACTGGTCTGCTTCTCGCAGTCGTGCGTGATGCCGTGAAGGGGGGCAATCAGCGCCACGGTGCTCGGCAGAGCGTGCTTGTGGTCGTCTTTGACCCCGCGGTAGCTTCTTGATGGCGGCTCCCCGGATACCCGTCGAAGTGAAGGAACGTGTTGAATCTCATCACACGAAATGGAGCGAATTGGGAAAACGTCTTGATAACGATTCTGGAACCAACAACTAGTGACCGCCACTTGCTGCACGGGGCCGACTGGTTACAGTTTACCAATGGTCACCCTTCTGGCGTAGTGCCAATGTGAGCCTTGCCTCCTTCAACAACATCATTCGGTCCCAATACATCCAGCTGCTAATCATTAGTTTTTTGAACCAAGCATTCTCCTCCCTTGAATCAAAAGATCGATCTTTTTTTTCTTCTTTCTTCATTGACCAACGACGATGCATTCTTTTGCTTCTGTGCAAGTCACGCGGGACGTCAAACTGCGGGAACCGTTGTTTCTCGAGAACCTGCGCGTCGCCCTGATGTGAGATAATCCCCCCCTTGGCCCTTCGCCCTTCGACAACTTTACCATTTACGTATAGGCGGACGCTGTGGATATACGTAGGCACAATCCAGCCCCGTGGACCGGAAGCGGCAAGGACATGATACCAGAAGCGCGTGTACCGCAATGGCTTGAACGTTCCTGTCTGAGGCGCACACGACTTGCACATGTGATTTGGCATTGGAGGGGGCGGTATTTTTAGACCCGGGAACGGAGCAAGTTCGGCGACGACGTGTGTGGTTTCCACCCGGAAGGAAAGTTTCGAGGGGGGGGCGGCGCCGGTGAGACGATGAGGGGTAACCCGGCTAGACCGAGGCGTCCTCTTACACGGAGGGAGTCATACTATGTATATACCTTGAGAACGCAGGTTGTGTGAGGGAAAACATGACTTGACGTCCAAACTACGCGGGGGAGGGGGTTTGAGAGATGTTCGCGACCGCGTCGTATAACCCCCCTTCCCCATGTCGGACCGATGGGGGGAAAGAAGATCGATAAAAACTGCCGATGCCACCAGCTCAACACCCGGCTCGGCGGGACATGACGCAGTACACTGGCTGGCCGAATGAGGCGCAAGAGAGTTTTGACCCTTTGGTGCGTTGTTTTTTTGTCTGCCAAGGTGCCGGCCGGGGGAAGACTCTCTGTGCTCTCTCGGTGTCTCTCTCCTGTCTCTGTGAGGCCTTCAGTACTTTGCGTTATTTCTCGAATACCATCAAGGCCGTATTTGTGACGTTCGGTTGCCCGATATCGTGGCTCTCTCACACATGGGGGAAGAATACGAGAAGCCGACGAGCCTCCAAGACCTATATAACCACCCGTTCTGACCTGTCACGAAGCCATTCTTTTGACCTCCATTCCGCTCTTCACTCACAACACACACACTCGTTCACATCCCCCCTCCTTTAGCCTTCAACATGAGGTCTTCAACACTCATGCCAGCCCTGCTGGCCCTCGCCCGGGCCGCCGCGATCCCCACTCCCACCCAGCCCGCCGCTGTCTTCGTCTCCGAGGAGGACCTCGACGCCGCCATCAAGGAGCCCCTCGTAAACTTCGTCGACGGCAACGGCCCCGTCCACGGGTTACCCTGGTACCCGGACGACCCGTCCCCGCCCTCCGCCAACCCCTTCAAGCCCTACCGCGAGTACGCGGGAGCGGACGACGGGCTCAAGAGCGCCGCGGAGGTGACAGACGGCGCCCTGGCCTGGGCGTCCCTCGAGCTCCAGGCCCTCACCGCCGCCACCCGCGGCCCTGACGATCCCGACGACGACGCCGTGATCCCTAGCGAGGATGACGTCAAGGTGATCACCGACGAGGTGGAGTCGGACGGGTACGCCTTCCCGGACGACGAGGTCATCCGCAGCAGGTTCGTCGCGATGCGCGCCCGGGACCTTGAGGAGATCGCCAAGGGGCCCGCCGGCGCCGCCGCCAACGCCACGCTCCCGGCCGACTACCACCTCGGGCTGACGAAGGACCAGCTGTGCACGGCCTTCCGCGGTCTCATGTGGAAGACGGGCGAGCTGATCACGTCCGTGTACCAGTGGCAGCCCGAATACGTGCCCTGGCTGGTTGATAACAAGGGCCCTTACATCGTATGCCCCCTTCCCCTATCTTGACAATCGTGAGGGGCTTGTATTGTAGCAAACGCCCTTTTGGACCGATGCGGAGCTGATGCCGTCTCGTGTAGTACGTCCTCGACGGCCTCCGTCATATCGAATGGGTCCTGTGGAAGATCGATCGCGGTCTGCATTACACCACCCCCTTCACCCCCGAAGAGGAGCGCGACATCAGCCGTTGCTGGTTAGAGGTGAGTTCCCATCCGCCACCCCTTCCTTTCTGCCCCAATCACATCGGTTTTTGACACGATCACAGTTCTCCGGCCACGAGTGGCAGAGGATCCGCCCCTTCGGCGGCCCCAGCGAGCTCTTCACGGCGCCCGACACGAAAGGGGTGCCGTCCAAGTGGCTGTTCGGCGAAAAAGAGCCCGCCACCGGCCCTTACACTCCCAGGCCCTTGTTCGCCCCCCGCCCCTCGCTCAAGAAGCTACTCCGCATCATCAAGGCCAAGGCGCCCGTGTCCAGGTACGAGACGTACGCCGTCCACCGCATCCACAAGGTCCTGACCCACCTCGAATCCTCTGTCATGGTAAGTGTCCTCCTCCTCCCCCATCTCCATCCACAGTTCTGCCATCTTCCTCGAGCGTAACGTGCCTTTCAAGGGGGGCTAACAAGGGGGGCAAACAAAAAAAAAACAGAGCGTCGGCAAACTCATTTTGGAGACGATCCAAATCCCGCTAACCAAAGAGCTGTTGCTCTACGACATTGAAAAGGGCCAGGGCATCCAGAACGCCCTCCACCTGGCCAAGGAAGCCTACAATTGGAACAGGGCGGCCGGCTCAGAAATAGACGTACTCCGCCCTCCCATGCCGTAGAAGGCCCATCCACATCTTATCGTAACTAACAGCGGGAGCGAGTGTCAATGGTCAAAAAGAAAAAGCGGTGGGATGAGACGAGGACATGAAGTCGAGTTGGCTTTCGATTCAGAGAGAATAAGTGTCCAGAAGCTGTCGATTGAAATGTGTTTCTGTGTATGTCAGAAAGCGTTGAACAGTGATGGTGTATTACAGCCAATGTCTTGAACTTGGAGCGTGAAAAGTGATGCTTCGTGTCGAGCTCCATGTACCCCTGTGAAAAATAACAGTGGCTCAACGGATCGTGTCTGGTCGCCTTGGTGGCTGTTGAAAGATGTATTTGCGTATTCTAATGCCATCATATGAGTCCGATGCACGCCCATGACCAAAACGCCACAAACACATAGGGAGACTGCCTCCAGGTATCAACAGTTACGTAGTATCACCTGCCACGGCCGGTTACGGGGCTCGAAGATCCCGCAGATGGTTCACGCCATCGAGCCACCGCTCCGGCCGCTGCCCACGAGGCCTGCCATCTCCAACAGCGCGCGGTCGGCGTCGTTGTCGCCGGTCCCCAGGTTGATCTTGCGCCGGGCTTCCGCCTCCCGATGCTCCCAGGCCCAACGCTCGGCCTGCGATTTCGCCTCTTCGTCACCGCCGCAGCCCCAGACCTCGAGGCTCTCGATCTCGAATCGGTCCTGGAAGTCGAACTTGCGCGACGCACTTGTTGCAAACGCGCCGCCGCCGGCGGTCCAGTCATGGTTGAAGACGCCGTACTCGAACGAGTCGTCCAGCAGCAACGACACGGAGCCGAGGGACAGCATCTCGTTCCGTCGGTGAGCTTGCGTCGGTCGGGGGTGCGGACACCCCACACCGAGCATGGGCCGGTTGGTGGGCGCCTTGGTAAAGGAGATGAACTCTGAGTTGTACCGTGACGCGGGGAATACATCGTGGATCGGCTCCAGCTGGAAAAGCACTGTGTCCCTCTCACCAAAGGTTTCCTTGCTGGTATGCTTCCAAGGGGTACTGACGTAGACGCCAAACGTAAGACGCTCCCCCTTGCTGCCGTTCGGAAACCGGCGTGGGGGAATCGACGCTGCAAAGGTTGATTGCTGGCTGCCCCGGGGGTCGTCGTCGATGCGGGTGCCACGCACGAGAAGGATCGTGGGTGCTCTCCAATTGAACACTTTGCCCTCGAAGCTCCCCGTGGAGAAGCCGTCCTTATTGCCTGAATAAAGGGGCCTCAGTCGCCTAAACAGATCCGACCCTGGCAGGAAGAAGGACAGCTGGGAAAGGACATTCAAGTTGAGGATTTCGCCGGGTTCCGGTAGCAAGGGCTGGACGATATCTTCCGGTTGCTTTTCGGCTACGGGTTCTTCGCCTTTGTGCTTTGTGAAATCCAAGTTTTTGGAGAAGAGAAAGTGCTCGAACAGGGGGCTGAACCCATTGAAGAGGTTAGGGAAGCAGACGGGCAGCACTCGGTTGTACTGACTGAACTTGATGCCAGGTGCCTTTTCGACATTCAGGAAAGCCGCCAGGATGTGCCCGGCAGTATCGCGCAGGCTGTCGAGCTCGTCGCCCGTAACACGGGTGGAATACATGGACAGCCGCTCCTGGGCATTGAGCGGCGCTATCAAGATGAGCAACATGAGCAACTTGCGAAAGTTATCGGCCGGAATCATGGCTCCTTGCATCTTGGGCGCGTCGCCTTGCCAGACGGCGTCGTTGATATCGAGCAGCTCAAAGGCGGCAATCTCAAGATCGTCGTCGTCGTCGTCCTCTGGCTCCTCCACCGGCTCGTCGACCGCGAAGCCTGCGACATGGCTCTTTGGCTGAGACTGGGTCGTCTGCTCCTCCCTGGAGGATTTCTCGGCGGCTACAGCAGCTTCGGACGCCGTGCGGTCGTGGACTGCGAGACTCTTGAAGATGAGCTTGGCGCGGTCGGTCGCACCCTTGGCCAACACCCGCTTATGCCTCTGGGTCATGATGACGACGACCATGACCATCTGATCGAGTCCGAGGACGGCGGGGGCGTTTTGGAGAAAGGGGAAGGCGCCGATGTAGGAGACCATCTGGAACACGACGGGGGAGACATGGAGGATATCAGGTATCTCGAGGAAGCGGGCGAGGGTGTCTTCCTTGAGGTAGCGGATGCCGTCCTGGTTGTCTGCCAGGCTCTTGAAGACGTCTTTGAAGGAGTAGATCTCGAGCGAAGTGAAGCACTTATCGGCGAAGCGATTGGCCTGTTGCGAAAAAGGTCGTTGGTCAGACGGATAACATGTATGGGGGTGCGGTCATGGCATGACGGCGACTTACGAGTTCATGAGTGAGCTCCTCGTGCGACAGGTGCCGGGAGCTCTCGTCCGACAGTACTTGTCCCATGTTGAGATTTCTGTAGGAACTCAGGAGACATGGACGAACGGGGTTGGAGGTTTGCAAGGGACCTTGAGGTGATGACCAACAGGCGCGGCCATGTTGGAGGAAATAGGCCAGGGAGGCTTGATGACGGAACGAAGCGGTGCATAATGAGTCGAGCCCAGAGACACAGAATCCGGCAAGTGTCACATCAGCCGCCCTCCGTACTGAGTGAGGTACGTATCCGAGGCGGGAGAACGGAGCACGCCCCGCAACGTCACTGCCACTGGCCCGAGCTCCCCTATCTGCCCCTCCCCTCCAGGGACTGGCTACCTAGGTAGGTACCTACGTAACTTTAGGTACACTGACTGTACATGTGATAGACGCTCCATCGGAAATCATGAATATCTCGGCCTACCAAGTATCGTGATAACGCCTTGGATCATCCATGCTCGTGCATCTATCTCAGTCTACGGCTGTTTTTCTGAACTGGAATTGCTTCATTCAAGATCAAATCAACAAGAACATGTCTGTCATCTGCTGGCAACCCCAAGGCACGCGCGAATGGCTAGGCCTCGGTGGCGTCCAGAAACCAAATGTTTTTCTTCAATTCGACCGGATGCGCCGCCTTTTGCCCATGTTATTACATACAACGGAGCGGAGTCTTCAATGAGACAGTGTGCCCGTCCTCGATGCCGATGCCGATGCCGATGCCCATACTATACAAAGCAGTCATGCCGTTCCTCGGTGGTACAAGTCCAGAGTCAGCCCACCCACGGCCCCTATTTCTTGGGCTCTTCCGATGACTCGCCCGACGACGAAGGCTTCCGGCCGTAGATCTCCCCAATGGTGCTGAGGGAGCTCTTGGGGTTCTCCTTCTTGTGAGTCTGGTCCGCCGACGGCGCCGGGGACGCGGCGCTCTCCGCCTCCGGCTTGCCCCACCCCGAGAGTCCCAACGTACCGAGCACGCCGCCGGACTTGGGCTTCTCCCCGTCGGCTGGCGTCTCGCTCCCGGCAGCACCCGATTTCGCGGCCTCGAACTTGGCCCTCTTATTCTGCAGCATGGCCCTGAGGGCCTTCTCCTCGTCGTCACGGGCCTCGAGCTCGCGGATCCACCTCTGGCGCTTCTCCTCGGCGTCCTTGGCCTCCTTGATCTTGCGCAGCTCGGCGGTGCGTTCGCGGTCCTTGTTGTAGTACATGCTGCCGGCGAGCATGGCGAGGACGGTGAAGCCCTGGGCGGCGACACGGGCACGGAACATCTTGTTGGCCTGGGCCGAGTCGCCGCGGCGGATGGCGCGCCATGCGCTGACGAAGGCGAAGACAGTGAGACCGCAGCCTGGCGCAGGGTCAGCGAGAGTCGTCCACCGGGTATTGTAGAGTATACGCACCAAGAGGGATCAGGGGCTCCTCTCTGAGCTTCCGGAAGACTTTGTGCAGGACGCGCTCATCGTAGAATTCGCTGCAAGTCGCGTGGGCTGGTTAGCACCCTTCTTTTTTGCATTTTTTTTTCTTCCCCCCTCTCCAAATGTTACAGCTTGCTTGTCGCACAGCTCGGGCCGTCGACTCACTTGTTCTCGTCAAAAGACGACGGCATGGGCCGGTCGAGAAGCGTAGGCTTTCCGTCGGGGCCGGACATTATGGCAATTTTTAATTGACGTCGTGGTGGTGGTTGGAGCTGTGCAGTGGGTGAAGGGGGCAATCATACGTTTCCGCTGGTCGGCAACTTCGATGATGAAATCGACTTTCTGAATTTCGGGGACTGAATGCGCCTAGTGTAGTGCCCCGACCCTTGAGCAGGTTTGCGGCAAATCGCGGCTATTTCCACAGCTCGGAGACCTTGATTGAAGTATGTAATTACACCCCATTAGATGACAGTTGGGTCAGTGACAAGCTGTCAACCTCGATTGTATCCCTTTAGTTGCGAACGGACCCCACCAGCACCGCCTCACTTTCCCCTCACTTCTTAGAATACATAACAATATATTATTTTAGAATGTTGTTTTCTTAGACACCACTACAGCAACATTGCCGCGCCACTTTGGCCCATATGTCCAATTGCCACACTTCAACATGTAACACCCCCCAATGGTTCCCTCACCTACGTCCACACAGTGACCGCCTGCCAATGTCTTATCGTTATCTTCCATTAAACCTTGGTGCATGGACCACCTGTCTAATAGCAGAAACCCCCAGGGCGGTACCTGACTTGTACATTATACGTAGTTTGCTGACCTTCAACATCTCTTGTGGGAGTAAAAATGCAATGAATGTTCGCGATCCGCAAAGTTCCAGTAGTATGTCGTCTGTCTCATTTCAAATAGCCCCGATGAGAAGGTGATGGTTTTGGTACGTCATTTCGACTCCCCTTGACTCTCGCTGATGTGTCTTTTGCCTGTCATTCTGTCCCATTTTTGCTAGGCATGACCCCGCCAGGCGTCAAGTAAGCTCCCTCCTAGACTTGGATCACACATACCTCATTATCGGAGGCTTGAAGGATGTCTGCGGTAGCCTGGCCATCCACCTGGCCCGGCAAGGAGCCAAGCACCTCTCCGTAATGTCTCGCAGCGGCTGGCAGGATCGAGTGTACCCAGATTGTTGTCCGAGACATCGAGGCCTTGGGCTGCTCTGTCAACTTATTTCAAGGCGATGTGAGCTTAGCCGAGGACATCAGGCGCTGCTCTGACAAGATACAGTGGGGACTCACGAGTCTGAGATCTATACACAGTATACACCTAAAGTAGAACTGACACGGTTAAATAGGTGATGGATTCGATGACTGTCTAAGCTAGAGCTACGGCTGGCAAGTTTTAAGTTATAGTAGGTTATAGGAGGAAAATAGTGTTATTTACACTGTATTTCTTAAAGATAACTTAGTCTCTAAAACTAGACTTATAATTCTTTTTCTATAAGAATAATAAAGCTAACGTTAAAATATATTTAGTTTTATAAATACTTAAGTTTTAGTTAAATTAAAAAAACTAGCTATTATATACCTAAATCTTATAGTTATTAATACTTTTAGATGCTATTGGTTAGTGAATTCAACGTAGTGCACTGTAAAGTGATCTCAGACCTATGAGTCTCCACTGTACTCCGCATTGATTCTTGTAGGCGGCATCATCCAGGGCGCAGCCGTCTTCAGGGTAAGCTTCTCTTTCTACAACCCAATGCCTCCCCCCCCCCCCCCCCCCAACCCTACCCTGTCTTCTTTTTCAGGCATCACACACTCTCTGTAAACAAGCCCGGACGTTCTGTCTCCCAGTAGTCGCCGAGAAGCTCACATACGTTTGTTTTGGAACGCCGTAGGACAGAACGTTCGAGTCCATGACCCATGCCGATTACACAGCTGCCCTCTCATGCAAGGTCTAAGGCACTTGGAATCTGCATACTGTTGCGTCAGAAACAAAATAGCCTGTCCGCTTATTACGATGCTCTCCTCCACCTCGGGTCTGATCAGCTAAAATGGACAGGCCAACTACGCGGGCAGCAACGCCTTCATGGACGCACTCACGGCGCACCGCCGGGTTTTAGGCCCCCATGCCACCAGCATCAACCTGGTACCAGTTGAGAATGTTGGATAAAGTATCTACGTGGATACAATAACCCTTATCTGATTAATAATATAGTGATTATAACTCTGTTGCTCCCTCTAGCCGCTGGGGGGCAGAATGCATGTACTCTTGATTTTCCTTTTTAGGTAGAGAAACCTATCTTGGAAATACAATCACACAGAAAGAAATTCTGGGCCCACCCGGCATTTATACTATCAATCGTCTTGTAGAGTCAATACCGTGGCGCTTACGAGCTGTACGGCGAGCCCAAGGATGGTATACACGATACTGATAGGCAAACAATCAGCTTTTGATTTACTATACCCTTGCCATATACGTTGTCAATTTTGTGGTTCTATTCGTAATAAAAGTAATGATCTTTAAATGAATTTATAAGTTTATTTTCGTAGATGTGTGGGCTGGAGGGAAATAAAGGGGTGAGCCCAGACTTCTTGCACGTCACTGTACAACTTACATTTACCTAGCGGTACTGCCCCTTTTAGCCTGGTGGCACACTTCTAGTAATGCGTGCACTCTAGCGCTTTAATTTACTACTATATTTACTGCCATGTTTACCGTGGAGAGTAGAAATCTAGTTATTTCCTAGCTAGTTAAAGGTTACTCACAAACGTTTGCATAGTCTCTATTATTACGGTCATGTCCGATCGGACAGCTGGCTACCCCGACCAAGGTAGATACAGTGGATCAATCTACTGGACTAACCGCAGATTGACTCGCGGTCTGGCTACGTATATAGTCTGCCTTTTAACCAGGCAGCCTATCATGGCTTCTCTTAAGTCTTCTTCGATACACACAATTAGGACTACTTTGATACCCCGTCATTCTTCAACTTACCTACTTACACATACAGTTATCTGTGTTACAAGACCTGCGACTCTAATACTCTGACGGAAAAGTACGATAAGCCCATACAACCATAATGCGCATTACATTCATTACTGTTGTTGCCCTTTTGACCGGCGCTGTTACTGCCGCCGGCACGAAGCCCGGCACGCAGGCAAATAGTTGTGCCGCTGTTACTCCCAGCACACCGCTACAGAATGGCCAATGCCACGGGCACACTTTGCGCCAAATGTCAAGACAGGATATCAATGATTGCGCTGCACATTACGACCCAACCGTAAAGTATCCTGTCTGGGATGAATCGGAAGATTTTAGCTGCAGCATGTGCCCACCAAAGAAGACTTTGTTAAAATTAAAGAAAAAGCAGATGATGAGTAAAAACCGCCAGAAGTCACTGCGTAAGTAATAAATATTCCTAATTATAACAAGATACTAACTACTATATTACAGAGAGAAACGGTCCTATTCAAGAACGAGGCATAATTAGCTGTATAGATTGTTTAGTTAGCTCTGCAATCGCTTGCACATGTGGTGGGATTGCTGCTGTGGTTTGCTGCCCATGCCTTACTTACGGTCTTATTGAAATGTGTATTCGGGACTGCACTTAGCATCAATCATGGTAATTACATTTGTGTTAGTATTCTCAGCAACATATAGCACGTGCAATCCGGGTGTTTTATAAAGCCTGATTAATAGCAAGACTTCTTTAGTAGATTAATATAAGGTGTTTCTTAAAGTGACACAGCCCTCCCTCCTGGCAGCTGTTCCGAATCTGACAGGGCAAATAGGCTGTAGGAGCTGTTAGTTAAGGAGAATAGCAGTGACGTGAAGAGACGCGTGAAAGCAGCGAACGTAAGTAGAAACTCTGCCACAGGGCACCTAGTCTTGGAGCTCTGCGATGCGATGTCGCCCCGAAACCCCTATCACGGTGACATGGAAAGCTGGGCACGCTGCGGGAGCATGGGTGCTGCAACCAATCCATAGCGTGCCATTGCTGCCAAGCTCACCACTAAAGTACAAGAAAACCAACCATCCAAGTTTACCCCGCAGGCCGACTTCAGCTCCGATGCCGACCCCCACTATAAACAAAATTCCACCTTACTGCGAAGATGGTTCGGCCTGGTGGTGTGTTGGTCCCCCGTCCCCGTCCCGGTCGTGACTCTTTAACTCTTTTTTAGATGTGGGACTTTGCTGCTGCTCTCTGTCAGGCAACGTGACTCGACTTCTCTAACTTTCACTCTCCCTCATCTTCCCGCGTAAACATAAAAAAGTAAAAAAAAGGGAAGTAAAAAAACCACACAGCCGTCATGTTAGAAAACGCAGAACCTTCCGCCGTCGCCGTCATGACCAATGGCACCCTCGATGGCGTCAATGGCGATCACCCACCGCGCCCAAAGACACCGCAGCCCCAAGGCATGTCTTTGACCGAGTACAGCGCCAATCCGTCCACGCCCCCGGAGGAGAGGCGCAATCGCATCAAGGGCGTCGTGCCTGATGATTTTCTCCTGCCCGATGGCCACCCTGACGTGAGAAGCCCGTCCGTTGGAGCCCAGTAGCTCTGTGGCACACATGAGAAATGCTGACATCCGGCCATGTCTAGTACCTCCGACTCATCGCCGCCGCAACCTCGCGCGTCTACGAGGCCTGCAAGATCACGCCGCTCCAGCCCGCCGTGAACCTCAGCAATAGACTCGAGTGCAATGTGCTGCTGAAGCGCGAGGACCAGCAGCCCGTCTTCAGCTTCAAGCTGCGCGGCGCTTACAACAAGATGGCTCACCTTGACCCCGCCAAGAGCTGGAAGGGCGTCGTCTGCTGCTCTGCGGGCAACCACGCCCAGGGCGTCGCTTACTCGGCGCGCAAGCTAAAGATCCCTGCCACCATCATCATGCCCGAGGCCACCCCCAGCATCAAGCATCTCAACGTTGCGCGCTTGGGTGGTCACGTTGTACTGCACGGCGCCGACTTCGACGCGGCCAAGGAGGAGTGCGCCCGGAGGGAGGTGCAGGACGGGCTGATCAACATCCCCCCCTTTGACGACCCGTATGTCATTGCGGGCCAGGGAACCATCGGCATGGAGCTGTTCGGCCAGATCAACATGGCCAAGCTGGACGCTATCTTCTGCTGCGTCGGCGGCGGTGGTCTCATCTCCGGCATCGGCGTCTACGTCAAGCGCATGGCGCCCCACGTCAAGATCATCGGTGTCGAGACCTACGACGCCAATGCCATGGTGCAGTCTTTGGCCAAGGGAGAGCGCGTGGTTTTGGACACCGTCGGCCTCTTCGCCGACGGCGCCGCCGTCAAGACGGTGGGCGAGGAGACGTTCCGCCTCTGCAAAGACGTCGTCGACGAGGTCATCCAGGTCACCACGGACGAGGTCTGCGCAGCCATGAAGGACATGTATGACGACACCCGCGCCGGTCTCGAGCCCGCCGGCGCGCTGTCCATTGCCGGCCTCAAGAAGTACGTCACTCAGAACCCGAGCGACCGCCGGAGAACCATGATTGCCGTCACCTCGGGCGCCAACATGAACTTTGACCGTCTGCGTTTCGTTGCCGAGCGCGCCACACTCGGCGAGGGCAAGGAGGCGCTGCTGTCGGTCAGCATCCCCGAGAGGCCCGGCGCATTCGCCAACCTTATCACCAGCATCATGCCCCACTCGGTCACCGAGTTCTCCTACCGCTATGCCACCAACGAGGCCGCCAACGTCCTCATCGGTATCTCCTTGACGGCCCCGGCATCCCAGAGGACGCAGGAGCTGCACATGCTGCTGGAGCGCATCCGGTCGCACGACATGTCGGTGACGGATCTCTCGGCCGACGAGCTCGCCAAGAGCCACATCCGGTACCTCGTCGGCGGTCGTTCCAACGTGCCCAACGAGCGCCTGTACATGTTCAACTTCCCCGAGCGCCCCGGCGCGCTGGAGAAGTTCCTCATGACCCTCCGCCCCAAGTTCAACATCAGCCTGTTTAACTACCGTAACTATGGCGGCGACACGGGCAAGATCCTGGCGGGCATCCTGTGCCCCGACGACGAGGTCCAGGAGCTGGAGCAGTTCCTTACCGCCATTGGCTACCCGTGGGAGGACTGCACCGAATCCGCCGTGTTCAAGACCTTCCTCCGCAGTTGATTAACATGTCATCGAGGGACTGGCGCGCGCGCGCGCGCGAGAATAATTACAGTTTGGCGTCGGGAGTTTTGACTATGGAAATTTTCAGATGATTCATTTTGGGAGAACAAAAAGTATGATGGTTCAGAGAATATAGAGAAGAGGCTTTCAAGAACGCAAAACTGCCTCTCCCATAGATAAAATACTACTGCGTTCAACCGGACGTCTCTGGGAAAAGACTCTTTGCGTCCAGATGCGACTACATTTCACGGTGCTGCAATGAATCCGCTGTCCTAAAGTTCGCGTCACTGTCGTCCGATACCGCAGAATCGCGATAAGCAACGTTTGCTCTGATAAGCGCACGGACGTCAGCACCACGTGACGGCGCCAAGAAGGCCGAAAATGTTCCCACCGGGGACCCCTTCGACACCAGCGCCGTCGACATCGCGAAGCTCCTCCACGTCTTCCGACACACTCTCCCACCCCGCCAGCTCCGGACCAGCAGCCGTCGAGACGAAACGCACAATCCCTCAGACGTCCTCGACGAATTGAGCTTCCGAACCCCACCCCACTCCGTTTCCGAAACAATCCGACCGCCCGAGTCTCGACCTTCGGTAACGAGTAGAAGTAAAAGAAGAGTAAAAAAGAAAAGAAAAAAAAGAACAACAAAATGGCCTCCCTCGCCGCCTCTTTCCGGTCATTGACCCTCACGACCGCGCGCGCAACGATCCCCCGCCTCGGGGCTCCGGCGACGGCCTCGCGCGCCCTGTCGACGGCGGTCCTGACCAAGAAGCCGGCGCAGAGGAGCGAGTCGGTGCTCGCGGCGTTCGGGCAGAAGGCCGCGGCCGTGGGCAGCGCGGTGGTGCAGCAGACGAGGGGGATGAAGGTGCACAGCTCCGTCAAGAAGAGGTGCGAGCACTGCAAGGTGAGCCGTTTTCTTTCTGCAAGCGCTGGTTCGATGGGGGGGTAAGGTGCAAGTTTTAGACGGATGATGGGGTCGGATTGGACTTGGATATGCGATGCTGAGAAAGGGGGAGAGACTCTGGAACAGGGAGATGAGGTCCTGAGTGGGATGCTGAACCCTTCTTGCTAACGTACAAATGCACAGGTCGTCCGACGCAAGGCGGGCAAGAGGCACAACGGGTACCTGTACGTCATTTGCAAGGCGAACCCCAGACACAAGCAACGTCAGTCTTGAGAGGTTGACCAGCCTCCCGGCTCGGAGGGTCGAGGAGGCGGAACCGGCGTGGCCTGTGTATGAGAGGAGTCTGTACAACCACCGAGAGGAAGCGCGAGAGAAGGCAGGGTTAGGGTGCGAGGGGTTCGGGCAACACAGACAGCGTCCCATCCTGTGGGATAGACCCAGGTCCAAGGCGGGTGGCGATAGATCTCGTGGTCCAGAGAGCAGAAGAAAAGAACTCCCGCTGGTCACCGGGCATGCATCTTTTGCGGCATCGAACAGGGCAGCAAAAGGTTCATGCCCCTGTATTATACAAGTACATACATCTACACAAGCAACTCTACATTTCCGTCACGTCACATGCCGTCGACGTAGCGCTCCATGCCCTGCCACTCCGTCTTGCCGGTCGAGATGAGGTAGCGGATGTGTCCCTGCGAGTCGACTGTCAGGAAACGCGAGGCGGAAAAGCGAGGGTGGGGGTGCGCAGGAAAGGGGAAAAGGGGAAAGGGGGGAGCTCACGAGATCGGTTACGTCCCGGTGGCGCTCAAACTCCTCGCGGGCGAAGCGGCGCGACTCGGCGCGGGTGTTGGGGTCGGCGATGCGCCGGGTGCCGCGGATGATTTCGCGGTAGAGCGAGATGGCGCGGGATCTCTGGAGGAACTGTGATTGGGTTAGGGAGGGGCAATTGTCAGTATACGAAGTTCCGTGTTTTTTTGTTTTTTTCATTCACGCTGATTATTCAGGAAGGGCACCTGTTTTCTCTTACATGGTCCAGACTCAAGGCCTTCTTGCCGAGGCGCGACTTGGCCGGGCCATTGGAGTAGCTGCGGACGAGGGACCACAGGGGGGTTTTGAAGGGCATCAGGCCGGGATTATAGGGAAAGGGGGGGAGGGGGAGGTGGTGAAGTCGACTACATCTACTACATCTGTGTCTGTTGCGAAAGCTCAATCAATGGAAGCTCGATGAAGAGAGAAGCTTCAAGTGACTTTTTGGAGACTGGATGAGGTCAGGACGGGGAAACCTCGGCTCCGGGCGGACCCGCCCCGCTTCGGCCGGGTAAGGGGACCGTTGCGTGCAGTGCATACTGCATACGCAGTGCATTGCTTTCGCTTTTAGCGGTCGCAGAGGCCAGTTTTAGTGGACGCGTTCCCCCCGCTGGAGTTACACGGTCGTGATTTACAGGCGCGAGATGCAAACAGTTTCCTTGACTTGAATCTCTCCATCCATGTTACATGACATGACATGGCATAGATCGGTTCGTTTGGTTCGAACTTGGATTTCACTTTGATCGATACTGCTCCGGTTCCGTTTTCAACTCGGGAAAAAATGGCACCGCCTCGCAAACGCCGCAGGGCGCCTACGAACCCCATCGAGGCGGCGAACCGCAAGCCAGACGACCAGTTCATCAAGGACCACCTGCGCCCAAGGTTCGTTTGTTCTACTTTCTTCTCCCCCATTCTTACTGGACGTGGAAGTGGAAGCCCAGAGTTGCTCATCTATTTAAAAAAACAAAACTACTAAAAAAAAAAACAAAAAAAACTCACCAACGATACAGCCCGGACTGGACATCATGGACGCACCCCGCGAGCGGCAAGCCCTACGCCCTCTCGCTCAAGTCGGCGCCGGCGCTCGCCCAGCACGAGCTGCAGGCCTGCTTCGATCTCATCGAGCGCACCAGCGGGGCCGACTACCGGGCCTCCAGGGACGGGTGGAGGCCGCTGGCCAAGCTGAAGGAGATGAGGAGCCCCGAGCTGCGCTACATCCTCGTCAAGGAAGCCCCGGCGGCGGCGGCGGCGGACGGTGGTGGCCATGGCGAGAAGGCGACCGGGGAAGAAGGAGGCAGGATATGCGGCTTCACGAGCCTAATGCCGACCTTCGAGGAGGGCGAGGCCGTGGTCTACTGCTACGAGATCCACCTCGTGGAAGAGCTGAGAGGGTGAGTTCCCGGAATTGCCCCTCCCTTATAAGCCAATTACTCGGCAATTGGTCATTGTCAAGAAACTGACGGGCAAAAACCCCCGCGGGCCCAGAACCGGCATGGGGCGCGGGCTCATGGACCACCTCGTCCGGGTGGCGAAGAGCATCCCCGGCGTCGAAAAGGTGATGCTGACGTGCTTCGTCGCCAACGCCGGCGCGCGCGCCTTCTACGAGCGGCTCGGGTTCGAGAGGGACGCCATATCGCCGCCCGAGCGGACGCTGCGGTCCGGCACCGTATTCGTACCGGACTATCTCATCATGAGCAGGAGGGTGGTGCGCGGCGGGCCTGCGAGGACGGACGGGCAGGCTCCGGCGGCGGCGGCGGCGCACGCTGGGGACGGCGAGGAGACGGGGGATGGGAAAGTGTGATGTGGCATGATGGGAGTTTATGATCATATACCCTGCAGACAGACGGGCATCGAGAGCGTTATCATTTTTTGTATCCCTCTGCACAACGAAGCAAAGGATCTCGTGGGTCGGTGATGACTCTAGAGGCATGAGATTCGACATCGCTGCAGTCATGCCCGACTATTTCCCGCCGTCCCCATGAGGGAGCGTTCGAAAACCTGCTCTCGATGGTGGTTCGTCCGACTGGATGAGCTAGAGGGAGTTTGGCCGAACAAAGCCAAAACATAAAAAATAGTGAGGCTGAGGTGCATGCTACTTACTATTTTGGGCTCATGCAGTCAGGCCCACAACTCTCTCCGTCGGGCTTGTTTTCCATATCGCTAAGCTGCGGAGAGAGGCTTGGCGTCGGTGAGGGTGAGATGAGACGACGGGTGGACGGACGGACGACAAAACCTAAAAGGGACGCTGCAGGGACATTCCCGCCACTTTTCTCACTGCAGTGAGACCCTCGTTCGTTGGCTGAACTCGAGGCACCGGACCGCTCGTTCACTCTCAACGTCGTGCCACAACGCACATCTTCATCTCGATCCCAGGGTCATGCCAAGTTTCGTGTCTGCCTGGGGGGGGCCGGGCGTCAGATCGTCGCGCGGCGGCCGTCTAGCGGATCTGCAACGAAGGCCGGCAAAGCTAGCCAGGCTGGGCGAGGGGCTGAATACGGAAGAGCCAGCAGGTATCCGTAGAGGTCTACAGATACATGTCTGTCTGTGTACGAATATGCCTTCCAACGTCAATGTCTTTGGGGGGGCTTCACTCGAGACAGAACCGTTCCGCACATAGGTACCGATGCCTACGTAGTATGACGCCGCCGTCCTCCCCGCCTCATCTCCAATGCGTGCCAGCGGTGATCACCATCGCACTACCCCTTGCATGAGAGCAACACGCCGGGGACGAGACGTCCAAATCTGTTTCGTGGCTTCCTTCAGCCCAAGCTCAGTTGATCAGCCCTAGGACGCCGTCGTCAGGTCTAGCGCGCCTGCGACGGGTGTAGCGTACACAGGGAGGGACAACACCAGTCATGTTGTCGTCCACCAAAGCCACGGGGGTGAGATGAGCCCCCCCCGTCCATGATCCAATAGGTCGTCGCTCTACGCCTGTGTCTGCGCCGTCAATGTCAGTCAGCCTGGGGCGTTGAGGTTACACGCGACGGGGATCGGGTGAGACGAGGCGGGGATTTATCCAGTCATCGACGACGAGGGAAGGGGTTTCTTGCTTCAACGCTGTTCTTTCCATCGAGCAAGGGGAAGAAAAGAACAACTTGGATTAAAAAAATAGAAAATAAAAACGCCTAGTGGCGCGTCCTAACAGCCTAGCGCTAGTACCGGGGTCGACACTAGGCTCGTGAACTACTGGAGCTTGTTCCCTCAGCTCAGGAGGAATCCATCGGCTGGCTCAGTGTGTGACTCTCTCACACACGCATCATGCCTCATCCAGTAGCTAACAAGCCTCAAGCACCCGAAATGCATTCGTCTTGTCTCCCCAGATCTTTCAGCTGCCTGCCCATGTCACCCCGTACCGTCTTTAACCCCCTTTGCATACTTCGTATATCAGAACGTCGTGTCCCTCCCGAGCTTCCCCTGGTTGTCCAACGTCTTCCTTCGTCTCCGTCTCCGCTTGCGTATCCTTCTCGAGAGCTTCTGGAACCCCCCCCCCCCCCCCTTCCTGCATCTAGAACAGTCGTCCCAGTCACCAGACGACTCACCCGTTGAACGTATTGTTCCCCTCGCCACCTCGTCACGATGGATTACCAGCAGCAAGCACCCATGCAACCGCAGCCGCAGCCACAGCCGCAGCCGCAGCCGGAGCAGAAGCAGCCGGGGCAGCACCAGCACCAGCAGCCGCAACAGGAGTATGTCCAAGGAGGCAACATCCAGACCCAAGAATGGCAGTCCGGCCTCATGAACTGCGGGCCGTGCGACACCTGCATCGTGGGGACGTGTCTCCCCTGCCTACGTACGTCCCCTACCTCTCTGCCTGTCCTCCCCCTTTCCGGGTCAGTCAAACCTGGTTTTAACTAACACTTGGGACCCCTTTCTCCCCCCCCTCCAGTCGTCGGCAAGACCTCTGAGCGCCTGCGCGACCCGACGATGCAGACGTACGAGGCCATCAACACCGACTGCCTCCTCATGTTCGGCATCAGCTGTCTCACCGGCTGCGGCTGGATCTACGCCATGATGAAGCGCACCGAGATCCGCGAGCGCTTCGGCATCAAGGGCTCCGGCGCCTCGGACTGCTGCGTCGCCTACTGGTGCGCCTGCTGCGCCATCATCCAGCAGGACAAGGAGGTTCAGGCGCGCATGTCGACGGGGCCCATCAGCCAGGGCTACCAGCCGCAGAAGGAGGGCATGACCATGCCCGCTCCGCACAACTGAGCGTGGCGGCGCGCCGCGGGAGAGAAGGGTTGGGTTGACTGGCCTGGGAGGCAACAATGGGTCTTCGACCTTTTTTTCTCTCTTCTTCTTCTTCTTCCTTTGTTTTTTTTTTGTTATGAATATGGATATGGACGGTCAATGGATGGATATGGTATACCCGTGGGAATGGACGCTGAGGACCGCCGACTCGGTAAGCAGACGGCAGTCGACAAACATAGGCAGTGAAATAGGCAAATAGCTTTGGTATTCCTCGCTTGCGGCGCCGAGCTTGGTCGAAACACTGTGTTCTTCTGGTGACTCTTCGCATTATGGCCTAGTATCTGTCTCAGCCACGGCCCAATGTTTGTCTCAGTCACGGCATATCCACTGGAAGAACCCTCATGATGTGCGTTGCCGTTGGTGACTCACCATTTCGGTGCTACATTCTCCACAAGAATGAAACGACTTCAATGTGGCCCCGTATTCTCCCTCCTTTTCGTAATGTTTAGCCCTTTTTTTCCGCTTTGATGATGCCCCGGCACGATGGCGACAGCATCGTTTTCCCGCACCGTCCCGCCACCCGGGGGAGCTGATACCTGTGGCTTCAAGCCGTTTCCAGTAACATCACTCAGGCACAAGTCCCCCCCCCCCCTCCCCTTCCTACTCCAACAGCTAGGGCTGACTGTTCCCCAAGTTCTCCTGCAGACGGGGCTCTCCCGCTGCGGTGTTCGGATCCCCTCATGACATGCAGCACCTCCGGGTCCTACAAAGGATGTCTCTCGACGATCCCCACAACGTGCTACGAGACCTCCACGTTGGCGAGGTCGTGCGAGCCTGACGAGTTGTGCTGGTGAGTTTGTGACGGCATTGCAGGGCTTCCGGGAGTTCGAGCCCCATCGCATACTAACGGGCTGCAAAACAAAAACAGTGGGACGGGGTTCGACACGGCGTGCTGGACCTGGTTCTCGATGGAAGACACCCGCACGTTCACTCTCTTCACATGCAGCACCGTTTCCGGGGTGGGGATTCTGATGCCGGACTCGACGATTGCGACACCTAGCCCCGGGACGGACCCTTCGAGCCCGACTGACCTTCCTGGAACAAACATGGATGCCGCTGCGACTGCTGCCTCGAATGGCACCAACTCAACCGCAACCGGCGCCTCTGCTGCCGCGGAAACTAATCCCACCGCAACGGGTCCTACGTCCCGGACACCAGAAGGCGGCGTAGGTGTCTCTATTGGTGTCATTGTGGGGACCACCATCGGAGCGTTGGCATTGGTGGGCATGATACTGGGTATCGCCTTGTTCATATGGATTCGGTCCAGAAAGGAGAAGAAGAAGAAGCGAGACGCCGCTAAGCCGGAACCAATCAGCCCAGTGACTGGGCCGGATGGCATAATAATGGGCCCGTTTTGTTCGGGCGGGAGAGAGTCCGCCCCGCCGTCGTACGACGGACGACCATCGGAGGGGGCTGGGGAGGCTAAGAGCCCGTCTCCTAGGAGCCCACCTACTAAGAGCCCACCCCCTAGGAGCCCACCCACTAAGAGCCTGCCTCCTAGGAGCCCGCCTCCTAAGAACCCTCCTCCTCAGAGTCCGCCGACTAAGAACCCTCCTCCTAAGAGCCCGCCTACTAAGAACCCTCCTCCTAGGAGCCCGCCTACTAAGAACCCTCCTCCTAGGAGCCCACCTACTAAGAGCCCGCCTCCTAAGAACCCTCCTCCTAGGAGCCCGCCTACTAAGAACCCTCCTCCTAGGAGCCCACCTCCTAGAAGACCGGACAGGAGTCCAGAGAGGAAGATCAATGTGACCGAGGGCGGTTGGCTCTAAGGGAGCGGGGCAGGCACTTCCACCCGCCGCCCGTTCACGGCCATCGATCTGGCTTAGGAGGCGGTCAGAAGGCGCTAGACGAGAGTGGGTATCGCAGTATTGTACAACAGAGTCTTACTATATAATTTGATGACTATTCTCTTACAGCCTCTCTGGTTGTCTTGGCATAATATACCAGTCTCCATAGTAAGACTCCCAGGCCGGTGATCTCCAGTGTACAAGTACAGGCTTCCGTAGCATCATCACATGTAGAGGCCGCGCAAGGCAGGCGAATGAAACTCCAGATCGGATTCTGACGGTGGAGCCCAAGTGCGAGCGAGCCTGCGAGGCCAAGACAAAAGCGATGCTGGTGCCTACGGCAGGATTCCCTGGATTGTGGGGTTCGATACACAACCTGTACTACGATGGAGCGGCCCGCCGCGCTTTTACCCCGGCCACGGCAACTCCACCCGCCCCTCTCGAGAGATTGATAACTCTAGATCCACAAGCGCAAGCGCTACACTCCGTCTGGGAGTACCGTATAACGTTCAGGATCCTTCTGTTCGGGGAGGATGGCCTTGTCCATAGCTCCAGCCCGGTCTTGACTGCGGCGCAGGCCAGGCACAGGATTCAGGCGACACATCGCCAGACAAGGGCATGACTTGCGCAGTGGAGATTGAGACTGCTGGATGCGAGGAGCAGAAAGCAAGAAAGATTAGAAAGAGGAAGGGGGAAAAAAGGTATAAATATCCTCCGACGCTCCAGAAACCAAACGACACAATTGCAACATCATCAACAACAGTCACAGGCTTACCATTTACCTCAACCTGCCATAACAGTAAGCAATGTTGCCATGAAGAAGTAAAATATTCCTCACGATGGTTAGGGGCTAAGCTTTGATACTCAAGAGTTCAAATGACTTTAGACACTAGAATAAAAGTGTAGGTAAAAGTATTCAAGAATACTAGATAACATGTAGTCATTTAACGTGTAGTTATTTCTGTTTCCAAACGATAATGAAATACCAACTTTTGCTCAGGGCTGTATGAGACGGGGCTTTTCCTTATCACTTATCAATTTCCGCTCTTCACCATATTACTATCCACCGCAACGGGTGATTAGCCGTCGCCTTCAGAAGAGAATGTGTAACGGGTGAGAAATATAATGCATTGCGTTGGCTTGGTTCTCGGAAGAGACAATAACGGGTGGGAACATGTAGTTACTGGATCATGTCTCTTCGACACTCTACAAGCTATATTGGGCATCCTTGAAGGAACGTCAGTTGGGAACAGTTCAAATGCAAGCCCAGACAGAGGCAGTCAGGATGATTGTACCCATCTATGTGCATTCTTTGACGAAGTCTAAGTAGCTTGCGGCTCCATAGACAACATGATACAGGGCGATGCCAAAGGCCAGGAACCGGATAGTCCTCTGCACAGCCTTTGAAATGCGACATAGGATCTCCCTACCGGGATTTCAGTTGTACTCGCTGGACTCACAGGAAATATGCAAGACGAGTTTCAAGCGGCATTGAAACCCACCTCAACAGACCTCGCATTCCATGGATATACCACTCAGTAATGGGTCCGATGTTGCAGGCGAGCCGATGCCGGCGAGTGACTGGATTACGTGATATCGCGATAGACGCCTAGATACATACCTATTCTGGGTACGTACACATGTATCTAGCCGGCTTAGGTAACGTCAAAGTCTAAAGTGGGTTCAAAGTGCGTAATCAGATGATCTGATAAGATCAAATCCATCCACGCACTTTTTAACTTTCCGAACTTCCGCCATACTTTTTCCCTCCCGCTATGTTTAGGGGTCGGCAACTTTCGCTCTCTCACCGTCACTCTGCGACGCACTCACCACCGGGACAGTGTGCGTTCTCATCACGGTCGGTCGCCTATCGCCACTCATCGATGCGAACCCCTTCCTCTTGTCCGTGACAATGCGCGTCCTGTTGTCGTGGTCGGCTTCGGCCCCGCGTCTAGCGGTGCACCGGATTCTGCTACCTATGCTCTTCGCTGCCATGTGCCTTTTCGGTCACTCGGCCGCGGGGATCTTGGGACCCGGCGACGTCTGCTTCGACTCGTGCTCGTCCGCCCTCCGCGCCCCGCGCTTCAACGATACCCGCCCGTACAACGGGACCGACTGGCAGAAGGCCAGGCTCATCACCTTGTGCGAGAGTCGCCTGTACATCACGTCGATGTACCTATGCGCCGACCTGCACTGCGACCTGACGTACCGGGTCGCCGGGCTGAGTGACCTCAACCACACCTGCCAGACGTCCATGAATACGTCGCTGCCGCCGTTCGAGATGATTGCCAACTACTCGAGCGAAGAGATTGCCGGTCTGAGACGGCTTACCAAGGAAGAGAGCGTCGCTAAGATCGTGCTTAATGAGATCGTCTTGCCTGCGGATGCCTTCTATCAGATCTGGGCTGACACTCTCGTACGACTAACACCTCTTGAGATCCGTGTCACATATGACTGACGCATATCCAGGATTCCGTCAAGTACACTTACGGGTACCATTTCAGATACGGGTTCGTCACTGGCTTGTCCCCGCTGTACCACCTTTCCTAACCCGCCGTGTCAGCTTCTACGTGATTGTCTTTTGGTTCATCGTGATCGCTATCGGGCTGGGATCTCGTCTCGTTTCGGCCATCGGGGACCTGCAAAAGCGAGAGTACAATCCGCGCAACACGCCCGGCATCTTCCACGCCCCCGCCCTGTGGCTCAAGCGCTACATCACCGTTCCCGCCACCTTTGGGTACCGCTGTTCGCAGAACCTCGGCTGGTGTACGATCCCGCCTCGGGTCCAGAGTCTCACCATCGTGGCCTTTATTGTCGTGAATACCTTCTTTTGCATCCACGGCTACAAGATATTCCGCGGTCACATGTAGTAAGTGACACGCTCTCTCGTATTCGGTGGCGCACGCCGACTCACGTTTCCCTAGCTGGCCTACGGTCTATCACCTGGTGTGGCGTTACGTCGCCGATAGGACCGGCATCATTTCCTTTGCCAACTTCCCTATCATCTGGCTGTTTGGTATGCGGAACAACCTGCTCATGTGGGTGACTGGTTGGGAGTTTGGCACGTACAATAACTTCCACCGCTGGGTCGCCCGTGTAGCGACACTGCAAGCCGTCATCCACTCCGTCGGCTACGTCGTCCTCGTCTTTGACGGTAGGCTTCGCGTGCACTTTCCACGTCGCCACAGTTTTCTGACAGCTTTGTAGACGGTGGCTTGGCATATTTTATGTCGTATTGGAAGAGCATGTTCTGGTGGGCTGGCTGGCTGGTGGGTGTCGCAATACCATCCACTGTGTGGTCTTCGCTGACAGATCATAGGCAACTTTCGGCATGGTCGCTCTTGTCGGAGCGTCGGTGTACTGGATGCGACGGAAACAGTACGAGCTGTTCCTGATCCTCCACATCCTTCTGTCTATCCTTACTCTCATCACCATGCTCGGGTATGTTGCTCATGAATTAACATGTCATGCCGTCTCACGCTAACAACCCACAGCCACGTTTCCATCCTCAACGGGGAGTATGACTTCCTATTCTGGGTGCCCTTTTACATCTGGATAGGTGACCGCGTGTTGCGCATGGCGAGGACACTGGCCTTCAACCCTAGGTTCTGGAACACCTTCGCCCTTGCGAGCTACGACTCAAACTCCAACATCATACGACTCAGCGTCCCCTACTCCACCAGTTTCTACGAGCCGAAGCCGGGCACCTACTACTACCTTCACGTCCTCAGTGACAAGTGCTTCTGGGAGAGCCACCCGTTCACTATGGCCCGCACGACGACCAACCTGAACGCGGGCCGCAAATCGTCCTGCGAGGAGACGCCCCTGCTCGTCACGGGCGAGCAGGATCAGGAGCCCGTGTCTGAGGTCGCGCTTCATCCGAAGAGGGGCGAGCCCTCGATGACGTTCCTCATCCGCCCGTACGACAGCTTCACCGCCCGCCTCCGCGATAAAGCCACGGCCGCGTGGCCCCACCCGGCGCGCCTCCGTGTGCTCATCGAAGGGCCCTACGGCCACACGCAGCCCTTTGACCAGTTCGACGACCTACTCTTCATCGTCGGGGGCAGCGGCATTGTGGTGCCGCTCGCGCATCTCGCCGAAATCACCAAGGATGGGTCGAGGGCGCGGTCGGTCAAGATCGTCTGGGCCGTCCGCGAGCTGACCTTCGCTGCGGACGTGCTGAAGCAGGACTTTGAAGATGCTTTCGACAGCGGGAAGCTGTCGGTCGACGTCTACCTCACGCAGCACAGCCCTGCGGCCAGCGCCGCGCGACCTGACGGCTGGCCGGAGCAGGTGCGCCTGCTCCACGGCCGGCCGGAGGTGCGCGAGGAGGTGCAGGAGGCTGCGACGGGATCGAGCAAAGCCAGCCTCGCGGTGGTGGCGTGCGGGCCGGGCGTCATGGCCGACGATGCGAGGCGGTCCGTCGTAGAGATGCTCGACCGGGGGTGGTCGAGGGTCGAGTACTTTCAAGAGAGCTTCAGTTGGTGATATGCCATATACGTGACAGCTTGGACATGATTTTGGGAATAGAAAGGCATACACCAGGCATGACGTGGCGTCGGGCGTTTCGGGATATCCGTGGTTCTTTTTTTCATCCTATTTACATATACATCATGTGCTCATACTAGATACATAAGTGTTTTGGATTTGATTATTCGTCACCATTGCCCGTCTTTTGCTTCTTGTGTTTGACATCGACGACATGCTCCTCAATCGGCTCGCTCTTTTCGTCCAGCCCGCTCCACTTGGGCTTCCCGTCGGGCAAGTCGACGACCCTCTGGCCGTAAAATATGTGCATCCTGGAACAAGGGGGGTTAGCGGTCACTGCCCACCACGGCTGGCTTTCCTGGTAGAGAGGGTTCAGGGGGGGGAGGAAGCACGTACTGGACCTCAAAGTTGTCGCGCTTCCGCTCGCCGTCAAAGTGCAGCAGGCCGGGGAAGATGAGGACCATGTTGCGGCCCTCGTCCATGATGCGGCTGCCGCAGAAGCCACAGCTGACCTTGCAGGGCAGGTCGTGGCCCTGGAGGTTCTTGCCGGAGGAGTAGAAGGCGAGGCCGTCGACGCCCTTGTCGAAGGCGAGGTCCTCCTTGTGGAAGATGGCGGCCCACTGGAATGGGGCGCCTGGGGGTTGTGTGTGTGTGTCAGCCGGATGCTGTACTACTTACTGCCAAGCGAGGCGGATCGAAAGAGATAGAGACAGAGGGAGAGAGAAAAGGAAGAACTGACCATGCATCTTCTGGCAGTCCTTGCAGTGGCAGTACTTGGAGGCGAGCGGCTTGTCCTTCTGCAGCCAGTACGAGACCTGGCCGCACTGGCAGGCGCCGCGGATCTTCTTCTGGAAGCTGTCGCCGTGGGGGTGTGACTCGCCGGGGGGCACATAGGGGGCCTGGGTCTTCCAGTCCTCGTCCCTGCTGTTTTCCGTCTTCTGGGTCGAGTTGGTTTCCGCCTGCTTCGTCATGCTGGCGGCGGAGGAGTGGATGCAGTGGTGGTGATGGTGGTGGTGGCGGCACGAAGACGAAGACGAAGACGAAGACGGAGACGGAGGCGGAGGCGGATCTGTCGTGTAGATGGAGCGTGGTGAGATGGATGCCGGGATGGATCTTGACGGTTAAGGCGCTGCTGGGATGGTCTTTTGTTTGACAAACTCAATTGGAAACGGGACGAGATGCGAGGCCCTGAGGTTTTGTTGCTGCTTCTGGCGTCGCAATACGGACGACCTGAGCGAGGGCAGCCGCAGGGTCCAATGACGCGCTGATAATGACATCACGGGAGGGTAATTGATGATGCCTCTATTGCGGGAGAATAAGAAATGAACCCGCACGGACGATGCGGTTACTGTGTAAATTCCACAAGGGGGGGGGGGGGGGGGGGGGAGGAAGAAAGAAAAGAAACGCCACAGAAAGGGATCTGATGATGCACCTGTAACGGTGCCACGCAAGGTGCTCTCGGGGTTATATCTTCAGATGGCGCTGGTTCGGACGATTCACGACGGGACGAACTAGATATGTCCATCTACCGGTATCTGCATGCTCGGCTGCTTTGCATTGGCTCTTGTGGCATCCCATCTTTGGATATGCGCATGTATTGACATCATGGTTGAGTGTTGCCCGCGGGTCGAATTATACGGCACCGCTCTCTTCCAGGGGTCACCGATGGCCGAGCTGTCAACGAGCATCATCGGCCGGATCGGGCTTACCCCACAGACGCCATGCGGATCTGTCATTCTTAGCTTTGGACCTGTCTATGCAACGTGTGAAGCTCGTTTAGGGCAACTCAGCACGTGGCGTACGTACTGCGACTCAAGAAGGTGTGGTTGTTCGGTTCCACCAATTCAATAAGCTTGCTTTGGATATACCTATCTGTGCAGTCACTGGTATTGGACAGTTGCGATAATCTCCCTAGAACCGCATGTACGGTATTGAATCTAGCTCTAATTGTGAAGTTGTGGGTGGCTACTCAGCTATCCCAGTTGACTTTGATTGGCTGCTTGCTCTGACAGAAGCGCCGGCAGTAACAAAAGATGCATAAGTACGGAGTACTGTCTTCAGCTTTCAACCTTCACTTCAATCATTGGCTGTTGAATCCTTGGCGACTACGTTGTATCGCTAGCCGAGATAACAGGATATGCAGCTGACCTGACGCACCCCATATACCGCAACCAGGCCTCTCTGCCTCCGGTGCCTTGTCACGTGGTCCGAGGCATCAGGATCATCATGGAAAGAGGCAGGGGGGCCTTGAAGAAAACCTCTCTCATGACACTCCGCATACTATATCCTGCTGCTTCACCACGTACTCCCAGAAGCCGCTCTGGCAACTCTCATCGCCATGGCGCGCGACATCTGGTCAGAATCTGGTCTTTGGGCCAACCTGCTTGGGCTGGTCATCCCCATTTTCGTCTGTCTGGCGGTTGTTGCAGCTAGCCGCTGGGCAATATCCCCCGCCCCCGCCCCCGCTGCGACTGTCATGAGGCCGCCAAAGCCCCCCAAAAGCCTGACGTTTCGGGTCGACGACATTCCGGTTGAACACGTTGATGACCTCGATCGCAACATTCAGTCCATTGCCGAGCGCGACGCGGATCTGCACGGCGCCGCCTTTACCCGTCGTTCCCTTGGGCACAGTGACAAAGAACACGTGTGTGCAACCGTCACGACCACCACAACTCTCTCGGGAAAGGACTTATGTTCGCGGTTGGCCCAAGCCGGAAAGGATTTCCCCTACAGTTATAGTTGTGACTTTGACGGCATCACGCCCTTATACGAAGACACAAATGGCGTAGCGGTAGAGTAAGCGCCCCCTTACATCAATCAGCCTTGTCCCATGGATTCTGTTCTGCTGCCGTACCGCATTACGGTCGCTAACCCGTAGCTCGCAGTATCGTCGCCGTGCCTGGTCTTGGAAGTCACCCGCTTGGGTCTTGGAAATCCCCTCACAATGATGACGTCTGGCTGCGGGACTTCTTGCCGAAGGACGTGCCCAACATCCGAGTGCTGATCTATGGCTACGACACGACGCTGCCAGGCAGCCGCTCCAAGCAATCCATCGAGGACTTGGGCGGAACCCTAGTAGAGCGACTCGTTGAGTTTCGCGCAAGAGACAGTGTAAGTGGGCTCAGGAGAAGCGTGAACTTGCGCTGATACCAAGCAGACAACTCGCCGACCGCTCATCTTCATTGGACATAGCCTGGGTGGCCTGCTTATCAAAGAGGTGCGGTGCTTCTCTGACCTGCTATGAAGCGGTAGGCTGAACTGTATTACAGGCTCTTATCCGCGCTCGCAATTCACGCGATGTTCAAATCGCCGACCTTGCCAAGACATGCTACGCCCTTCTCTTTTTCGGCGTTCCAAATCTCGGCCTGCGCAATGAACAGCTCAGGACCATGGTCTGTGGCCAACCGAACGAGGCTCTGGTGCACGATCTGGTTGTCGATAACGACTCTGAAGCCTCGACTTTCCTCAAGAGACTTGCTGATGACTTTGCTGAGAAATGCAAGGATCACTATCGCGTGATGTCGTTTTTTGAGCGTATGCTCAGCCCAACTGTACAGGTAAGCCACAACGTTAGAAAACAGAAAGGCGTGTGTGTTGATATTTGTACTACAGCGTGACGACGAAGGCAATTGGCGAAAGACGGGTCCGGCTTCCTTGCTAGTGACACAAAAGTCTGCAACTGCCACAGGCATAGTAGCAGTAGCTGACGAAGACAACATTGCTCTTAACTCAGACCACTCTGGGATTGTCAAATACAGCTCTAGAGGTCAGGGAGACTACCCTATAGTAAGAAGAAGACTCATAGATTGCGTTGAAAGAGCGATCCTAGACGTGCCCAGGCGATTTGCCGAACACAGTACGTCAGACTCCGCCGTGTGGTCATGCAAAGGCTGATTTTTTAGCCAGGCTTTGAGCATCTCAACTCCAGAACAGTCGAAGATTGTATGAAGTCGCTGGCGTTTGAGGAAATTGACGGTCGACAGAACGGCATTGAAGCTGCCGCCGCCGGTACCTGCCAATGGCTCCTGAGTCACGAGACTCTCACGGCCTGGACTCGCCAACACCGGGGCTTGGTATGGATCAAAGGCAAGCCTGGAGCTGGCAAGTCGACTTTAATGAAGTACGCCCTCGAGAAGGTCCCATATCTTTACGAGACGCAGCCGCTGGTTCTTTCTTTCTTCTTCCATGGACGTGGCCATGAATTGCAGAAGTCGTTGCTCGGCCTCTTTCAGTCCCTCCTGCATCAGCTGTTGAAACACGTTCCGGGTACACTCTCTGACTTGATCGATCATTTCGACCACAACCGGAAAACCGTAGGCGAAGCTGGAAAAAAATGGCAATGGCATGTTCCAATGCTGCAGGCTTTCTTCCAGTCATCGCTTTCGAAGATTCTGAAACATCGTGCAGTTCTCGTCTTCATAGATGCGCTTGACGAGTGTGGAGAAGAACCTGCTGTCCAGCTTATCGAGTTCCTCAAGCAGACTCTCTCAGGCCTCGCATCAGAAGATTCGCAATTCAGCATCTGCTTTTCCTGTCGCCATTACCCTATCATTGAGCTTGAAGGTGGATCAACGATACCCATCGATCAGGAAAATGGCAAGGACATTGATACGTATGTTCAAACCCATCTTCCGTCAGAGCAAGACTCGGATCTCCAAAGCCTCTTGAGCCAGCGAGCGCAAGGAGTCTTCATGTGGGCTCACCTCGTTGTCAAACGTGTTTTACAAATGAAGCGTAACGGCAAGTCTCCAAGTAAAATCAAGCGTGAGGTTGAGCGAGTCCCGCAGAAACTGGACGACCTTTACTACGACTTGCTTCAACATTTGGACTTGGAGGACCGTCCTGGGACCCTACGACTGCTGCAATGGGTCTGTTTCTCGACCCGGCCATTGACAACGGACGAGTTGCCATGGGCAATGACGATTGATCCAGACAACCCAAACCAAACGCTCGATGATTGCAAACAATCTGACGAATTCATTTCAAAAGACGACATGCACCAGAGAGTCACATCCCTTAGCTGTGGACTTGCAGAAGTAGCGCCTTCCGAAAGTTCTTACGTTGTTCAGTTCATCCATCAGTCAGTCAGAGATTTCTTCATCGAACGGGGGTTGTCGGCTCTCGATGATACCATTGGAACAGCCAGATCGGTAGTACCTGCCATCAATTGCCGTCTGTTTTTTCAATGCATCAGTTACTTCAAAATGACTGTCTCTTCACATACCGGGGATTTCTGCGAAGAAGATACCTTCAATTTCCCCTTTTTGGTCTACGCATCAACAGCTTGGAAATCACATGTGAAGCTTGGCGAGACAACAGAAATATATACAAAAGACATTCTCGACTCTTTTTGTGGGCCTTCGAGTTCCTTGGTGGACCAATTGGTAAAGGCAAGTAGGATTTTTGACAGGTGGTCACCGTTTTGGCTACCTCCAGGAGCTAGTCTGGTGCATATTGCATCCATACACGATCTACAAAAGCTTTTGCAGTTCATTATAGAGCATACCGAGGCGAAAATTGATGCAAAGAATCGTGCCGGCGAAACGCCACTGTCTCTCGCAGCTCGGCGTGGCAATAAAGCAATAATTATCATACTTCTTGATACAGGCAAGGTTGACGTCAACTCAAGAAATAATTATAGCTGGACGCCGCTATCTTGGGCAGCTAGACATGGGCACAAGGGAGTTGTTAAGATACTTCTTGATACAGGCAAGGTTGACATTAACTCAAGAGATAATTATGGCCAGACGCCACTATATTTAGCAGTTATGAATAGGCACGAGGGAGTTGTTAAGATTCTTCTTGACACAGGCAAGGTTGACATTAACTTAAGAGATAGGAATAGCCAGACGCCACTATCTTTAGCAGCTGAGGATGGGTACAAGGGAGTTGTTAAGATGCTTCTTGACACAGGCAAGGTTGATATTGACTCAAGAGATAAGAATGGCCAGACGCCACTATCTTTAGCAGCTGAGGGTGGGCATGAGGGAATTGTTAAGATGCTTCTTGACACAGGCAAGGTTGATATTGACTCAAGAGATAAGAATGGCCGGACGCCACTATCTTGGGCAGCTATAAATAGGCACAAGGGAGTTGTTAAGATGCTTCTTGACACAGGCAAGGTTGACGTTGACACAAGAAATAAGTATGGCCAGACGCTACTATCTTGGGCAGCTGAGCATGGGCACAAGGGATTTGTTAAGATGCTTCTTGACACAGGCAAGGTTGACATTAACTCAAGAGATAATTATGGCCAGACGCCACTATCTCGGGCAGCTGAGGGTGGGCATGAGGGAATTGTTAAGATGCTTCTTAACACAGGCAAGGTTGACGTTAACTCAAGAGATATTTGTGGCTGGACGCCACTATCTCAGGCAGCTATGTATGGGCACGTCGAAGTGGTGGCGTTGCTTTGCGATAAGTACACTGCCGACCTCAATCTCGAAGTCAAAGGAGGGTTCAATCCATTCATGTTGGCTGTGTGGAGACGTCACAAAGATGTCGCTGTTGTCCTCCTCCAGACGGGACGTCTTTCATATCGGCATTGCATGGACGGTCTCTGTTACCAGGCGTTTTGGTCCCTGGATCCGGAAGAATTTGACCAGTTCATGGTGGATGCTGACCTGGATATGGAGGAGGATTTCTTTGGGCTGAGGGAGTTGTTTTGCGATTTGTCGATATCATGATCATAAGATCACACCGATGTAGACCTTCTGGAAACGAATCCACAGTCACTGCTTGTCTCTCAGTTGGACGGTCCTGTTTGGGTAATGCTGTGGCCCTGTGTATGATCATCATCCTTGAAGAACTTCAGTGTCTCCTCCGGTTGCCCATCATGCTCGTTGTTCGGTGGAACATTTGAAACACATTGGCATGGTTGGCTTTAGATTCATCGACTTGATGCGACGTGCATTCACCCACCCTTAGCTCCATAGTCTTGCTCGATGAGGAAGAATAATTCCATGATCGGGTATCTCAGTGTCAATTTACCATCGGAAGAAACCAAATCTGCTCGGCGGGTTGCTTAAACCGCCTTGTTCTCTAACCCCCGCCCACTTCTGGCCCGTCTCAGCCTCCAATCCTCCTCTTCGTCCTCCAACAGCCTCTGTCCAGGTAGCCTCACGGCCCGGTCCAGGGCCACAGGGAGTCCCCGGTGACGTCCCCTCAGCATGACGAGGCACAGCACCAGTTTGCTCCCCGCATGCCAGTCGGTGGAGAAGCTCATGGCGTCCTTGGGCAGGCCCACTGAGATGCCCACGCACCCGTAGCCGGAGACCACCTCGAAGACGACGTTGAAGACGGAAAAGTGCACCGGGTCCTCGAGGAAATGCGACGTCTCGATGGTGACGATAATGAGCACGGCGAGGCTGAGCAGCCACAGGTCGTGGGCGAGCTGTCCGCGGATCTGCTGGCCCACAAAGCTCGTTCGGGACTCGAGGCCGTCGACTTTCTTCGGATTGGCCGCGCCCACCCCAGCAAAGCTGAGGTTGTCCCTGATCAGCTTGGTGAGCAGCCCGTTGCCGCCGGCGTGCTTTTTCTCGTCGGCGGAGGAGCGGCTCGGCGTGTCATCATTGTCGGCGTAGATGCCCAAAGAGCGCTCTTCGTAGACGTTGGAGTGGCGCATCGTTATCACGACGGGGTAGACGGAGATGTACATCATGATGACGTACAGAACCTGCAGCCCGGGGTAGGCGGAGGCAATGGGGATGACATAGAAACCACCCGACCGGACAGCTAAGTGATGGTCAGGAGAACATAAACATAGACAAGTGGCGGCGTAGGTTCGGGGTGTGTTTCTTACCAATGGCTTGGAACAGACCGTCCAGCACGCGGGCTTCGATGGGAATGGCCTCAATGACGGGGTTGCCGATGTTGAGGACCTCAAATGCCATCCAGTCGATTCCGTTCGTCAGGACTACCATGAAGAATAGCCACCAGGTTGGTCTGGATGGAAACAGGTTTGTATAGACCCGTCGCGGGTACCTGAGGATAAACTCCAACGTGCTCTTCAGCTCCACGTGTGTTTCTTCCCGTGTCGTAAGGCGAAGCACCTTCAACGCAGACCAAAAGATGAGTCTGAGAAACAGAGGGTACGTCGTGTTACCCGCCAAGATCAGCAGGCCCATGGCGATGAGCACGAAGTAAGCCTGCTGAAAGGGCACCATGTTGGCGTCGAGGAGCGACATGCCCGAGTTGTTGAACGCCGAGACCGCGAAGAAGATGCCGGCCCACCAGGGATTCGCGCCGTTGGACGTCGCCACCGTCGGCATGTTGTTCGCTATCCAGGCTCCGAGGGCCAGGCTGCCGAGGACCTGCCAGAGGACGGAGTACACCGGGACCACGACTGACAACAGACGAAGGGCGCGGTACTAGTGGCCGCCGAGACGGGAGCGCTCGGAGGCTGTGAGAGAGTGGAACTGGGAGTTGCGGCCTTCTTTGGCGGAGCTGAGAAACGACAGTCAGGGGCGTGTCGGCTTGGTGGTCGAGGACGCCGAGTGCGTCGAACGCCGCGTGAGGTTCTCGGGTGTGTCGATGGTGATGTGGTTGTTCCCGGCCCGAGCCTGGCTCAAAGCCCCCCGCTCCATCACCCCCGTCACGCTTGCCCCGCCCTTGCCTCTCGACGCGGCATCACGGCCGTTGAAGAAGGGCAGCTGGCCGTGCTGCCGGTCCCTCTCTTCATCGCTCGCCTGGACGATCTCCCGGAGACTCTTTTCGAAGACGTGCTTCCGCGCCAGCACCGTCCAGACGGAGACCCAGACGGAGCTCCCGACGATGATGAGCAGCCAGAGCATGACCTGCTGCCACACGGTCACCTCGCTCAGGTTCACGGTGTTGAGGCCGGCCTCGGTCATGGCGGAGACGACGAGGAAGAGCGAGTCGACATAAGCGATGCTGCCGTGGTTGAGACGACATCGTCGCTGGCGCTTCGGACCCTGGACGCCGGAGACTTGTTTTCTTGGCCCGGCCGGGAAAGAGATTAGCCTCTCTCGAGTTCCGAGATGCCAAGCGATGGAGATCACGCCCGCTGCGCGAAACGCCCCCCCCCAAAAAAAACCCCCAAGTTAGAGGTTGTCTCTTCAACTCCTAGTCCCTGCTGATGCAACGTAAAGCCACCGCGCCAAACGCCTCTCGGTGGCTGTGCCAACCTTTGTTGTTATTGTCTTTGAGCCTTTGTTAAACACACACACAAACTGTCGGTGAGAGGCATCAGGGGGGAGTGTGGTGGATTCAAGCCACTTGATCCGGACGAGTCATTCGTCCAGACAAGGAGGGATGCTGTCCATTGAGTTCGCTTGGCCTACCGAAGTTTATCCTCACCGAGATTCTTCACCGAAGACTTACACTTACCGACATCTAACCTTGACCCTTATCGTATTTTCCTAGTTCATGTATTGTATGATTCAGCACGGTAGGCTAGACACTTGCATATACATAACATTCCTGATGTAGCACTTCATGATGGGCCCGCCTGTGTGGTTTCTCTAACCCCCTTTTCTGTCCTCGAAGGCAATAATTATGAAACGGGCTGACCCCCTTCGGGATGGCCCGTTTGTCTCACCATTATGAGAAGTTCATGTTAACGATGCAAAAGTCCCCGACTGTATCACAATGAGTGGGCAGGTATTTTTCAAGCAAACCAATTGATTCAAACACCCTACTCAAGAACACCCAGCTTATCATGCCCATGGACAGCAAACCCAGCCAAGTGAACCCAACGCTCCTGAGCCGACCGTTTTCGTAACGTACAAACATTGCCATGCTCCTCGGCCCGTAGGCCGGAGTATATAAGAAAATATGGAGACATAAAAAAGAACAACCACCTTTCGCACCCCATGAAGTCCTGGCAGGCTTCTAACTCCCATTCACCGCATTCACAAAGCTCTCAAGGCGCTTAGAAGCCGAGGAGGCTGTTGAACTTGGTGGCGACGTCGGCGCTCTTGTCACCGGAGGCCGAGATCTGGGCCTGGGCGTCCTTGCAGAGGGCCTTGGCGGCAGCGTTGGCACCGCAGACGTTGGTGAGCTGGTCGCAAACCCGGTTGGTGATGATGTTGGGGTTAAGAGCATCCTGCTGGCCCTGGGCGACGAGGGCGTCGGTGGGCAGGAAGGTTCCCTCAGTCGCCTTGCGGCCGGCACGTCCGAGCTGGAAATCGATGGTGGGCGTGCACTTGCCGAAGTCAGCGGCGCCACCAGCAGCAGCACCAGCACCAGCGTTGTTCCCGGTGTCAGCGTTGTTGTTGCCGGTGTCAGCGTTGTTGTTGCCGGTGTTAGCGTTGTTGTCGTTGTTGTTGTTTTTTTTGTTGTTCTGGTCCTGGTTCTGGGTGTTACCAGAAGCGGCATCGCCAGCGGTGGCACCGCCGTTGCAGTCATCAGCGGCATTGTCCTGGTTGTTGTTGGCGTTACCAGTGTTGGCGTTGTTCTTGTTGTTCTGGTCGTTGTTCTGGTCGTTGTTCTGGTTGTTACCGGTGTTGGCATTGCCTCCAGCAGCACCACCAGCAGCAGCGCCCTTGACGGTAAAGTTGGAGAAGCCCTGGGCCTTCATGATGTCGGCGACGGACAGACCAGTGGCGTCGAAGGGGTTGGTCAGCGAAGCCTTGGAGTTGGCGTTCTCGGTGTCGGAGCCGCCGACGGCAGGGTCGACAAGGGGCACGATACCGCGGAGGGCCTCGGTGGCAGGAAGGGAGGCATCGCCGCAGATGTTGGGGACGCTGACAGCGAAGGGGTTGAAGTTCTGCTCGGCGGCGACGACGCCCTTGGCGGCCTCGAGGACGTCGGCGCCGGTGCCGAGGGCGGCGATCTGGTCGGCGAGCTTGAGCTTGGCGCAGGGGTCGGCGGCAGCGAGGAGGACACCGGGGACGCTGCCGGCGAGTGTGGCCGCCTGACCGGGGTTGCCAGCCTGAAGAGAGGAGACGGCGGCAACGGGCACCTGCTCCTGGCCGAAACGGGCCTCGACCGAAGCCAGAATGGCGGAGATGAGGACGAGCTTGGAGTAAGACATGTTGACTGTTCTGAAACTAGAAACTGGGTGTCGAAAAAAAGTTCAAAAGCTTCAAAGTTGAAAAAATGATTGTAAATGTCCGGCTAGCGGTTTGCAGTTGGATGACGACAAGAAAGAATGTAAGTCAAAAGTTCGCAGAACTGAAAGATTGAATATAGAGAGAGAGAGAGAAGGATGCTTGTTGGCTGCAGGATGAAGAAGGAAGGGAAACAGATGTGATGAAGGCCCAGGCTAACTCTATTATATACACGAAGGACTGAGATATCATCGAGTTGTTTCTGTGAGACCAAGGGCCCCCCAAGGATCATGGATGACAAGGGGCCAGCCAGGCCGAGACAGCCTGCGACGGTGACACTCCGTGATGCCCCCATTTCTGCTCACCTCGACAATCTCCTCCTTCGAACGGTACCGGGGTACAGGGCTCTCTCGGCCCTCGCTCGCTTGGAAGGGACAGTAAACATGATCATGGGACGAGATTGAAAGGTGCTCAGCGCCCGGTGATCATGAGTACCTAGGTCAGTTCGGACCAGCATCCCCTTAACGGCGATCATGCTTCAAACTTGGGACGGATTACATCCCGGTGTGGCAGGGACGTCACGGCCAGCATGGTGGTCCAAGCCATTGCAAGTGCCCGGGTGCTGTCGCCTCAACCGGCCTCGCACGCGGTGATTGTCTCATGTAGCTGGGTTGGGGATTGGCGCCAGGGAAAGGATGAAGGTTTTCCTCTGCCCGGCCGCTTAACCGAAGGGGGGGGGGGGGGGGGGGGCACACGGAAATGGGTGGAGTGCTTACACTGCAACCCGACTCATACTGCTTCACGATGCGCCTGGCCGCCCACTTGAGACCGAGAGGGGTGGCTTCGCTGAGCCGAGTCGAATCCAATCAAGGCTAGTTCAATGACTCCAGTCTGTGTGCTTTTACTTCTTTTTACCTCATCCCCAGACAATACGAAAGGAGCAAAAGACAAAGCAAATAAGAGATGATCATCTCTCAATAGCAACAGGGATTCCCTCTGGAGGCGAGATAGGTTCAACAAGGGGTCTCCTGGCGCGTCGCGGCGTGCCAGATGCCCATTCGAGGTTTAGCGCTCTCCTCTCCAGCAAATGCCAAGGGTATCAACATCATCCCTGCGTCAGTCTCTTTCTTCGCATCGGCCTCTCTCTTTCTCTGGGCTCTCTCGTACGTTAGTCTGCTGTTCTGGGGAGGACCACGGACACGGATAGCTCCTCCAGCACAGCAAAACTGGTACCGGCATGCTTTCAAAACGCGGCATCTCGAGATGCTGTCCACTCTTTTCTTGATAGACTCTCCACCGCGGCATGGCTAGGGGATGCGCGTGGCCGGGCTTTCGTTCTGAGCCTATTCCCCCAGCTGCGGATGATGAGAGGGGCAAAGGAAAAGGGGGTTGCGACATGATGCCGGGGCGGTTTGGATGACATGTTTGGGAGGGGGGAAGCCCGAGCATGAAGTGGTTTGGAGAAGAGCGGCGATCGGGCCGTCGCGCCGACGAAGGGCAGCCTACCGGTAGTGCCCCTACCGAATCTACCGCATCTTTGGTGAAGTATCGTCCGATGATGGCGAGAGAGCTGATCAAGCAATTCACAGGTAGTGACAGAGCAACACCGGCAGACTTGATTACGGGAGTGGGAGTCGTAGTAATAAGCTTATAAGCTCATAAGCTCATGAAGAACCACACAGTAGGATACGAGAGGCTAAGATGCTTAGTGCCCGCCGTGTCACACACGTCTAGTAGTAAGCGATTGGTGACTTAATCAAAATGCAATTAATCGCCATTGCTTGAATGGTGGGAGGCAGTCAGATAAATTAGTTTCCCCACCGGTTGACAGGTCCGATTGATTAACTGAGCCCGCCGTTCTGGGTTTTCCACCTCCTTTCCCCCTCCCAGCCGGTCGAGCCAAGAAGGTCCGTGGTGAGTTTAAGCTGTTCTTGTTATCCATCAATGATTGGGGACGATTTCTCCCTTCTCTCCTCCATCGTCGGATGCAACGAGAAACACGTTGGGCATGCCATGATCTGCGCACTGCCGAACATTTGACTCAGCAATAAGACGGGCTGCTTGTCCATAAGCCCACAAACCCATCCTCTCTCCCTCCTCCCTGTCGCCGATCCAATGTTGCGTTTTTTCGTACTTCACTGAGCCACTATTAGTTTCCTTTGGCCCTGGCGTCGTCACCGGTTGCCGTCTTTCCTCTCCACCCCCTTTCCTTGCTGCTCATCCACAGCCACCGTCAGTCACCGTCGAGACGAGATGATGGACCAGGTTGCGTGACATGACAGGATGCAACGTCAACCTGGGAGTTGCTAGCTTCCGCTTTTGTGGTGCTCCGGGACGTAATAGCCGCCTCGACGATGGTCCAGCTGCATACACCGGAACACCCCGTGGTTCGGCACAAGACGAGCCGCGTCCTAGGTAAATTGCCCTTTGCCTTAGCCTACCACGAACAGTAAGCCTCTCTCAGTTGATAGGCAGCCCAACCTACGGAGAACCCGCATCCAGCCACGAGTTGGGGTCATTGCAGGGGTAATGAACCAACCGTTGGCCGCCGTTCTGGGAATCCCCCGGATTAGCTCGCATCGATCAAACAGCATCATCAGGGGTTCTGAAACGGGTTCAAAACTTAATGGGTCTCGCTGGTACTAAAATCACGGCCACACAGCAACAAAAAGGCCTTCCTCTCCGGACTTGCAGGTAGGTCCACCGCACGAAGCATTTTGTGCTTTGCTTCCCAGACACGAATGGGCTGGGGGGGGGGGGGGGGGGGGGGGCAGGCTGGAGACATTCATGTATCTTGCTCCTCTCTCTTCCAGAGCCTGCGTTCGGCCATGACTTTGGCGGTGCCCCGTTGGGTCTAGGCCCGTCATACCGAGGCAGAGCGAATAGGCCCTCCTCAGCTTCCGGGTTGCCAAGAGCCCACGTTTGATCTGTGCTCTCCCCGCTGGTCTTTTTCCGCATTCGGCTCTGTCGAGACGACTCTCTTCGGTAGGCGCCGGTTCACAACGTCTATCGTCTTGGAATAGAGGCGTGCCATGTGGTCTTGGCAGGAACATGTTCTCGAGACCGTGTATTGAAAACAGTCATCTTCCCCTTCCACAGTGTGTTTATCCCGCGTCGATCTCGCGCATTGATGCTTTGTGACGGTTTGATGTCTGTGCCGACATTCTCTCCGGTTTCCAGTGCCCGCGAAGCACCAGCTTTGGATTGTCCCTGGGTGCGGGTTGAAAGTGCCAACATCCGGACTCCTCCCTTTGGGAACGTGAACTCGGTCCGCCCGCCCCCTTTCCCCCCTCCGGCAAGCCTGAAAGACACGAGGACCATGTTCAGAAGAGGGGCCGCTAGCCTCAACTTTCCTTTTTGCGATTCAAGCGTTCTATTTCGCCTTTGCTGGTACTCTCCTTCGCATGATATGATCTTCCCAAGCCTCCCCGGCGCTGGCATCGGCTCGCCGACTTTCCATCTGAAGTTGTTCCCACAGGCAGACATCCTCCTTTTCTCTTCCCCCCCTTTCCTGCTCCGAAAGCCAGGCCTGCTGCCGATGCACAGACCGTACATGTCCAGCGTTCCGCGGGCTCATTTCCCGAAGTCCCGATTGGGACGCTGACAAGGTGGTACGTGTGGGCGCATTACGCTACCATTTACTTGAAATTTCGGACTGGCCTTCATCCGATCTCTTGGTAAACATGAGAAACGGACGGCTCTTCTTGCCCACAACCGAACCATCATGCCGGGCTCATGCCGGGCGGCCTCGATCCTTCTACCGGTAGATTCCCCCTGAATGCTCTGCAATTTGTGCAGGCAGATGCCTACTCCGCAAGCCAGCCGTAGGGGACACAGAGACTGCATCGCAGACAAGTGTGGTAAGTAGAACAGCGTGTCGGTCGATGCCGTAGGGGAACTACGATGACGCGGTTGAAACAAGCATGTCAAGAATCGAAAGGTCGCAAGAGGCTCTAGTCAAGCCTGGAGGTGTGATATGCTGCAATGGCATTGGAGCCTGTCAGAAAGCGGCATGTTATGTCGGCAGTTGATTGATCGCTGACCAGTGCTGTCAAGACGCACGTATACATTCGTACAGCACTGTTCTGATCTATGTTCCATTTTATCTTTTTGTTTTCTACTTTCGAACCGCTTGGGATGCCAGGCCATCTCTCTTGAAAGGAAATCCTGGCCCTCCTCACGTTTACGTAGTTTCACACAGTTAACCACTCCCTCCTCCCCCTCTCAGACCAATTCACTTCTTACTCGAGCAGAAAAGTCTATTTAGGGCACCTCTTGTAACAATACATCTATTATTAATCCTTGGCGGCCATGGCCACGTTGTCAGTTCAGCCTCTCGCCCACGAGGCCATGCGCTCCCGTGCACCCGCCGGTCGCCTTCCTGTCTCAATCGCTTCATGTGTCAGCTAAGCTTGTCCCCCGCATCGAGACGTCGGATCAGTCTTTTCTGACTCTCGGCGCATACGCGATGTGATAACGAGGCCAAAACCCGTTACGCAGGAACCAACCAGCGACGTGTCACGGACACCTCGGCCGCTGTTTACAAACCGGGAGCCTGCAGCTGCACGCCACCTCGGCTGGCAGCATACGTGTCGTACCCTGTAGATCTGACAGCGGCCAGTACCGTTGTTAGTCTTCATCTCACTCTTGATGCAGAGAAGGCAGCGGCTCTTGGAGGTGGCTTTCCTGCAGCTTCATGGTGCCACGGCGTGTGAGGGGCCACGCAGTGACGCCGCCAACAACAATAGCACAGATTCTGCCAACCACCTCAGTTAGACATTCGCAGGTCAGATTAATAAGTGATATGTAGTCTCAGCCTTGGACAGGCGATAGAGGCAAGAGTGAAACTCTGCGGGGTCCTGCGAGAGTCTCAAAGAGTATGCTCTAGTATGCTCTCTCAGCTCGGGCATAGGGTTTCAGCGTACCAGAGCTATGATTGTTGTTCATACTAACGTACACTTGCTGGGGTAGATGCTTATGGTAGATGGCTGGCCTCCAGCTGGTGCTTAGGTTTCGCTCTTCGTCCCCTCCTTCAAGAGTAAAGGAAGCAATAGCTCATTCCTTTTTTGGTTTCTCCGACAGCTGCAAGACTAGTCTGCGACGCCTTACTACTCGAATCCTTCCCTTAACACAAGTCACATTACTGTAATGATTTAATCAGTTGAAAAGATACAATGAGAATAGAGAGCAACGTAGACAGACCGGGCTCTTTATAACTTGCGGCGCTGTATTTCTCTATTTTGACTCTACGCTCCAACAAAAGGAGACCAAAGCTAGATATTGGAGCTGTAGGTACTGCTGGTTCGTCTACAGCTAATTCGTGCTCTGTTCTTCAGTGTATCTGTCACAGCGCACTGTCAACCTAAATTTGATCTAACTCTGGGCTTGTTGATTCAATCACATCATGATAGTTGCTTGGATAAGCTAGAGGGGTTTCGACGACAATTGGCTATGGTGATTGTTCTGACAGAGAAGCTTCTTATCTTCGACGACTTTCGTGCATTTCAAGACGGCATAATCATGTTACTTGGCTCTTGAGATAATACGAGTGAACTATTACTTCTTCGGGTTATAATTGAAGCATGGTATGTGCTAAGTTATAGTAAGGAAATATCACTACAACCCCAATAGGTTATTCAAGAAGACAAAGATCTGAAGTACGTACTTTATGCTCGATATAACTCGTGTCTCTGCACTGCACATATATCACAGCCAGTATAGTGAGTTCTTCAAAAACGCTGCGATAACAGAACCCGCTCTGGTAAAAGTCCCCGAGAACTTCCAGCCTCTACTCTGATCACATATGCTTCAGGGTATGTATTTACTCAGGTCATATCCTTTGTACTTCTTCGCGTAACAGCCTAGCATCGCGAGCTCCCCCTTCCAGACTATATTCCCGTCATCCAGTGACAAATCTTCCAGATAGCCCGAGGGACTCGCCGGTATAACCTGTCGCCAATGATTGGAACAAGGTCCTCCCGTCAACGACATTTCCTCGCCGCAGCTGTAACAAACTCGCTTAACGGGGCAGCCGACCAGCTGTGCCGTTCTGCTTAGCTCCACCCGGTCTCTATCAAATCTGCTCACAATCCGGACCACGTCGAGGCTACGGATCCCGGAAAGACGTGAGAGGAAACCGGTATATGCCTCCCAGTCCGCAATCGTCCTTTGCCGTCCGGGTATGAAAAGGGTCAGCTCTGTCAACAGAGGGGCGCTCTGTGACAAGGCGCGGTATACCGCAGCAAGGTACGCAGGGTCCCACTGCATGCTGACACCGACTCTCCGCAGGCCCGCCATGAATTGCGTCCACAAGGCCTGGAGCCCGCTCGGGGCGCGCATCGAACGGCGTCTGCCCGGGTCGTGGAGCTTTGCCAGGTCGAACCACGCGGCGGGCTCCAGGTGGACGGCGTTCTTCCGCAAGACGAAGTCGTGCACTTCGTCCAGCAGCGCCGGGTGGATCTTGTGCAGCACGGGACGGAGACAGTAGCAGTCCTTCCCTTCTCTGCCGCATATGTCGCAAACCCACCACCTCTTTTCACGCGGCTTCCCGGGAGGGGAAAGTCGGACGTGGAGCCACTTGCGGGAAGGGATGAGCTCGGAGTCGCAGTACTCGTAGATCATCAGGCGGACTTCTCTCGGAAGATGCAGAAACGAGACGGATTGTACGACGGGTGCGGCGGCCTGCGGCCCACCCCCATTTGCGCCTGGCTGTGCTAGAACGCTGGAGCCTTGGAACGGAAACACAAAGCTTGGTGGAGGTTGGACGTTAGGTCCAGAAGCGACTGGACGGTTCAGAGCTGTAGGATTGGCACGTTCGGCGTGTGCCTTGTATTGCGGGCGTCTAGTCTTTGGCATGATGACCGTATATCTCGCCAACTTCGTCGGCGGCTTGTCGACACAGCGAGCCGAGATACTACTTCTGTTCTTGTAGAAACGCAAAATACATGAGACTTCGGGTTGGAGATACTTGACGACGGTAGCGAGGTTTTCTCGTAATACAGTGATAGTTGAGAGATGCCAGTTGCTTAAGGCGGATTCACTTTGGAATTGACAAGTGACGCAACAGCAATGATTGGAGATCCAACACAGCATCTACCATTAATACCTGCGCAAAATTTATAGTTTCGAGCGTGTTGCTGAAATTATTGTCATACACCAAGACAATAGAGGGCGTCAATGATTCGAGGATTGCTGTTGTTCGGTAGCAAACCAATTGTTCTTTCAACAATGGAACAACCTTATAATGGTAAGAACGGTTCAGTGGCTTCCGCCTTCACCTACTATCATATTGTGACTCACATCAGCTGCAAAGCCAAACAAGGAAATGGAATCTTACTAATATGTAGTTCTGTAGCAAGGATAGTGGTGTTGTTCTGGAAGAAAATAAGGATCATTTCAACAGGTCGACCAAACAAAGAGCCTCATCATTACTGACTTGGTCCAAAGGGCGGAAAACTATGAGATGCCAGCTCGTAGAACAATGAGATACTACTGCAACGAACCAAATGAATTGCAAACTTACAAAGTCTTGAAAGTGCGCTTCATGTCGGAACAGCAACTGAAGTACCTACGCACATTTCAAGCAACAATAACCGCAGGAGCCATATTGCGAGTTTGGGGTTACATGAGTTTCTTTTTATGGATAACTGAACAATATGAGCTTTCTTGTGATTTGTGTTAGATGAGTATAGCAAAGGGCGCATGCCTCAGAGGCAATGTCATCTGAAGAGTATGGATGTTGGGCAATGTCAAGACAAACTACTATAGAGGATCTCCCTACTAATTGAGCAATCGCCTAGGAGAAGAAGTAGATAGGAAAATATCATCGTGGTCACAGAAGATGGCCCGCAGGAGTCTCCAAGTCATGTAAAGCGGATCAATAAGCATTTGTTTGATGAGTGACCTATTATCAGCTTCATCATCATCACCCTTATCTTGACATATACTCAAGAGCTCAGTGAGCAATGCCCAGGTTATATAACTAAGGCCAGTCACATCGGGCGAAAATTGCTCGTTGCCTACGTTGATTTCGGTGGTGCAATGCTGCCGCTGTCTATCGATATGTCCTAATGTCGATATCTTTCTCCTCTCAAAACTCATCCTATGGTTGTCTCACTATTCGAAACATGTCTGTCACTTCACTCCGAAGAATTATTGTTCAATTTAAGTACATGTGCCCAAACATGCGTCGTTGCGTTGTTTCCCAGGACATATGCCTTTGCCCTCAAATTCACCTCATGCATATTCAAAGGTTTGCCGTTTGTTATGGCTGTTTGAAGGCGATGTCTTATTTGGTAACCAGACAATTTTAGTGTTGCCAGTACAGGATAAGCCAAATGAGATTCGTAATTCTCTTCTAGTCACTGTCCCGTTGTAGGTGACCAGCGTCACGTGCCTTCATCCCTAGCCAATGTCAACAGAAACTCGGTTTGGCCAATCCAAATTCCAGTCGACCTTGTACGAACAACAGTTCCATCACATGCATGACAACGTGGAAACAGCGGTACCCTGACCGAAAGTGGCGACTAAAAATACCAATATGCTAAATCGAGATGAAGCTGTCGATTTTCTTTCTGTCGCTGCAGCAGCCCCTCTCCGGCTTGGATACGGTCAACAAGGGAGCATCGATGCATAGGGACGGGTAGAGCAACGTGTGGAGCAAAAAATAAAAAAAGGTACTGCGATGGTCACACCGCCAGACGCAGGAACACGAAAGAGCTGGAATGCAAAGAATGACTCGAGTTTTCCGTTCGGCGTACAGATCCGCGAGCTCACGGCAGAAGCGGGTAGGGTTTCTGGAATTTCGAGTCGCTCGATCGGCCAAGACAGTGTCTGGTTACACCTTGAACACTGATGACGATCTTGACTCGACATGCATTTCTGATTGGAGAGACCGGGGGTAGAGAGAGGGAGAGGGAGAGGGAGGGCCTCGGCTCAGAGAAACTCCCAGCTTCTGGGGCTTTCCACCCCCAAAAGATCGCAATACGAACGAAATCTTGGAAAATATGCAAAACGCGACCATCGCCTTTCCCTCTTCTCGATGTTTCTGGACAAGTGGGCTGCAGGTAACACCGTTATTGGAGCATCCTGCGTCGTGGACTCTGCCCGCGCCGAGCCAGGCACAGCCCGGGTTGTCAAGCTGAGTGACCACCGGTGGTCCGACCATAACCATGGAACGCGCTTCCCCCCTGGACCTCACCCCCTTTGCGCCGCCCAAGCCGAGAAGGGGGAGGGGCAAACCTGGCGAAGCTCTGTCTAAACGCAACACACAGCCCGAGAGATCTGGGCATTCTGACGTCGTTGGGTGGGGTGAAGAGGGGATCATTTCCGTCTCAGTGTCCATCTGGAAGCACCTCCCCTCCACACCTTGTCCAAGAATAAGCCCTGGGTCCAAGGCCCAGGCCTGCGAGGGGAGGCCTGTCAATAGTCAATAATGTTCGGTTCATACGTTCGGTTTACAACAAGCGTGTGGCCCTACAGCCTGTGCGTCCGTGTACCTGCATACTGCCAAGGTTCTATTTGCTGGGCGTTCTCCATTCCCAAAATTCTTTTTTGTGCGAATGATTCTTTGGGAATGGGGGGGGCGTGGAGCAATCAATCCGAATCGGAACACTTTTAAACGCCGAAAATGGACTGCCGCTCCCTGTCGTCAGCAGAGCCCGGGCTCCCACACCCAAGAGATTCTGCGGTTGCCCTGTATTGCATACATACACGTAGCAGTTGGCAGGTTAGTGTATCTAGGAAGATGCCTCGCTTGCAAACGCAGAGTGGGCTGGCTCATCACCGCGGGTTCCGGCGCTTTTGCGGTGGTTTGCCAGATGATGTGTGCGTCCTTTGCCTTCTATGTGGGGTTGAACCAGGCCAAGCGAGATGTTGATAGGAGAAGCAGACAAGCATCACATGATATCGATGTTATAGGGGAATTGCTATTGTTTTTTAGTCATTGTTTATTTTGAGCTGCCCAAGCCGTATGTGTGTGTTGTGTTGGTCAATAAACGAAACTCCGTAAAACCCCCCGTTCGGTAGATATATGTGTGTATATACAAGAGTGCCCGTGATGCGGTGTCATTATCTTAACCCAATATTTCCCACTCCCCCCGCCCTGCCCCGCCTCGCCCTCCCAGAATCATTAGTCTAGTTGTTTAGATATCAATGCTCGCTAGTAGAAAAGTAGTCCAATATCCAATGTACACATTACCATTGCTTGGTCTGTTTCTCATATTGTCCGTCACGTGGACGCCTTGATATCAATGCTCAGGGTCGGCACGCGGAAGGTGACGACGTTGGTGGCCGAGAGCGTTTCGGAGCCGAGACCCATGTAGCCCAGGTAGGTCGCCGACGTGGGGAAGTCGGCACGGTTCATGGTCGTGAGCGTCGTGATCAGAGGCGCCAGGTCGCCGACAAAGTGCTCGACTGTCGTCACAGCCTTCCAGGTCAGGACGTTTTGGCTGAGACTGTTTTGGCCAAAGAAGAGTTGGCTGGTGCGAAGGAATATGTCAGCCACGACGACTTCATAGAGAGGGAGGGAGGGAGGGAGGGGAATGTGGTTTCCATGATATTGTGCATGGGCCAAGGCAGCAGTCACTTACAAGCTCGTTCCGTTGATCGTCTGCGTCGTGAGAGCACCCGCGCCGCCCTGGTATCCAATGGGCTGCGTAGCTGGGCCAAAGGTGCCGAACCACACCATGACTTCGAATTTGGCCTTGGTGCTGTCCGTGGCGCTGTCCTTGTCGTCGTCCAAGAACATATCGATGGCGACGTTGGCGTTGGTCTCGTTCTCGGTGAGCTCGGCCTCGTTCGTGTCGGTAGCCGCCGCGCCATCGGTGGTGTAGTTGCCCACCGAGTAGGACCACTCGACGTCGACGTCGACGTTGGCCAGGGACGGGATGGAGACCGGGAGGATGGTGCCGTCGACCTTGATGTTGGGGAAAGCGTGGACGGGCTGCGTCTCCGGGCCGGGGGGGTAGCGCCATGTGACGTAGAACTCGGGCGCGCTGAAGTCGGTCGGGTACGTCTGGTTGTTGAACGCGGTGACCTATGGGCCAAAGGTTAGGTACGGTCGTTTCGCTTGCACCGGGCATGAACCGCGCCGTAGGAAGCAAACTTCGAGCTCAACTCGACATACGCGGCCATGCGCCAAGCCCAAACCTGGCGACGTGCGAAGCCCCGCGATGGGGTACTGATGGAGGGGATTTGACGTACGTTCATGCAAAGCAGACCATCTTCGCCTTCGTTCCAACCCCACTGGTTCGGGTTCACTACATCACGCAGATATCGTCAGTATGTCTGGTGTTATCATCGTCATAAAGCATAGGGAGATGGATGTGTATAGGATTCCTTGTCTCCCCCCCTCCGCGCAGGCAGACAGCAGTCCCAGAAGATTGCGTCGCCCAGACAGGTTTCGCAACCCAAGGGAGCAAAAGTCAAAACTGCCATTTTCGGTTCACAGAGGGGAAAGCTTAACACGGCCCGCGAGCACAGCGACACACGAACAAAAAGCCGGGAGCCCGTGGTGCCCCAAGCAAAAACGCATCCCCCCTCCAAGTTCAGATGACAGCGCGCACACACGCAAACATCCGAGGGGAGAGGCTCGCCTGCATCGTCGGGTGTCCCGGTCTGTGCCGCTTCATCTCATGATGTTCAGAGAGAGAGGGAGGCATGTGCCCCGAGGACAGGTGGAAAACCGGCAATAGTAAGGGAACACATGAGAAAAACGCGGATGAGACTTACGTGTGTACTCCTGGCCCTTTGACGGAGGGTGAAGACCGAACGCCTTGTCGCAGGAAACCATGGCCGTGAGGCCATTGTTCTTTGGTATCGTCCCCGGGTTATCGGGCTGGGTGAAGAGCGGCTTGTCGCCGTTCGCGCTTCTGCCGGCGTCGATACCGATGAGGACGCCGAGGGTGACTCCGATGGGGATGGCCAGCAACACGAAGTTGACGACCCAGCGGAAACCGAGGAAAGGCATCGCGAATAGGGACAAGGAGAGAGGGGATAAAACTAAAAGGAAAAAAGGAAAAAAAAAAGAATGTCAAAGTTGAGCCTTCACGGTGCGCTTTGCGCTGGCTGTCGTCTTTCCTCACCCCGAAGATCTAGAGACGAGAATAGATGGACAGGCTTGACAGGCGCAAGTCCGGCTTGTGTACACAGCAACAGCAGTAGCGGCAGCAGTAGCACATGCAAAGAAAGCGAGTGTGGTGTCGTCGGTGACAATCGGAGTCTGGTTTAGGTATGGGAGGGCAAGGTACAGGATTATGGGATCGGTTGGGTGGGCGGGAAGGCTCAGGTAAGGAAATGGCTCAAGCTCAGGTTGGCTAAGCTCAGATCAACTCAAGCAAGGTAAATGGCATGTTAGGGGAAAGGCAGACGCGGGCCCCCCCGACTCGTGGATAGGTATCCAGGGGAGAGAGGAGAAAGTACCTAGTGAAGAGAAGAAAGGGGGGGCGTGTGAAGGGGGCGTGTATGTGAACTACTACGTATCCGGACAAGATCACAACCGACACCGTTAGGTCACTCAAGAGAGGGGGGGGGGGGTTCGTCCGGTCGACACCAAGACGTACGGAGAAGGCTGTGTGATTCGATGGAGGGGGGGAGAGACTGCGCCAAAGAGAATCAAGAAAAAACGAAGAGGCAAATGTAGAACCGAGGCGCGTCGGGCGAAACGCAGTGAGCGAATCGTGCAGAAGAAGAATAAGAACCCCTATCCAATATCCAACAAGCGGCGCAGCACGCCACCCCGGAAGAGGCTTGACTTGATTCCTGTGCGTTGTGCAGCGAGTGTAATTACCTCAATGTCTCCTCACCCGTGCTTCCCCCCCCTCCCCCTTCTCGCCGAGTCTCTTCTTGCTGACGCCGTACGGTTAGTTCAGTTGTGTAACTGTGATTCAGATCTGCCCGAGGCAGGCGGAGCGCGATGGGAGAAACATGAACCGAAGAAAGGGGACCAGGAAGCCCCAGGGCACCCAGCCGTTACACCTGTTGCGAACCGGCTTTTTGCCTCTTGGACAAGAAAACCGCCAGCAAGGTGAGCCCTACGTCTCAAAATTACGTCGGTACATCCCATCGCCAAGTGCCCAAGGCTCGAGCCAACACGTCTACGTAGCCATTCCGGGCATTTCAGATCAGAAAATCGACGATTGCAGGCCCTCCTGCTTCTAAATCGGACCGGCCCCTGGCCTAGTGCGGTCAATGTGCCGGCATCCCTCAACTACGGGCCATGCCTTCGCCCCCCCTCCAATGGTACCCGCCTCGAGAACACAAGAAAAAAAGCAGGGATTAATAAGCAACGGCACTGAAAGTGGCTGGGAGGGGGGGGTCCGGACTGCTATCCACGGCCTTGGCCGGAGTGACCGGGGTGTCTCCCGGTCGCGCATAGGAGATTCTACTACTGTAAATACTAGCTGAATTTAACTATCTCTACTTTATATACTAACAGCAAAAAGTATTACAGTCTATAGTAACACTAAGCCCTTTATAGATGTAAGGGGTTAGCACCACCTTCTGACAGGTGTATAGCAACTTAATACAATTAATCTAGACTAAGGAGGGAAGGTTATTTACAGTGGTGTGCGCATTGTGTGCGTGAGGTTAAATAGGGGTGCTAACCAAGCGCTAACCAAGTGCGTCCACCTCGCTGGCTTGTGCATTATGGTGGGCAAAGCCCTGCTACACTTACTGTGGCTTTGGCCTATAACATGTGCCCTCTCCCCGCCAGCAGTCAGAAAAATAAGGTTCCTAGGCCCCACTAGCCCTCTGTTGCATATAACTACAGAAACTTAGCCTATAGTTATTACCTAGCGTAGACTACTTAACGTTTTTCCTCTTTTCCTCTTTTTTTTTAGGCCTCTTCTTTAGTATTATAAGTATCCCTTTTTACTGTTGCACATTACTACTATAAAGTAATTATTTTACTAACGTAGTCTCTATTAATTAGAGATAATTAAAATTAGAAGATGCTAGTAAGTCACCTTTGTAAGTGCGCACATATACGCACACGTAGACCTACTGTTAATCTATTACTAACTTGTTATATTATAACCCCTTGCTCTTAGCTAAAGCCCTTTGCCTAAGGGCAAGGAGTAGCTTATACCTAAGACCTTGTTGCTACTGTTAACCCTAAGTGTGCCCCTATTATACTATTCTGTAAGTTGACTTGCGCTTATATTACAGTAGATATACAGCTAACGTTAAAGATAGTCCCCTTCTTTTGTACTGCCTATAGTAAAGAAGGTCTACCTCTTAGTAGGCACTATCTAGCGTCCTCTTTACTAGTTATACGCTAACTGCCTAGCAAAGGACCCTATGGCGCCTTACTATACTAAGAATATAGCGTCTAGTAGCACCTACTGTACTCCTTACGCATTAGGTAACTAACCCTACCTAGAGAGCATAAGTCCTCTATTTCTTGCGTTTATTACTCCTTTTGCGCACTAATCCCTTTAAATACCTATT